ATACATATACCACAGGTCAGATTGCACAACTATTTCATCATGATTTCTTAATTGTCACCATACAAATAACATTCCCTGGTAATGAACTTTACAATTCATAAGGTCATTAGGAAATTTGAAAGGAAAGATTAGTCTTTTTGCAATAGTCCATGAGCAGAAGGATGTAATTCTGTACTAGTCAAAACTGTGCTCGGAAATGGGATGACTTGGATTCAGGACTATCTTGTGTGTGTTATCCAGAAGGACACTTCGTTTCAAACTGTACAGAAAAAAAAAGCATGTTGCAGTGACATTTTTGGTATATCTGTCCTTAACCTTTACTACTCAAAATAGCCCATTGCAGTAAGGGCTAATCTGCAATAATCTTGTTCTTCTAAATAAGGTAAGAGCAAAGACGTACCATTCAAATGGTTGGAAGGACCTGAAGGAATTGAGTGACGGATCCATCGCTGCAAAGTCCCAGAAGCGCACATCAAAATCATAGCCTCCAGTCACAAGCCTAGAACCAGACGGGTCCAGAGCTACGGCAGATACCTGATTGAGAGTAGATAGCATAAAGATGAAGTAATTTTACAACTCGTGTGTTAGCATCTATTGCTTCACTGTCAATATCAGAAACTAACCATTTTGTTAATTTCAACCATGCAACTAACACTATACCTAACCCTAAACCTAAACTAATGGCAAACTTCAGCCTAACCATGTAACCTGATGCAATAGTTGCTAGGGAAAATGTTGGATCACCAGGTAAAGCACCAGAAGAATTCAAGAGGAAACGACGGAGACTGGATGAGAATGATGGAGGAAAGAACAACTATTTGACCAAACATTGTGTCAAAGAAAAGTTATCCTATTTTTTTTTAATTTGAGAGGGAAATCATTTAATTTTAGAGACGCATAGTACAAGAGATACGTTACAGCTGACACTCCAGTTTTCTTTTATCACAAGAAGCAGCAGTTAGAAACTCTTTCAGAAGTACCTCATAGAGTAATAAAACATTTTTAGAACTATACCCTAAAACTATCCCTAAACTTACAACTCTGAAATTATGACATTGTAATCACAATCCTTAATGAATACTTTTTATCTGTGTATGTGGTGCCCCTTTTCAAATTGAGGGGACTGAGAATTATACAACATTTAACAAAGCTGCCATGGCAATGAGACAAATCATACTCACAGATTTATTGCCATGATTCAGGACTATCTCGTGGGTAGCAGGAATCTTTTTCTCTGGAGGCTGGAAAACAATGATATAGAAATATTACTTAGAAATATTACCTAACAATGTAGGCACTCAAAAGAAGAAATTGATTGGGTTTTATTGACACTATTTGGCATAAACTGTGTTGGGCAACCTTGGAGTTACAAGAGTCCAATTATAAGTCTTAAACCTTTGTCCCAATGGAGTATTGACTTGAAATATCTACCATATGAACATCCTTCACAATGTATCTACTTCAGAACAAACAAATAGCTTTTCTTCATCCAAAGATAATGTAGGAAGTAATATTCTTGGGTGGCACTTGCCACCTACAGCACTGATCTAGGTTATCTCTGTGAAAAATGAAGCACAATATTGGCCATCTGGATATCATTAGTATATGAAAACAAACAAGGCATTACCAAGTTGTCTTCTTCATCATCTTCATATTCCTCCTCATCGTCATCATCACTGTCAGCACCGGATGCTTTCTTTGAGGTAGAAGGTCGACTAAACCCTGGTGGCAATGGCGGACCTATGTTTAGTGTGAAAATTTAAAATAAAGGGAGTAATAATTATAACCAACGATCAAAAGAACTATTGCCAATATATAAAGACATTGAACTTGATTTTTTTTAAATCCAATCAACACAAGAAAAAATGTATAAAAAGTCACAAGTATTAACAACAAAATTTAAGAAAATAGCATGAATCATAATCAAGTCTGGTTCAATTGAACATATGAAAATATAGTCTGGTTAAATAAACTAAACAATCAAACTTTGAAATGTTGAATTTAAAGCTAAGACTTTGATGGTAGGTTTCAAACTGAACTTTAAAATATTCTGTACAGATTATGAATCCTTTGTCAGGCCTGTATTATGTGACATGCTGAAATAGAAAAATCTAACAAAGTACAAACTCACCAATCATGTCATCGTCATCGTCATCACCATTGTCATCTTGCCTCGACTTGTTTCCAGCTTTCTTCCTTGGGTCATCTTTTTTACTATCGGTATTATCATCATCATCACCACTGTCATCCTTGCTACTTCTCTTTGACGTTTCTTGTGCAGTTCTTCTAGTTTGTTCAAACATTTTGTCAAGGTCAAAAGTTCTTGCTTTTTTACCTGCCAAGAAAATGAGATTTAAAAGAGCATTAGTGTAAATAAATGCTACATAATGATAAGTTGATGGCTCCATGTCGACAACTAGTAGTATCAGAACTTTAGAAAGACATTTGCCCAAGGCAAAAAATAGGGAATAGCACTTGCAATATACTTGATCTAATGTGTAGATTGAAAAGAACTTAAGAAGTTTACACTTTAAACAATTCTATAAAAACTAAAAGCCACTGTACTATGATTAATCTCATATAATACAGAATTTCACTATTTCAGATTTTGTGCTGTCTTTCCTCTCTCTCTCTCTCTCTCTCTCTCTCTCTCTCTCTTTCTTTCTTTTCTTTTTCTAGCATTTGCAATGATGTTGATTTTTCTCTTTATGGCATATATATACCCTCTTATTCTTATTCAAAATTTTCATTTGTATATTTTTGTAATGACATCTTTTATTTCAACTAGTTATTTATGCCTCATTACTAGTTATTCAATTGAAATTCTAAGATATATCATGCTAAATAGCCTAGAAATCGGTGCATCTATTGTAAATTTGTTGGTACAGTCAAACCTGTCTATAGCGACCGCCCAAGGGAAACACAAAAAGTGGTCTTTGTAGACAGGGGGTCTTTATAGACAGGTTCCTTTAGTACATGTTTCAATGAGAAACCATTTTCAAGGAAAACAAAAAATGTGGTCCTTGTAGACAGGTGGTCTTTGTAGACAGGTGGTCACTAAAGCAGGTTTGACTGTACAATGAATTAACATACAAGCCTCGGTGGCTCCATCAGACCTCTCGCCAAGAAATTAAAAACGCGTGGCGCGACCCAAGAGAAAATTTGACCCCCCCCCAAAAAAAAAAAAAAAAAAAAAAAAAGTAAAAATTTGATTTTTTTTTTTTTTTTTTTAATTTAAATTTATTTTTTACAAGTATTACAAGTAATTTGATGAATTTTTAATACCATACCTGCCAACCCTTACGAAGAAATTCAGAATATTCTGTTTTTGAATTTCTAGGACCAGAAAATCTGGAATATTCTGATTTTTCGAAATTTTGATTTCTTTTTTTTTTTTTTTTTTTTTTAATTAATTTTTTTTTTTTTTTAAAGAATGCGTGGCGCCATGTAGGGCCCAACAGATAACGCGTGGCGCGCGCGCCACGCGTTATCTGTGTACGCGAGGGCCATGGGCTCCATTCTTAATAAGATCTACCACAAAACACATAGACAGATTTAGAATTATCAGTTGTCTATAGCTATGCAAGTAGAAAAGTTTGCTACCGATACCATTTCCGAAACCGGAGAACCCCATCATTTTAGCCATGTCACTATCTTCAGATTCTTGTGAAGTTTCTAAGCTTGCAGAGCTGCTTGGTCTGGGATGAGAGTGTGTCGCCAATTGAGTTGAAGACGTCTTTTCAGCAGACTTCTTTGCTGGTGCGATCTTCTGCTGATCCCAACGTGCAGCTGAGTGAGAGAGATATAAAATAAACAATAAATAAATTGCTTTTATAATTATAACTCATGGAATTATAATGAATAGGCAATTTAAATTAGCCCTTCTGCCTCTTTCTACACCAAGGTCAAGCTCATTTGGTCGAATTTTTCAGAACAATGCAACCGTTTTTCTAACTGTGTGGCCGGGTAGCAGAGAGATTGGGATACCATACCTCCACTTCTCGGCTGCACCCTGCCCTACTTCATACATACTTACTTACTTACTTTACTTTAAAACACGATGTTGTAGGTCTAAGCCTGTTCATCGATCCAGGATTCTTCCGTGATTACTGCTATTTTGTGTCACTTCGCGAGGAGTTCTTGGTAGCCGTACGTACTTACACACGCTTATACACGGTTAGGAAAAGGATTGCATTTTCCTCAAGAAACACCTCAATTCGAGCTCTGGTGTTAACCTGGCTTGGAGTTGGGACTAGTTTATCAAAAACGGTATTAGACCTATTATTATTTTTTTTGTCATTTTACTTTAGTTTTAGTTTCTAAATTTTAGTCATTTTCATTTTGGTTAGAAACTTAGAATGATCTGGAAGTTTTTACTAATCTGACCAGAATCTGTAGAATTACTTCTCTAAAATATTAAAATACCATCGGCCAATTAATGATCAGAGACTCTTGGCCAGTCTTACTCTTACAATGATTTCTCGATCTCCTGTAGATAGTAAAATGACAATACATGAATTCGAACGGTTGGGACTAGATCTAGACCCTACATTAATCTTTGAATGCGTAAAATACTATTCAAAATCATTTAATAGCATCAAAAGTATAACTTTCATTAGTCTACCTCGAAGTGCCCGCATTTCCTCTAAATCTTCATCCATAATGTGATCCTTTTAATTAATATGATTCGAAGATATCGTTATTTGATTGACAAAATCGAACGTTTCACCAGAGTTTTGTTTTTTGTAATGAAAATTACAATTTTTTTTAGGTTCAGTTGACAATTTGCTAAGGAATATTAACAATCATTCTTGAACGACTATGATAATATACGTATTTTTTAATTAAAAGCTTTTTATATATAATTTTATCAAAAAAATACATTTTTGCTGTTAAAAAGATATTTTAAAGTTCAAAATGTTCAAATTGATCAGATAAAGTGGAATAATATTTAAAGTTCTTAGTTTGGCAATGTCATTGCACTTCAAAATTGACATTGAATTGTTAGACGGCTGAGTTTAGCGGAACATGTGCTTGTGCTGTGTACGGTCATCTTCGATCTTTATTCACCGATAAAGAGTAAGTTGTTTTTTAAATCTTGCTATTTGAAATGTAATTTTGTTACTACTGCATGTATTATTATTACAGTCTGGGATATAATGAAGGAATGCGTATGTATATCGATATTTTCGTATATTAATTTCAACTGACGACTCTCTCTGGTCCCACACGTTGAAAACAATGTCATGTAGACTTCTAATCTAGACATGGCCATGGTGGAATGTCAATAAAACAGGTGGAAAAGGCAGAGCTGCCAACATTGGAAAGCAGTTGAGAGTGAGATTATATGAGAAGCATTAGCACGAAGGAGTGAAGCGACCAAGCCCGACCGAGCGCAGAGCGGGAGTGGGGGAGGGTGTGGGAGGGGGGCGTCCCCCCGCCCCCCCCCCCCCCTCCTCTAGCTAGAGCTTTTTTATTTTTCAAGGTGAAATTGTGTGATCTGGTGCATACTTTATAGAGTATTTTAACATTATAGCTAAAGGCAATATGGAGAGAGAAAATCATACAGCCTAACAAAGAGATAAAGACAATTATTTACATGGAATACCTAATTGTTCGCTCCTGGGCTAGGCGTAGAGCGAGGTGCTGAGGGCCCCACTCGCTCTCTCTCTCAGACAAAGCCACAGGCAAGTTTTTGTTCAAGTTTAAGTTCTATAATCACGCCATATTTCACTCTCAAAACTCACTTTGTATTTTTATAATCCCTCTCACTCTATTCTACTGTATGGCTTTCATCGAAAGGGTGCGGTGCGGTGCGGCGCGGCGCGGTGTGCTCAACGCACCCATTCGATAAAAGAGGGGGGCCTTTTCTCGAAAGGGTGCGTTGAGAGCGGAGTACCGTTTTAACACACCCTTTTGATAAAAGCGGGGGGGCTTTTCTCGAAAGGGTGCGTCGACTAGTCTTTCGCATCAGTCGTTTAAAATGAGGATCTCGGACAGAAGGTAATAGTTGCCAATCTAAGTATATCGAAAATGTATTAAATAAAATGGAATGGTCTTGATTACAGAGTGGTCTCTTTCGTTATTACTATGTTGATGGGGGAGACAGAGAGAAGGAGGGAAAGGGAAGATAAAAGGAAGAAAGAAGAATAAGAAGAGAAGAGGGAAACGGGGGGGGGGGGGGGGGGGGGGGGGGGGGGGGGGGGGGGGCGAAGGACTCTTGCCCCCCCCCCCCCCCCGCCAAAAAATAAATCAGAGAGAGAGAGAAGGGAAAGGGAAAGGGAAAGAGAAGATAAAAGGAAAGAAAGAAGAGGAAGAAGAAGAAAAGAGGGAAACGGGGGCAAAGGGCTTTTGCCTCCCCCCCCCCCCCCCCCTGCCAACAAATAAATAGGAGAGAGAGAGAAGGGAAAGGGAAAGGGAAAGAGAAGATAAAAGGAAAGAAAGAAGAGGAAGAAGAAGAAGAAAAGAGAGAAACGTGGGCAAAGGGCTTTTGCCTCCTCCCCCCCCCCCCCCCCCGCCAACAAATAAATAGGAGAGAGAGAGAGAGATAGAGAGAAGGGAAAGGGAAAGGGAAAGAAAATATAAAAGGAAAGAAATAAGAAGAAGAAGGAAAGAGGGAAATGGGGGAAGGGCAGAAGGCTCTTGCCTCCTCCCTCCCCCCCCCCCCCCCCCCCCCCCCGCCAAAAAAATAAATAAGAGAGAGAGAGAGAGAGAGAAGGGAAAGCGAAAGAGAAGATAAAAGGAAAGAAAGAAGAGGAAAAAGAAGAAAAGAGGGACACGGGGGCGAAGGGCTCTTGCCCTCCCCCCCCCCCCCCCACCAAAAAAATAAATAAGAGAGAGAGAGAGAGAGAGAAAAAGGAAAGGGAAAGGGAAAGAGAATATAAAAGGAAAGAAAGAAGAATAAGAAGAAAGAGGGAAACGGGGGCGAAGGGCTCTTGCCTCCTCCCCCCCCCCCCCCCCCCCACCAACAAATAAATAGGAGAGAGAGAAAGAGAGAAGGGAAAGGAAAAGAAAATATAAAGGAAAGAAAGAAGAAGAAGAAGAAGGAAAGATGGATACGGGGGAAGGGCGAAAGGTTCTTACCTCCCCCCCCCCCTTCCCGCCAAAAAAATTAATAAGAGAGAGAGAGAGAGAAGGGAGAGGGAAAGAAAATCTAAAAGGAAAGAAAGAAGAGGAAAAAGAATAAAAAAGAGGGAAAGGGGGCGAAGGGCTCTTGCCAATAAAATAAATAAGTGAGAGAGAGAAGGGAAAGGGAAAGAGAAGATAAAAGGAAAGAAAGAAGAGGAAGAAGAAGAAGAAGAAAAGAGGTAAACGGGGGTGAAGGGCTCTTGCCTCCCCCCGCCAAAAGTAAATAAGAGAGAGAGAGAGAGAGAGAAGGGAAAGGGAAAGAGAAGATAAAAGGAAAGAAAGAAGAGGAAGAAGAATAAGAAGAAAAGAGGGAAACGGGGGCTAAGGGGTCTTGCCCTCCCCCCCCCCCCCCCCCGCCAAAAATAAATAAGAGAGAGAGAAGGGAGAGGTAGAGAAAATATAAAAGGAAAGAAAGAAGAGGAAGAAGAAGAAGAAGAAAAGAGGTAAACGGGGGTGAAGGGCTCTTGCCTCACCCCGCCAAAAGTAAATAAGAGAGAGAGAGAGAGAGAGAAGGGAAAGGGAAAGAGAAGATAAAAGGAAAGAAAGAAGAGGAAGAAGAATAAGAAGAAAAGAGGGAAACGGGGGCGAAGGGCTCTTGCCCTCCCCCCCGCCAAAAATAAATAAGAGAGAGAGAAGGGAGAGGTAGAGAAAATATAAAAGGAAAGAAAGAAGAGGAATAAGAAGGAAAGAGGGAAACGGGGGAAGGGCGAAGGGCTCTTGCCCCCCCCCCCCCCCCCCGCCAACAAAATAAATAAGAGAGAGAGAGAGAGTGAAGGGAAAAGGAAAGAAAATATAAAAGAAAAGAAAGAAGAGGAAAACGAATAAGAAAGAGGGAAACGGGGGCGAAGGGCTCTTGCCTCCTCCCTCCCCCCCCCCCCCCCGCCAAAAAATAAATAAGAGAGAGAGAGAGAGAGAATCTGTTCTGATCCTGGTCCTGATCCTCAAGAGGGATATAAAGATGACCAATAAGAACGTTATCGTTCGAGAGAGAGTGTTTGTTGCTTCTAGAACATTTTAGAATTAAGTCCAATCACATTGCAGTTGTGGGGAGGGACTATGATTATTACCCCCTTGGATGGCTTCCCAGAGTCTGGCTTTAAAGGTTTCGACTGCGTCGCAGGCAAAGATGCTGGGGGGGGGGAAAGTAAATTCCAGGCCCGTATGGTTCTTGGAAAGAAGGTGAGTCGATATATATCCGTCTTGCATCTTATGTTGGAGAAGGAGAGGGAAAGAGAAGATAAAAGGAAAGAAAGAAGAGGAAGAGGAAGAAGAATTTGTGTTCTGCCAGTGTCACAAATAGATATATAAATATGCTCATCTGACGATAATTTGATGTATAAAACCCCTCACCTTCTTGGGGCTCCGCCCCTTGGATCCAACACCAATTTGTGTCCTGCCAGTGTCACAAATAGATATAAAAATATGCTCATCTGACCGTTATTTATTGCCCAAAACCCCTGAGCTTCCGGGTGCTCCACCCCCTGGACCCCACGCCAATTCGTGACCCCTATGTCACAAATAAGGTATAAAATAATAATAATTTAATGGACAAAACTCCTGAGCTTTTGAGGGCTCCGCCCCCTGGACCCAACACCAAATTGTGTCCTGCCACTGTCACAAATAAGGTATAAAATTATGCTCATCCGACGTTAATTTTGATGTTTAATACCCCTGAGCTTCTGAGGGCTCCGCCCTGTGAAAAAAACGTGTAAAAAAAACACGTTAATTTTTACCGTTTTTGGGAGATACCCCCCCCCCCCCTGGCGTTCAAGGGGGGGGGGGGTACGATTTTTCAAATTTTGAGGACCCCCAAAAAGATAAGTCCGGAACCGCGGCAGATATAAAGTTTTTCTTTCATGACTTTTTTCTTTCGAGTCTTACGCATCTTTTGAAACATTTTTTTGTTGAAAATCGGACGTATAATTGCGGAGTCACGTGACCTTTTGTTTTTGCATGTCAGCCCTAAAATCGCTCATTTTTGTGATTTATGTACCAAACATATGGAAATACCATTTATTCTTTAAAAAAAAAGAGAAAACATTGGTTATTTGGTCTTGTTTCAAGTTAATGTGTTTGATTTTGGGTAAAAATAGTTGAATTGTGGTTCGAAATGAAATGAAATAACAAAATAATATAATACATAAATACAAATTATCAAAACAAGAGATAACATAGGGATAAACTGGCTCTTCCAACTTTGTTGTCGTATTATTATTCTAACGCATATAAGAAGAGAAAAAGAACGCTCGAATATGAATTATATATGATTTATGGGTAAAAATGTGAATTCTCTGACCTTGTTTGCATAAATTACCATAAATATGCATTTTCGCGGCGATCGGCTGTGAAACGGCCGAGATCTTAGAAGGACGGGGGGGGGGGGGGGGGGGGGGGGGGGGACCCCCCCCCCACCCTCAAGTCCACTCCAATCACATTGAAAAAAAGTATGACTTAAATCATCTCTTTCATCATTATACCGCTATAGTATTCATGTTTTTAATATTATTTATTGTCCATTAAACAAGTTCATATAGAAAATACCTCTCTGCAACATTAAAAAAGAATCTTCATTAATATGTCTTAATTTGTATTGATAGCCTTGTGGTCGCCAACAGTGGCGTAGGCAGGGGCGTCTCCAAAGGGGGGGGGGGGTGTGGGGGTGCGACACCCCCCCCCCCCCCCACCTGTCAGGATATTGTCTGTAAAATTGCGCTGCCGTCGGGAAAAAAGAGAAAAGGGGGAGGGGGAAAAAGAGAGTAAAAGGGAAAGAAAAGAAAAAAAGAAATAGAAAAGAAAAAAAGAAAAAAGAAAAGAAAGGAAAGAAAAGAGAAGAAAGAAAGAGAAAAACGAAAAAGAGGGAGAATAGGAAAGACAGGAGGCAAGAGCCCTTTGCCCCCGTTACCCTCTTTTCTTCTTCTTCCTCTTCTTTCTTTCCTTTTATCTTCTCTTTCCCTTTCCCTTTCCCTTCTCTCTCTATCTCTTATTTATTTTTTGGCGGGGGGTTGGGAGGGAGGAGGCAAGAGCCCTCGCCCTTTCCCCGTTCCCTCTTTCCTTCTTATTCCTCTTCTTTCTTTCCTTTTATATTTTCTTTCCCTTTCCCTTCTCTCTCTCTCTCTTATTTACTTTTGGCGGGGGGGGGAGGCAAGAGCCCTTCGCCCCCGTTTACCTCTTTTCTTCTTCTTCTTCCTCTTCTTTCTTTCCTTTTATCTTCTCTTTCCCTTTCCCTTCTCTCTCTCTCTCTCTTATTTATTTTGTTGGCAAGAGCCCTTCGCCCCCTTTCCCTCTTTTCTTATTCTTTTTCCTCTTCTTTCTTTCCTTTTAGATTTTCTTTCCCTCTCCCTTCTCTCTCTCTCTCTCTCTCTCTCTCTTATTTATTTTTTTTTGGCGGGAGGGGGGGGGTGGGGAGGTAAGAACCTTTCGCCCTTCCCCCTATCCATCTTTCCTTCTTCTTCTTCTTCTTTCTTTCCTTTTATATTTTCTTTCCCTTTCCCTTCTCTCTCTCTCTCTCTCTCTCTCTCTCTCTCTCTTATTTATTTGTTGGCAGGGGGAGGCAAGAGCCCTTCGCCCCCTTTCCTTCTTCTCTTCTTATTCTTCTTTCTTTCCCTTTTTTCCTTCTCTCTGTCTCCCCCATCAACATAGTAATAACGAAAGAGACCACTCTGTAATCAAGACCATTCCATTTTATTTAATACATTTTCGATATACTTAAATTGGCAACTATTACCTTCTGTCCGAGATCCTCATTTTAAACGACTGATGCGAAAGACTAGTCGACGCACCCTTTCGAGAAAAGCCCCCCCGCTTTCATCGAAAGGGTGTGTTAAAACGGAACTCCGCTCTCAACGCACCCTTTCGATAAAAGGCCCCCCTCTTTTATCGAATGGGTGCGTTGAGCACACCACACCGCGCCGCACCGCACCGCACCCTTTCGATGAAAGCCCTACTGTATGAAGTAATATTAGGCCCTCTTTAAATAGGCACATTCATGGGGCACTAGAGGGCGCTTCGGTCGCGTACGAAAATCTGAATGGCCTTGCTGCGGTGGGTCGGCAATAATCAGCCCAAAACTTGGATATGGGAGGTTGGAAGGATATATCTTTTTTATAATGTTATCCGGTCTTACCCTTAACCATCCTATGTTTAATCTATGTAGGAATAACATGCGAGTATGATAAGAGAAACATCGGGACCATTACTGAAGTAACTTTTAAAATATTAGCCTAGAAATGACCACCAAACGGAAAAAATTGACATTTTTTCCCGACAAATCTTCATAAAATCTGAGTTATAAACAATTCACATCTAGGTACACTAATACAAATACGATTTTCTGAAAATTCAGGTATGATTTTTTAAGTTTCTTTCAAGTATATTTCTGCGCATTGCAGCGCCAATATTCTTCACTGCTTCAAAATCACCCTTGATTTTTTTTTTTGCAACAAATTTTATACGAGGTCCGCGAGTGTTCCCCGTTCCTTGCGTGTTGAAAGTTTGGTAATACATAGTTTGCATTGACTCGCGCACGAAAAAATGGTCAAAAACAAAATGTCAAATGAAGAAATAAACAAGCTTTTGTATAGTTATAAGAGTTCTACCGAGGTTTCTTTGTCGATTTAATTTATTATATAGTCTCAATTAGAATTCAGAATTATCTCACTGAAAAGTTAAGAAACCGACAATGTTCTCGATCGTAGTTATTTTCATTTTGCCAGCAGCCGATCTAGCGTTGTTTGGGCAAAAAGCTAGGCCGCTGCCTTCCCACCGCGAACCTTTCCGAGTCCCGCTAAAATGGCGCGCTGCGGAGCTCCGAAGCTGCGTTGGTATCGCTGCAAACTCTCAGCCGGCTAGCTCCCCACGACGGACCATTCGCGGTATGGTGAGAGTGTGTGTGTGAGGTATGATTTTGGATTCGAGAACGCACGTAACGCAACCGTGCGCGTCATTTAGAGCTGTCGAATGTGTACGACCAATTTTACATGTACGATTTTTAGTACAGATACTTGGTCAGTTTTCTTCTTATATCTTTGGTTTTACAACATTTAAAAATATAATTTCTTCAAATCTGCTCCTGACTCGGTTCAGACTAATTGTCTGATGTGTTTTCAAGTCAATTTTTTGAATATATTTTTTTGCATGAATTTGCCTACTTTAAAAACAAAGCACAGAACCGTGAAATCTTTGATGTTCTCGATCATTGGAATTGTCAACTGTTACTGATGACGTACTCGAGCCCCTATTTATAACAATAGCATCCATGTTTGAAATCTCTTTCCTAGGTTAGCAAGCAGTCATGACATCTTTAGCCCAGCAGCTTCAGAGGTTGGCTGTACCTGAGGCAAGGGCTGCTGTCACTGCTCAGAGGAAAGACAGAAAGTCCTTACTTTTTGACCCTGCCGAGGCCGGAGGACTAGACAAAGATACATTCTATGCCATCGGTAAGTATTTCAGTCTTGAAATTGAAAATTGATTGAAATTTGATTGTTTGATTATTTCAACCGCTGTAATATTTGTGTCATCCAGTATAGAAAACAGCTATGGTGGAAACACTGGAAATAAGTATTGTTAACCTTTCGGTCGAGAGGAATTCCTGGTACTACAAATATAGTCCCTTCCCAGATTTACCAACCAAATCACTATCCTTCTTAGAAAACAAAGTCTTGCATCAAATATATTCGTTGTGTAATCAGCTCCTAAAATAAATGTTAATCATGAAACTACTTGATAATTAAAAAGTGTCATGTTATTTGTTTATTTGGTGACGTTGTGAAGCAGCTAAGAAAATCTAGATACAGATCCATGATACAGTGAAACATTTATTTAAAGACCACTAAAAGGAGACACGAAAAGTGGTCTTTAAAAGCAGTATATACAGGTTCCTTTAATACAAGTGTCAAGGGAAACTCTGCTCAATGGTAACAAAACTTGTTGTCTCTTTAGACAGTTGGTCTGATGTTTATGTCTTGAACTAAGAGATAAAAGTATATGTATGCCACCTGAGCTAGATTTCCCATATTTTACGCTCTTGCCTTTGATAGTAGCTATTAAATGATGAGATATATTCAATCAGTCATTGTTCTCTTTATTTTTAATATTTGTGAAAAGGTGTCAATGGTTTGCAAGAGTTGCAGGGCATCGATCCGCGATTCCACGACCTTGAGAGTCTTCTATTCGATGAGGCATCCAAGTCACTGGAACGTTCCATTGAGAGTAGGGAGATCAACGATAAACTAGACAAGAAGATCAGGCAATTCTTGTTGACCGTCTCCCCCTACTTCCTCCTGAAACCAGCGCAGAAGGCTATTGAATGGCTAGTTTACAGGTCTGTTTAAATTCTTATGCTTGTTTAAGACGTTCTAAGTAGCAGTTACTTCATATTTTATTAAATATTCTAATATATACTGACAAAATTGACTTCACTAAGTTAATATTACATTTTACTTCCAACTATAACAAATATATCCCATACCGATTGTTTAGATAGTGTTAGATATCTTGATGCACAAATTTAAGTGAAATGTGATGATGATCTTGATTCTAGTTAAGGGAATAATTACCACAGACAAAGGGGATTGAGAGGGACATTGGGAGGGGAGAGAAAGGGGCACTTGGAAGGGGTAGAGGGTCTACTGTAGGCAACAAAGTGACAACAATTATGAACATTATGAAATTTCCCATCTTCTTTTGAAAGCATGTTAGAAGTTTTCTATTTCTTGACTCATTGACATACATGGATCAGAATTCTTCTACATCATGTACAATAGTCTTATAAATATGTTTTTTAGTTGTATTTTGTTAATCCGGTACTCTTTCAATCCATTTTTTTAACCTCAAAGGTTTCATATCCAGGAGTACAATACCGATGACCTGATGATGTGTGTGCTTCCATACCATGAGACCAAAATCTTTGTCAGAGCTGTTCAGCTTCTCAACCTCAAGAATAAGAAAAGCAAGTGGAATTGGTTGGAGCGTATTCAGGTAAGTATTTCACAGCCTTTTGTTGTGATGTGTAAACTAAATAAAGTAGATGTAATTAAAGGGGTTGTAGCATGACGAGACTCTGTGTCTTTCCCATGGCCTGACTCAGGGCAAATGGGGTATAATAAAACTACGGACGACTCAACCTCAGTTTTAACGTAAGTGCCACATTCGTGAAACCGAAGCGTGAGGAGAACTTCGGTCTGTATCTTAAATGCTAGCGCATGCTGACCGTTAATCAAGTCCATTCCTTTACGTGCAGTTGTCCAAAAGAAGTCGTAGATGGTGTTAACCAGTATTTGCCATGCTACACCCCCTTTAAGCCCTAGCAATCTGGCTGGCCTTGAGTACCAATATCCTTTGGACCTGCCCCCGAGTTACTATTTCCCAAATAATGAACCGTTTCCATGTATCAACCTTATAGCAATTTTTGAGGTGCTCTCTGCCTGCCCTTCTTCTGGAGTTGCTGGTTGACAGAAATAAGAAATTTAAGATCTTTACAGGATGGCTTTACAAGTAAAATTGGGGAAAGGGCTGTTGTACATGGAAAGGGACAACCCTTTTTTCAGTATAAACTTGCCCTGTTACAGTTGCATACAGTTCTTTTGGTATTGTACGTTTGCTATGTTTGTTTGTTTTCCAATTTTCAGAAACCAGGTGTGAGCTTGTCAAGGCTTTCCCTTGTCACCCACTGCATCTCTGACCGAGGATTTCTCCATTTCATCTGTGAACTCCCTCTGCTTGCAATCAAGGTATTAAGAGTCTAAAAATATGCATATTTGCTCAGTTGAAAATTATATTATTGACTTAATAATGCTTGTCATGCATCATTAATATAGAAACAAGTCATTAAGGGATAAATTGATGTCATAATTGGCATTGTTTTCTTTGTAAATATCCCTCTAATAATACTCTCAAAATGTATGATTATGAGCAAGTTCACCCTTTTACCCTTGTATGGAAATAAAACTGTTATTTCAGTAGTGCGTATATTATACACAGCAATGAGTATCCCCTCATTATTTGGTTAGGGAGGATAGTTGGATGGGGTGACTGTTTTATCATTTTATACCCATTTGAAGCTACAATGTGGGATGTGCCACACTGCTATTGCCTTTAACAATTGCAACACTAATTTCATTTTCTTAAACTCTTTTACATATCACCACTCCATTGACTCTATGTACATCCTTCCATATTTTAGGCTCACAAGAAGACTGTCCTTCCTGGGGGTTCCCCTAACCCACCCTCCAACGCCCCTCTCCGTGTCATGTTCACCTTCTATGCCGCCACCGTGGTCTCGGCCATCTCGTCGCCGGGGGCGATCAAGGAAGTCTTCTTGGCCTCCATCCTCCCGTTCCTCCTCCGAGGTCTAAAGCTGGACTACCTGGATTATAATGGCGCTACCTACATGATCGTCTGCCAGCTCGGTGTGTCTGCAACACTCAAGAACACGCTCTTGGAGCCCCTCATGGAAGCCATGTGCCAGGTGGGTAACGGGCTCTTTATAATCACTTTCGTGGCGCCGTTTCCTCATGGCTGCACTCTTTTATCGCTCTGCCTTTTTGTGTTATTTTCACCGTTTTGTGCATACTTTCTCAATAATTCTGAGTCCATATCTGGTATATCTATAATTTTAAAATTTTAAATTCTGATGTAGTCATTATTATGTGTAATTTCATATTCTTCTTTGCTGTTACTTGTAATTCAATGTTTTTAACATGTTCCTTTGGTTTCTCTCACTTTTCCTTCCTTTTCCTTTCTTCTTTTTCTTGCGCTTAGAACATAAGTATTAAGGGCTTTATAAATATAATGTATTTATATTATTATAAAGTCTGTCACTGTGAGGTTGATGATAGAACAAGATCTTAACAGGCCTGAAGTGGCCAATTTATTTTGTTACATGTTCATTCTGCATCAACATCTTCCAGACCTAACAAACAAATATGTATATCAGCTTACTACTCAGTTTGAAGCCTATTTATTGATGAAATTTGTATCATCAATTGTTATATAAATCAAAGTATTGGATTACTTTGAATGTCCATGAGATAGCAGCATTGCAATTTGTATGTTTGTGATACTTGTAGTTTGCAACCAATTTTTCTTACAACTCTCGTCCATGTTACTTTTATCTATGTGAGTATACAAATGTCAGCTTTGTTACCATGACTTTATACACAAGGGCCCCCGAGATTAAATGAAAACATTCATTATTTTAACTCTTACCCAAAACTATCCCCTTATACTTGTTTGTAATGTGGAGTCATGGGTATAAGTAAAACACGATAATAGACAGAGAACTTTTTTGTTGTTAAACTTTTGAAATTTATTCTTTCTCTTTTAGCATGTGAATGCTGAGATGATCCAGCAGATGTTAGGGTGCTTAGCAGTGTTGTGTAGGACTCAGAACATCAAACAGCTTCCTGGAAAGTAAGTGGAGAGATGTTATGTAATTTATCTTTTAAAGCCACACTGTCCTACTTGTAGCTACTTGCTTCCTCTATGTAGAAAACAATGTTTTAATCGGTGACCATTGGTCCCCCATGATCCTCTATTTCTTATGTTAATTGAGAGCTGAGTTGATGAGATAACCACCTGTCCAGTGACCTTGCAGGGTAGTCTAATCCCTCCTATAAACTAGTGCAGATAAGCTTTAATAACCATTTGGAATAAATATCTATATTTTATGCAGAGTAAACATATTTGCAACTTAATTGGTAATATAATTTTATTTTTATTTTTTAAAGGTAACCCTAAATTCAACGAGTATTAAGTACACAATGAGTGTAAAGAGACATGAAAGCAAACGATTTTTACTGAAGATAATTGTCAGTTGTATATCGATTTCAAATGCTCCAATCTTTCTTCAGGACATTTTAAAGAAAATGGATGGCTTTTAATAACGTAACAGTACAATAAAATGTGTATATTACATAGATAATCTGGCAAAGTAATTGAAATTTCAGTTGATTGAAGAGAAAATTTCTGTACATTGTTAAAGTGCTTGGTCAGATATATTGTTCGCAATTTGTAATCTCTTTCAGAGTGATGTTCCAGATCTGTGCCTTGCCGAAGGTCTTGATCTCCCTCGCCCAGCTGTCTAAGTCACACAACATCACCCCTCTGCTCGCTGCCCTGCTCCCTCACCTGACTACCACAGCTATCAATGCAGAAGTCAGTGAGGAAATTGAATTTCCAGAGGGGTGCAAGGAGCTGGATTTGATAGCCTCCCTGACTGGAATCCTGAGAGAGATCCATGTGGAGAGCCACATTGTGGTTGACACTGCAAGGTGATGAAAATGCATTTTGAAATTAAAATTTCTATGTACCTGCAATTGGTATTATTTGTTTGAAATCTATTGTAGATGTAATTACTTCTTTGTGTTTGGCAAGTCATTAGGGTTATTCTCTGTCATGAGATTTCGGGCTGACAAGGGCAGGACCATTTGAAGCCAAAAAATTCTTAAGAACTTATTTGGTAAGAGCCACTATTAATAATAAAGCAAAGTGGAAGGAAAGGAAAGAGAAGAGAAGAGAAGTGGGAGGGATGGAGGGGAGAGGAAAAGCGGTTAGATGGTGTGAAAGGGTCAGAGTAGGGCCGGTCAAACAGATATCAAAATCATTCAGAGAAATGTCTTCTATAAAATCTACTTTTGTCGTTTGTTTTATTTCATCATTATTTCAACAATTCTATATTTCCCCATTCGGTTAATAGGTGTCTTCTCCATGGGTATGTGTCTGCATGTACCGATGGCCTCGATGACGACCGCAGGAGAGACCTCAGAGAGAAGATCGCTCCTGTAGTGCAGAGCTTGGAAAGGAGGTAATACAAAGTTTGTGTTCATAATAATATTCTGTTCCTATGCATTGTATATCACATTATGATGTTGTAACGTACCTATGCTCTCCCAAAGAGTTATGGATATTATCACCTTGGCTTGAGTTCCAGCCACTTTCATCAGCACACAGTGGATTTCAAGGAATCATCTTACCAGGGGGCTTTTCACAAAACTTGTCATCAATGACAAATGACAGTTTTTGTTATAAGCTACTGAAATCCTTGCTTCTGATTGGTTATCAGCAGATTTGTCACTGATTTTGTGATTTGTCATTGAAAAAAGGCTTTGTGAAATGGGCCCACGTGCCCATTTACCTTACTTGTTGATTGTGGCATTCTTTGATTTATATTAGCATGATAATGTTTTGGCAGAGATTTGAACCCTGTACATTGTGGTTCTCAGTCTGGTGACTTATCCACTAGACCACAACACTTCTACCCCTGTATAAATTCAATCTGTTTCAAAATTGCTCAACCTTGTATCAGCAATCATAAACTAAGTTTGCTACCTTTTTCAACCATACTTTTTCTTTGCCTTTATTTCAAGGTTTCCCGAAGCAATGGATTTTATTCTTGAGTCTTACCTAGCGGAGGTGGAGGATCAGGATAAGCAGCAGTATGTCCAGGATTTTGTCTCTATGTACTCAGGAGGCATGAAACATCAGGTAATTTTTTTAATTAATTTTTCTTTTCCCAATACTTGCTGATGTACTCTGTGATATCATGCAATACCTGTAAGATGGGAAAGTTTTAGATTAATTGCACTAGCAAATTCATTGAGACCAATGGCAATTCTCATAAGAAAAAGGGCACAAATTCAGCTCTCTCTATCATCGTGGTTGGTTTTATTGCATGGTTTGCTCATAACCTTTAATTTGTCTGTCTTAAAGCAATCATGAAATACAAGGTAGCGTTCTGTATTTGCTTATGGTAGCTTTCAAAGGTATCTTTTGATTTTGAGAATTCTTTTTTTACTTCTCTGTTTTATTTAATCTCAATTTTAATTCTTGTCATTCAAATTTCAATTTCACTTTGTTTTTATCTTTCTCTATTGTTTATTATACTTAGGATCTATTGTATTTTTTATTTGAGTGTTCAAGCTCAAGTGTAATTTTATTTAATTCCAATAAAAGCATATACACATACAACTCAGAAATGCAGCAGAGATGCAAATCATTATACATGGAATTAAGGGTACAATGAAAGACCAAGGCAATCGTGTCAAGATAGTCTCCTCATGTAAAAAATCAAAATAGATATAATTTTCGATAGCATTTCAATAAGTGGTATGATTTAACATTTCATCTTCTGATCTCTACCCTCCCAGCTTCTCCCTGAAGCTAACACAAGCCTGGTATTGAGTCTTAACCACGCCAATCCAGATGTGAGAAGAATGGCTGTCAATCACATCCACAATCTCATTCAACAGGTGTGTAGCTGTCTTACCAGTTATTTATGTTTATGCCTCCGTTACGAAGTAGCCAGAGGCATTATGTTTTCGGGTTGTCCGTCCGTCTGTACGTACATCTCAAGAACCGATTGATGGATTCCTGCCAAACTTAGGTTATGTATGTATCTTGCAGAGCCAATGAATTGATTAGATTTTGGGGTCACGAGGTCAAAGGTCAAAGGTCACAGTGCTCATTATGTATGCATGAATAGCTGGTGATCACATTATTAGAACCGATGGACAGATTACCATCACACACAGACATGTATGTATCTTGCTGAGCCAATGAACTGATTAGATTTGGAGGGTCAAAGGTCAAAGGTCATGGGGCTCATTAATCATTATAAATGCAAAAATAGCTTGTGATTGCATTATCATCAGAACCGATGGATGAATTACCATCAGAACCGATGGATGAATTACCATCAAACTCAAGACATGTATGTATCTGCAAAGCCAATGAACTGATTAGATTTTAGGGTTATGAGGTCAAATATTAAAGGGTCATACTGTACATGTATATGAAAAATAGCTTGTAATCACGATATTCTGAGAACCTCCGAATGGATTACTATTAAACTTGAATTTGAAAAATTGCTTCTGTTTTGGTTTGTGAAATCGCTCTTTGGCGGAGGCATCATTTTCGACTGCACGCAGTCAAAGTTCCATCTAGTTAAGATTGTTCTCTTGTTGTCATATCCTAGAACAGGTAGATTTAAAGCAATACAATTTCATTTGAGGAAAACTTCTGGGATCATTATGAGTATGTACGCCTAAGAATTTGTTTACATTGATATTAGTATTAGTCAATAGTTATAGAACCCCATGGAAGAAGTGGGTTCTTCTCCATATGAATTTATGATTTACCATTTATATTTTAATTTTGTGATTAATGTTAATGCTAAATCAAGATAAGCAGTAGTCGCATCTATTCAATAATCATGCAGTCATATATACATTTTTTTATAATTTCTTTTCTTCACCCCACCCTCTCTCTCTCTTAAAGGGAGGAGAGTTAGAGCCATTTTTCCAGGAGAGTCTGCTTCAGAGACTACAAGATGATTCCCTCTCTGTAGTAGGTGCAGTCCTGCAGATTGATGAGGTAAGAAAGAAACAAGAACTTCAAGGCTTACAATTTCAACTTCTGTATGCACCATGTGACTCTCTTCCTTTCCCTACCTCTGATTTCCTATATCCTCCTCTTTCCTCTACCTCTCTGGTACTTATGCACTCCTCTTATCACTGTTAGACTTCTTTTACTCCCTATCTGATCTGCTTCTAACTCATCCTGCTTGAATAAGATCAGCTTCCAGTTTATTAGTTATCATTCTTTTATGTTGTAAACGTTTGAGCAAACAATAATAATAATAAATAATTGTTGGGATTAATTTCCTCAGTGAAACCTGTATATATACGTAACTAAAAACCACCCAAGAGAAGCAACGAAAAGTGGTTCCTTCATATATTTGTCAATGTAAATCAATCTTGAGAAATTAGAAGTGTTGTCTATACAGACAGGTAGTCTTATTATACAGGTGCTTGTTATTGAAGGTTTGACTTTATTTGTTAATCATTCTTTGTGAAAATATACCAGTGACAAACAAATGACCAAATAGGATATAAATATTGAATATAATTTTTGTTTAAATGTTGTGATACAAGTTTGAATCATTGCTGTATGGAGTGCATTTTTACACCTAGTCATACATTATTATCATTGCTTTCTATTTCAGTGCCTTTGTGAGTTGCTCCCTGCGGATCCAGTGTTTGCAGCTCTCCAGAAACTCCTCAACAAAAGGAAGAAGAGGCATGGTGATGATTGGTAAGTAACAATTCATATGACATCAACTCAGGTGTAGGATTCCAAACATGTTTCTCTTCTCTATCGCAGTACAATGATGCCTTTCTGTGATGCTTTGTATACAGACAATCAAAGGATGAGGATTCTTCAAAGAAAAGGTTGGATTTCTTGATACAAGTCTTTTCTCTGATTTCTTATGACTCTTTTAGAGACTTCAGATGAGAATGAAATGAAAAATCATTATATCTTGTTTCTTCATTCTACATTTCTTCTTCATTGGATGTTTATAAGCAGGTTCTCAAAATTCATCTATGCAACGATGATCATGAATTTCTGTTAATTTAAAGGTAATACAAAGTGTTGGTATTGGGTCATGAATTTGGTTCAAATGAACATATTGGAAGCATATGCGATCCTATAATATTCAGTGATCGTTGTCGCGGTGGAAATCGAGTCTAAAGTTATGAAATTGTAAATAATTAACTCTTTATGTTGTATAGCTCCCTCTCAAGGTCAATATTTTAATTAAGCTATAAAATAATGTTTATTGACTAAAATCGACCGATTAGCTATTTTCGTTTGGGAATTATATATCACAACTACATATTCTGAGATTTTCATGGTCGTAGCTACATGTACCATAATTCAGCCGTAGGCGCTATTTGAAATTTATCAACATTTACCGGGAGCACCGGTAAATTTTTATGTTCAATTTTTCTCGAAAGCAGAAGTGTTTTAGGGGCTAAAGTTTCTAATGCTTATAATACATCAACAGGGGTATCCAATTATATTAAATTTGTAAAAAATCATGATCCACCCAATTTCAAAATTTCCCAAAACTTGTATTACCTTTAAAACCCCACTGTACTACTTGTAGCTACTTGCTCCCTCTATGTAGAAAACAAACTTAAGACTAAGCAGTGCCCGTTGGTCCCCCATGATCATCTTTTTCTTATGTAAATTGAGAGATGAGTTGATGAGATAGCAACCTGTCAATGACCATGCTGGGTGCTCTAATCTCCCGGCCAAACTAGTACAGGCGGGCTTTAAGCTGATTTGATTAATGTCTGTAAATTGATGGGAAACTGTTTAATGTGTGTACGAGTGTTATATAGATGGATTTATCATCATTTTTATTATTAGGGGCAACATGGTCAAAGGAGCAATCAAGATCATCACCAGCCAAGCCTTCGTCTCCAAGGCCCCTCACCTGGTAGATGATGCGGTTGCCATGACGATACCACACATCTTCCTAACCACCCAAGCAAACTCTAGCTTGGAGTTGGAGCTTCGAGCTGCAATTGCTAGATCCCACCTGGTCACTAGTCATCCACTGATGAAAGGCTTAAAATCTGGTGAGTTACAATTATACACATTGTTATTTCTTACTGTGAATAAATATTGATATCGTATTTGTGTTAATTATTTTGAATGTGTGATCCTTTTGATATGGTGCCATCGGTCTTGCATTACAGACAGTGTTTGATGCAAATGGATATTGATATTGGTATCCATGCTATGGATTTTACTCTGGATTTTAAAGAAAAAAATTGAAAGAATTTAGCAGAAGAGAAATGATAATCACCATTTAAACATTTAAGAAGTTATAATACATGAATGTATCTTTTAGTAAATATTATATTGACCTCAAAGGGACACTTAAAGGCACACTGTCCTACTTGTAGCTACTTGCTCCCTCTATATAGAAAACTTCCCCAATCGGTTCCTGTTGGTCTCCCATGATCCTCTTTTTCTTATGTTAAATGAGAGCTGAGTTAATGAGATAGCCACCTGTCACAGTGACCTCGCTGGCTCGCTTGGTGGTCTAATTCCTTCTGGCTGAAGTAATGAAGCCTGCCTTTAAAGGTGTGAATTAAAAAAAATATCCATTGGTAGAACAAATTCCCTTTTGATGCTTAAGAGGAGTAAGATTTATTTTTAAAATAGGAGAAAATATAGTCTAATTGTGAGAAGAAAAAAAAAATGAATGAACAGATGATTGGACCAATGTACTGTATAATATGATCCCAATATTTAATCAACAGCCCCATTTTATAAGATTGTTCTTTCTTATCCCTTACTCCCATATCCTATAGCCTTGACATCCAAAAAAACAGTGAATGAAAGGCAGACGACCACCAAGGTTTTAGATCTTTTGGGCAAGAACATGGCTGCCATGAAGCAAGAAGAATTGGACAAAATGGTGAGTGTCTTTTCATGAAAGTCTCATCTTACTCTTAGCCATTCTTAGTTAAAGATTTCATCCACACCCTCAAAGCGGGACTGCACTACTTGTAGCTACTTGCGCCCTCTATATAGCAAACAATGCATAAGCAGTACCTGTTAGTCCACCATGATCCCCTTTTTCTTATGTTAATTGAGAGCTGATTTGATGAGATAACCACCTGTCAGTGACCATGCTGAGAGGTCTAATCCCTCCTGGCCAAACTAGTGCAGAGACGCTTTAAAGAGAAGGTCAAAATATTCAAATTTGATTGATAATCTAATACCCCATTCACAGTGGTTTTGAAATTTGTAGCGGCGTTGTAGCGGAGCGGCGACACCGCCATAACACCGCTACAAATGCATTCACAGTAGAAAAGTTATCCCGCTGCAGCAGCGGGATAAATATCATGTACCCATTCACGCTGCAGCGGGTGATTTTTATTACCTCCGTAACAAACACGTGTATGCATGGCTCATGACCCGCGAGTGACCCCGATATGACCGGAAATACTTGCTTGAAATTGCGCGGTAAACATGTCAAGTTGCTTTTTGTATCCTCGATCATATTACTTTTTAAAAAACTAGCATTTTTATTGCTTCCAGTCAGAATATTTTAATTTTTTGAAGTGTGAAATATTTTTATTTGGATAATTATAATACCTACATAATAATAAAATCAATTTGAATCCACTGGTTACTTTATTTCTATTTCACTTTATGTTCCCCATTGCTGTAGAAAAGAGGTCAGTGATAGGTAAGTAAACAAATCACACGTGTTTGTCGCGGTGTTATAGCGGAGAGCCTTCACACTGAGTAAACACCGCGACAGCAGCGGGACTGTCCCGCTGCTGTAGCTAGGCGTCCCTAGCGATAGTTTGTGTCGGCGTTATCGCTAGGCGGTGTTATCCCGCGATAGTTTATAACGGGTCCGAGCCTTCACACTGAAGACAACACCGCGACAGCAGCGGGACAGTCCCGCTGCTGTCGCGGTGTTTGAGGCCACTGTGAATGGGGTATTAGATGTTTCCTTACGGGTCAATTGGTGACATGCATGAGTAGGAAGAATGGCAATTAAACACGCTTTTAGTTTTACAGTACTTTCAAAATACATCTTAGCCAATTGAAAGCTTTTGTCCTGAATGAGCTCATAGTGTAAGTTGTCAAACTTTCATATCTTGGGACTTGTAACAAATGGTGTTGTGCTTCTGTCATCTTTTATTGCACACATATACTATATATGTTACACTTTCTTTTATTTGAAATAATACTTGATGAGACAATATTTACATCATAAAACTTCTTGGACATCCCCAGGTCCATATAGTTTTTCTATCACCATTAAGACTTTGAATTGTTGATCAAAAAAATTGAATGCGGAAGGTTCAATTTCCTGTTGGCTTATTGAATAAACTGTTGCCTTTGCCCAGGTTTCATCTCTGCTCTCTCATCTGGACGCCACATCCAAACCCGAGGCTTACAGGCTGATCGTAACCACCGTCTTCCTACGAGCCCTGCAACACATTCATGACAATGTATCCAAGCTGTACATGGCCAGGAAACTTCTTGCAGTGCTGGAAGTAGATGCATTGAAGACTTGTCATAAGAACATTGAACTAATCAGGATGGAGCAGGTATGTCTCATGGTGTTACTACCTGTAACCCTTTAAATTTGCAATTTTGAAAAAAGTGATTTAAAAAAAATGATGAAGGATTTAATAATAATTGAATAATTGATAATGTAATGATTCATACTTTGTTTGTTCAGAGCCAGAAGGGCATAAACTCTTTGTTGAAGTATGCTTTCAAGCCCTTCTTAATCCAAGGTAAAAAATAAAGAGAAATGAGAATGGCTCAAATTTGTGTGTGTCTGTATTATTATTTTTCAAGTATCAATCTGACCTGCTATTGTTATTCTGCCATTGATTGTCCTTAAAAATAGAGTAATGATTAGCTGGAGGAATTTACAATTAATTGTAACATGTCCCCTCAATTTTCCTTTATGTGAGTTCAAGAACTAAATAAGAAATATCACAGCATTTTGCTTGATGTGAATACACAAAAGAAAAAGACTTTTATTAAATGTTCTTATCTTCATTGACAATTTTTAAAACTCACAGGGGGAGGATGGAGAAGAGCAAGATGGCTCCCTCCAGGCAACAGGTGTTCCATCTACAGGTCTCCCACCCCAGCTACACACTCACCTGTCAGCCCTGCTCACATTGAAGAGAAAGCACCGTGTAGCTGGCACGGTATACCTTCATTCATCTCAGGTACAAGCCATGGTATGGGCACTGGAGAGCATGGTGCTCTCTCTTGCACCGACGGTGTCGTCCCTAACACCTGGTGAGTATCTAGGAAATGTTGTTATTTAGTGTATTTTCATAAGCTGATAAGATTGTTAGACCTTATGATTGAGAGGTAGAATGTATTTTAAGGTACTTTAATCTTTTTTGTTGTTAATGCAGTTGTGTTGTTACTATTTCAAAATCAAGTTGATGAGTTTGTGCCCTTTTGCAAGGCATTGAACTTACTTTTTGCTTTACCAGCACTCTTGTTTAAATAATGTCACCGATATCAGCCAAGAATTTGTTTATTCGATGTGGAGTAAGCTACTCACTAGTATATTTAGTCACCTAGGAATGCAAGGCAATAACATGTATTATGTACCTATGAATCTTATGAAACTATTTTTTTACAGATTCAAAATGGTGGGTCCCTGGAACAGAGGCAGGTCATGTCGGAGGTCAGTTTGTGACCTTCATGCTCCAGCTTGTTGACCTCTTGACCCGAGGGTCGTCTGAGTGTCATCTGAAGGACAAGACCAGACAAGGATTCAGGAATATCATACACAGTGTCATCAAGGTATAGTTATCTAATAATTATTGACCATTTCTCTTTATGAATAATATTTTCATTTTGTGGAGGAATGCTAGCACACTGACATACAAATTAAATTCTTTTTCATTTTTTATCCAATGATAATTGCAAAATACGTCATTCTTGTCATTATATTCTGTGTAATACAATTCTCAGAAAAATACTTGACTATGGAAATGATATTTGTAAATTCAAAAATTTCTTTCATAAGCTTGGTGCAGTGTAGCTGTTGATTCCTTTGTAAGGGCCCTGATGTAGAATAGCATTAATGCTGATGAGGCTTTCCAGGGTTAACAAAATTATTATTGTACTTATCGGCAAAATATACAAATAGAACATGGTGAGGATGATACTGAGTGTATTGATTATCTCAAGTTGTTTATTACCTTTTATCCCAATGTGATTCCACTGGTTTTCATTTGATTCATTACAGAATCTGTTCAAAGAGTCCACCAGTTTCCTCAAGCTGCTCAGCATTGGATGGATCGGTCATGTGATACCCTCTCAGCCAATGGGATTCAAGCCTTCACCGCTGTTTCAAGTGCGATGTCTCAACATGGCTTCCGCTATCTTTGGCTCCATGGAGGAAGATGAACTCCATTCTCTTCTGGGGAAGGAGAGTTTTGGTAAGTTCATAGTTTATTTTGGTTTCTTTTTTCATTACTTTTATGACGCTTGCCATTATACATAAACTGTAATGCAAGGGTAGAAAAATAATGGTGAATTTTTTTATTGTATTCCTGGGTCTTGTGAAGAACAGGGCCCCATTTCACAAAAATTGTCATAAGTGACAAATGACAGTTTTTGTTATAAGCTAGTGAAATCCTTGCTTCTGGTTGGTTATCAGCAGATTTGTCACTGATTTTTGTCATTTTGTCATTTGAAAATTGAAAAAAAGGCTTTGTGAAACAGGTCCCAGGTTTTCAATTTCATTGCGTTATTACATGACATGTATGTGTTCAAATTAACTCTGAATCAATGTCGTTCGTTGTGTGCCTCTTGATCACTCTCTTGCAGTTCTACCATGTCTACTGATGGCGCTGTCCAGTCAGCTGGAGCCAGTAAGAGCTGTGACGAATGGATGCCTGAAGACAATCAGTGAAGGTTACCATGGAGACAGTGCCGGCCCCTACCATTGGCTCATCCACCGACTACTCAAGAAGACAGAATCTATTGAGCTAGATCCTGGATATATCAAACAGGTGTGTAAGGGAGAAGAAAAGAATTGAGCTGTTGTTAATTAACCTTAGATCATTTTTTTTTAATGAGGGTCAGACTTACTGCAAACAATGTTGTTAACGTATTTAATAAAATTGCACAGTGTCACATTTTATTGATCAGTATTTTTAACAAATGTATCCGTTGTTAAAAGCATCTTAACTGCAAATGCAATTAGATCCATGAAATATTTCATTTCATGGGTAAGGCTCATATTGCCCTTCTAAGAGGAAATTAGGTTTCAAATTTTGTCTCTCATATAAGTGTTCGTGATGACAAAAGGAAGAACCTGCAGCAATACCCATTCTTTTCCAGGAACAATCCTAACATTCAGTTAGCTGAGCATGTATTGAATCGATAGTATTGTGGTGATTATTATTATTTCAATTTGATGGATTCAGGCCCTTGGGAACTCCCTCATGAAGGCCAACAAGGTCCCAGATGTCACATTCCCAAAGCAGAAGAAAACAGAACCTGATGCGAAAGGAGCTTCAGCCCTACAGGCAAGGCAATGTTTGGAATGGATCCTAGACTATGTGAAGCAAGAGGGCATTCCACATCATGCGCAGAGATCACTTCTTCAGCTCATTGAGCTAGTAGATTCAGAAGTAAGTTGCTGGTTTTGCTTGGAAATTTTTATTTTACAGTTAGATTGTTTACTATATATCTGACTATATTTTTACATTTTGTAAGTTCATAAATAAGATGTGCAGGGTACAAGATTACCATGAGGTTGCCATTCACTTTAATTCTGAATTTATGAACATCTACCAGTAGCAGTTGAACTGTTTATATTACTTTGATAGGAAGCATCTATTCTGCATAGATTTACTTTTCCGCATTCTAAATGTTGTTGAATTAATGCTGATCATGTAATTCTGCCCCCCCCCCAAAAAAAAAAAAAAATAATAATAATAAGACCTGTTTTATCGTATTCCCTATATTAATAGTTTTTGCTACAATAGTGGCAGGAGAAGAGTTATATATAGCGATTGGGATGATTTCACTACAATGGTGACAGCGGTGGGATTTCTATAAACCAACCCCCTCCCCGATTTCCCTACAATACTATTTGTTGTGACTGCCGGTATAATAGTACCCTTCTCCCTGCTTTACAGATTGTGCTATCATCGCTTCTAGACCTTCTCCAAGACCTCCTAGTCCAGGCCTTCGTCGAGGAGGGCTCCCTCAGTGTCGACCAGACACACAGTTTGCAGTGTATCCTGAGTCACCTGACCCCTGAGACAGCTCACCTGATGTCTGAGCAGAAGAGTCTAGACCTCCTGCTGGAGGTGCTGAGTCGGGAGAAGCCAGTCTGCGGAGGTTTGGCTTCCCCATCAGAGATGGCTCTCAAACAGGTAGGTCAAATGATTTCCAATCCTTTTATCGTCTTTCATCTTTAGATTCATGATCTTCTCATTTCCGACTGGCTCATTTTTTTTCCAGGCACCTTAAGCTCTGCCATTTTGTCTGCAATGCTTTAACCCCCTATAAGCCCTTCTGAATATAATATACACCAGTCTAGGTATTTTGCCTAGAGCACTTTGGAATCAACGTAGACCAAATAACAAGTTGAATGTTTATAGTTCAAGATAAAGAGTGTAACCAAGTATTATCTAATTAATATTTGGACATTTTTGCCATTGCAACAAAATGGCAAAAGACCTGAATCGGTATTGATGTTGATGTACACCCATGCATTAACTGGTCCCCATTTTGTAATATTTAAGTACTATAGTTGGATAAGCTATTTACATGCATATAATTGTATTTCATCAACTGAACTTTTCAACTCGATTTGTCCTTCTGAATCAACAACCAGCATTAGAATTTGTTTTACATACTCATTAATGATGTGACGATGTTGATGTTTCAGATGACTGGAGCATTCTTCACAGCCCTTCCAACAGCCGATGTCCAGCAGTCAGTACTGGCCAGACTGATTGACCTGCAGGTGGACACACACAATTCAGCTACAGCTAATCATCTAGCTAAGGTCTTCAAGAAGGTCAGTTAGAGAGAATTAAAAGTCTAAGAGAGAGAGAGTGTGTTTGTGTGTTAAATGAAAAACCTGTATTAAAATTTAGTGTAGTAAAAGGAAATTGTTTCATTTGTAAGAGACTGATGAGTTCTGAGAAGAGGTGACAAATAATTTGTGAGCATTATCATTGTATTATGCAAGTGTTGAAGAACATCAGATAAAACATATTCCCTGAAAAGCATGACTTTTCAAATGCCTTAATATTCCAAATATGGCATGTAACATTATAACAATCGGGACAGATTTTTATGCCACATGTTTGTGTAGTCCCTTGTACATCTTTCTGTGTACAGTGCTTGTAACTTTACCAAGACTGGGCCAATTTTTTTATCATTTTGATGATTCCAGAACCTTGCATTACACACCAATACTTATATGCTAGAGGATAAACCTTTTTGATCGATTCCACAACATTTCTTTCAACTTTATCTTTAAGTTTGATCAGACAAAGGAAATTTGAGCAACTTAAACATGTGATATGAATTAAATGCATACTTTTGTCTGGCATTCAGCTTCCACTGACTGCAGCACAGGTTGTGAAAGAGCTTACCCAAATCACAGCAGGTCAGAAGCCGAAGAGTGTCAAGGATGCCAGAAGAGTCAGGTAAATCAATCTTTTTGTTTTGGTACAAGTATAATAACATTTATATCCTACTTTGCTCTATCTTTCTGCCCCATGTTCTGTAGTTCATATTTTTCAACTTCATAGTTGCCATTCTTTTTGTAAATGTATAATAGTTGCTACAGAAAACATTGCCAAATGCTATTTTAAGTTTAATTCGTCAAAAGCTTGCACACACATTAAAAAAAATCACCTAGTTCACAAAAATCATTATTGAACATAAACATTTTTATTCAATATTTATTTCTCTGTTTCATTGTAAAGTTCATAGAAGTTGAGGATGAACTGTTGAAACAAAAGTTTTAGCAAGAAATTAACTCTATTTGGAATTTAAACATGTGATACAGCGTTCAAATTCTCGGGAGAAATTCAAATCTCGTACCTGGAAGCGGCTAGACTAGCGGTCAGTCAACAGTTAATGTTTCTTGAACCCCCGTTCTTTGATTTAACTTTCAGGCAAAAGCAGAAGACGGCCAATGTGGACGATCCATCGCAGGCGGCAACAAGCGAGGGCCGGGTGTGGCAGAGGGTCATGACTATCCTGGAGAACCTACAGCAGAGGAAACTAGGGAAGATGGAAGGCAGGCATACCATTGTACCCACGCTCTTCACCATCCTCAGCCTGTAAGTTCTCATTGCATATACATTCAAACCTGCTTCAGTGACCACCTGTCTATAAAGACCACCTGTCTACAAAGAACACATTTTTGGTTTCCCTTGAAAATGGTTTGTCATTAACCCTTACTGTACTGGGGGGGGGGGGCCTGGGAGGCCCCCCCCCCCTCAACATTTTCGGAGATCGCGCTGCAACCGCTCAGAATTTTGAATTGTCGTTTCATGACTTTTTTCCCCCAAATCTTACGCACATTTTGATACCATTTTCGTCGAAATCGGATATACCTGTAAGGTGTTACATAACAATTAGTATGCGCACGTCATCAAAAAAGTGCTATAATTGCATATATTCATGTACAAGCAGAAATGTGAAGATATGAATTGATATCAAATTGCTTTTATATGTTTCTCAAAGTAACTTGATGTATTTCAGAACAAAAGAATACATTAGAAATAAAACAATAGATATAATAAGAAATAAAAAACAATAAAATACATAAGAAAATAAATAGTTGAAAATCGCATCAAATTTGCATAAATTATCATTATTAATTACATCAAATAACTGTTTTGTGTAAGAAAAGAAGTTTTTTATATGAATAATGAGTTTCAACATTCAAAAAGGGGAGTCTGACAATTTTTGTAGTGATTATAGTTCCCTATATATATTTCCAGATTTTGATATTCATGAATGCATATTCATAATTTATGCAAATTAACCTATGCATTTTCAAATATCATAAAAATAATGAAACCTCATGAATTTGAGATGAAGGAAACATTTATTCAATACATTTTCAAGATTCTTCACAAGTCTACGGACAAATATGTAGAGTTTTCTGTAAAATGCATAAAATTAGCATTTTGCATAATTAATTAGGCTATAACGACAAAAATTTGCATATTAGGAAAAAACTAATTATACCATCTTGTTCCTTACGTAAATATCTACAAACATGCAAATTTTCGCGTTCATCGGACATTCAACGGCCGAGATCATAGGGGGGGGGGCCTCCCAGGCCCCCCCCCCCCCAGTCAGAGAGTGCTCGAAATAGCCCAGTACAGTAAGGGTTAAAACATGTACTAAAGGAACCTGTCTACAAAGACCACTTGTGTTTCCCTTGGGTGGTCGCTATAGACAGGTTTGACTGTACATTCTAACCTGTCTATAGAAGCCACCCAAGGGAAACAGGAAAACTTGTCTCCACAGACAGGTGGCCTTTATAGACAGGTCCTAGAAAACTCATTTCTTACTTGTGAGAAGCAGTAGAGGTGACCACTATATGCAGGTGGCCTTTACCGCTAAAACAGGTTTGACTTTACATTCAAAATTTATCTATAGAGGCCCTTATTGTGAACGAGAGAGAGAGAGAGTAGCTGCTGTAGACAGAGGGCCTTTATATACAGCACGGTTCACAGGGTCATGGAAAAAACCTGGAACCTGGGACCCATTTCACAAAGCGTTCGTTCAATGACAAATACAAAATACAGCAACAAATCTGCTGATAACCAATCAGAAGCAAGCTTATAACATAATCTGTCATTTGTCACTGATGACAAGTGTTGTGAAATGGGGCCCTGGGAAGTCATGGTAAAATAAATTCTCCTTGAAAGTCATGTAAAATGAAATAAAAATCTCCCTGAGACATGGAGAGTCATGTGGTAATTTGTAACTATTTGAATATAATTGTACTTGATTGTTTGTTACCTTGTAAAGCATAAAGAAACTTTGGTTTATTATGCGCTCAATAAATCTATCTTTATTATTATGTGGAATAAAGACCTCTCATGCATTTCACACTTTTATACTCTCATTTTTACCATTGCCGCTCTTACATGTAGGTGCCTAGAGCTACCTGCTACTGATCAGGGATCTACTGAATACATAAAGCAACTCCTTCTCACCACTATCCTCAACATCTGCGATCATCTGGGCGATACAGACGCAGAAGAAGCAGGTATGATCTCAACACTGCATTTTGTTCATGTCCTAAATTGTCAGTTTTAGAATTACAAACCAAAACAACTACCATCTAATTCATTCAATGTATTTATGTGTCCAAACTAAGTTCAATATGGAAATACTGTATGTTTCACTCACATGTAATATAAAGGCTCAGACATAGTTTACAAAGGACATCAATAGGATACAATATATGGATACATTTTGGTGATGACAAAATGATAATCATACATTATATTGATTTTTATTTGGTTATGGCTTGTTTGGTTTCCTTAAATTACATAATTTAGCTGTCTTCATGCATATTTGAAGACAAGCTCAGGCATCAAGCTTTAAATGTACATTCCACATTTGTTGTCTGCCGAGGGCTAAAAGACCTGTCAATGCCATGTAAACTAAGATTACTGTGTGTTCATCTGGATCCGTGGAAACAATTTTAATCTTGAGCCAGATGTAGCTAGCTCTTGTGCAATTTTCTGATTCTATATTACATTTCATGCTCAATCTTTATTTGTTTGCCATGTGTGGCTGTTTTGGTCAAATTAGTGCATGCATGGATCTCAATTCTTATTTGGAAAAAAAGGCAGTCATTTGATCAATTTGATGCATCCTGTGTTTCAACAATAGTTGGACATGTTTGGGGGCTGCACTTTAAAAAAAAAAAAATTAGTATTCCATGGAAAATTTCACCTGTAATCATACTTCATGTACTAATTTAATTGAATAAAAATAACCCTTTTTTTGTAATCCTTCGTAATTTTTCAGGGCCGCTTATAACAGAAGAGCAGTTCAGCGTTGAGTTGGTGGTGCAGTGTATTCGTACCTCAGACAATCCTCAAACACACAACCATGCTTTGCTTCTACTGGCTACTGCTGCTAAACTCTTCCCTGTAAGTTCATTCACCATTATTGTTTTTGCTCTCCTTCCCATCCTCATAATGTATGTATACTGGACTCGAGAAGCCACTCATATGAACTTTTGTAAGAGGTAGCCTTGTAGAAGTGTGTATTTTATATAATAATGATAATAATGATAATATTGGATTCTTATATAGTGCACGTATCGACTTTGCAAGGTCCTCAAAGCGCTCCAACATTACCCGGCTATGCTAGGCTGCCGATTTCGGTGCTCACAGCATTTAAGGAATTCCTTCCTACCGGTACGCATTTAACACCTGGGTGGAGAGTGGCAAGTGTAGATTAATGTCTTGCCAAAGGACATTAGTGCTGTTCATGCAGAAATGTGAACCTTGCTTAATGAGAGGTTAAATCATACCAACTAGTGGTTTTGCGAAGGTGGGGAAGCTAATTTACAAGTTTACAACTCACTGGACCCTGTTTAATAAAACTTGTTATCAATCACAAGTTACAATAACTGTTACAAGCTGCTGAAATTGGCGCATCTGATTGGCTGAGTGGAAATTTGTCATAGAAGTTTATTATTTGTTATTGATAACAAGTTTTATGAAACAGGACCCTGATTTATCATTGAAGTATTTACAATGAATGAATATACAAGACACGTGGGGAGTGTTTCATAAAGCTGTTCGTAAAGTTACGCATGACTTTACGAACGACTTGTGTATGAAAAGCCGAATGGGATGCTCAACCATTATTAAATACATCAACTAAAGTTGAACTGTGCAGATGTAGATTAACATTCTTATGATAACAAACATTTTTAATGCAAAGTATATTTTTTGCCATAATTTAATTGAGGTTATTGAAAATATCAGAAAAACTTTGGGCATCCTATCTGGCACTTCATATACAAGTCTTTCGTAAAGTCATGCGTAACTTTACGAACAGCTTTATGAAACACCCCCAGAAATGTTAGCATTATAAATGGTATACCCAATATCATTTTTATTAAATTCTTAACTGCCCACTTTATGAACATTGCAGTATTGAGTGATAAACCGTGTATTCAGAGGAGATTTTAGTTACCTGATATAATGTATACCCAACAAGACAACTAACACCATTTAACTCATTTGATTTCTCTACCTGATCTTTTTAGGAGCATGTGTTGCATAACATCATGGCAATCTTCACATTCATGGGAGCGAGCCTTCTACGGCAGGATGACAGTCATAGCTTCCAGATCATCCACAAGACAGTGCAGACCGTTATACCCGCTCTTGTCAAGGTAAGCAGAGACACACTAACTCTCGTGCTTCCGCAGGTCGCTGTCACCTGTACCTCTCTGCCAACCTTTAAGAGAGAGAAGTACTCGGGATCCAGCTCTGTTAAGCTACGGATGTCTTTTTAGCTGCACATAGATCATTGTAGACCATTTATTGAGACACTGTATATACAACTGCACAGCACCTACATCAGTACGAGATACACCCGAAGGCGGCCTGTACTTATAGCAAAGAAGAAGAGGAACTCATTTTAGCCCATGGGAAAGCAAGTTTTTGAAAACCCACACAGTGAGAGACAATAAATCAAGAACATTATAACCTCTTACAATCAGAGTAAGAGACTCAACTCTGATGATGATCCGGTGCAGATTTCCCACAAATCTTTGGCAGATATCTTTAATAGAAAATGCAGGGTATATTGATGTTGAGGTGAAGATGGTGATCGCAATCATGTGAATATGATTGAACTGATAATATCATAGTGATAGTGAGGATGAGTACATTAGTATTTAAGAGATAGGGATATTCATTCTTGATACAATAAACAAAATATTTAAAAAATGTGATGAGCAATTGGATCATATTACTGAAATCATCATTAACATAGGAAATTAGAAATGTCATGATGTATCATTGAGATCACCACACCACAAAATGAGCCCCAAATTACCAATGATGTCAGAAGAGCATCCAAATTATTGAAACTTATTGATTAAAAAAAAAAAGCATTACATTGAGAGGTAACACCTTACTATGTTTTTATTCATCCCACATTCAAACATGAATTCAGGCAAGCAAGGACCAGTCTCTCCCATCCTCCCTAGCAGGCAACCTGGAGGATGTCGTAACCATGGTGATGCAGACCTTTGTGGATGCCTTCCCTCACATCCCTGAGCACCGTCGTCTGCCCCTCTTCACCCACCTGGTGCAGTCTGTGGGCGGGATGGAGTATCTCTGGAGGGTCATCCTGCTGCTGATTGGAGGGTATGCGACCAAAGGAGCGACGGCCATGCTTCCCGAAGAGACAGAGACTAAGGTATGATTGAGATGTTTATTCCCAGTCTGGTTTGTCCTCACTGAGGAGGCATGCCTGAAATTTATGTTTCAGTTTCCTTTTCTGTCTGCACATCGAGTTTTATCTTGCGGCCCATGTAAAACCATCAGATCTTCCCTGAAATAGATCTAGTTCGAAATACATCTAGTTGACTGCTGGGCCCTGTTTCATAAAACCTGTCATCAATACCAAGTTTCAATAATTGTTATAAGCTACTGAAGTCATGGCATTTGATTGGCTGAGAGCAAATTTGTCATAGAAGTCTAGCATTTGGTATTGATACCAGTGATATAAAACAGGGCCCTGGTCAATGTCAAACAAATGGTGCTCCTTTGTCTTGGGATTCTTTCAAGGTAGCTTCATTAGAATCACAGAATTTATTTTAGTTCACCTTATATTTCACATAATGATTTGATAGAAAAGGAACAGGAAGTATGAAACATACAGTGTTCAGGCCATTCAAGAATTGTTTTTTTAATTTGTTCAAACAAGAATATTCAAGGTTCAGTCTTCTCTTCTACCCATTCACGATGATATTGACTGTCTAAAATTTGGACAGGGTTGCTCACAGGTGTGATGAAACTTATCGTCATTTAGATTCTAGAATCAAACATGTAAGCCCCTTTCTTATTGATAGATCAGTACTGTAAATATATCTATAATTACAGTATCTATAGGTTCGACATTAAAAGTGCATTTTTCACCTATTCTCATCTCTAATCAGGGTCCTGGCAGGAACCTTGAGTTCTGGTTGACGCTTTGTCATCATTTTGATCCTGATGTCCAAGTGATCAGTCTTACCAAGATGCTGGGTTACCTAGCAACCCTCAAAGGAAAGAAAGAAGGTAATCTCATACAGAAGAATAATAGGGGAAAAGATGGCTATTGGGTTGAGGTTTATGTGTTTATATGTTGAGGGTGATAGTTGTTCATCATGACAATGTTGGCAGTGAGAATGCTGTTGGTGGTGATAAAGTTTTTTTAATAAAGATGTTCGCAGTTGAGGCTTTTGTGCAGATATTCATCTGCCAAGTTGTTGAACAATGGATCATTATGTTTAGACAGTGATAATGTTGATGATTTCTGTAAACATAGTGGGTATCCATTAGGCTCACACTAACATAAAACACAGAGAAATTGACTTTAAAAAAATTTCTTATTTAAAATAAAATGAAAAGCTACAGACTTTAAGTCTATACCTTAATTCTTTTCTCATCTAGGTGTTGTCAAGACGCCATCTCGCTATTCCAGGTCATCACGTTCAGCGGGATTGACTCCAGGGTCAAAGGGCACGACACAAGACCTCATCTTTGATCAAGAGTCTCATAGTCCAAGGCAACTGAGACATTTCAAGTTCACCTCAGTGGGATTCTTGTCTCAACTCCTTACCAGTGATCCATTCATTGCTCAGGTAACTTTATTATTTACATTTAAAAGTGTTAATGAAGCTCCTTGACAAGATGGTGATCCAAAATTTGCAAATTATAGAGTGAGGGTTACAATAGATGTGTTTACTAATGGATTTCAATTCATGCATATTTCTCTTGTGAACCCCTGGTTACCAACTGTTTCATTCAAATGCTATGAATAAGTGGCGTGTATATAAATGGAATCCACCGTTCATACATTAGTTGTTGCCATGTTGGGCAAGCCTCTGGCAAGTGTTTTAGTTGTCAAGAGAAACTTATGTCCAAAAGGTGTGCATACAATTGTAGAGTGGTCTATTGGGCTGTAGGTTAGGTAAAATGCTGTGTTCAGAGTTAGCGTTATGAATTATTTTAGTGTAGAAAATTACAGAGGAGCAGTTGTCGCAGGACCATGTTTCCTACACCCTCCATGGTGATATACGTTCATTATTTTTTCTCAATATCTTTCCAAATCCACCTGCTGAAGCTATAAATATAAATGTTGAAATGTTTTGTGGAAAGAAAGATTCAAGGGCTAAAAAAGATAAATGACTTTCCTGATTTTATCACTTTGGTATTCTATTGCATATATAGAGAGTTTATGTGTTTATGACAGGTACATATTTAATTTATTTTAATTGCTTGATTTTTACTCCTATTTATTAATTTATTTGATTAATTTATTTTAAAAATCATGTTTTACTTTGTTTATGTTTACAGCTTGTCAATCTATCTGAGGAGAAATCTGCTTCAATGCAAGCCCTTTATCAGAAGTGAGTACAGAGGTCATATGTTTTGTCAATATTAATATGTGATGTTAAGTCTAAGAAAGTTTTGAAACTTAGCTTATTGATACAACCTTTTTTAATGACTAAGCCTGTGAGGTTTTAATATCACAAATAGTTCTTAATCTGCTGCATATATGTCACTAATGAATGCATTGTGTACAAAATATATTAGAAAAAGGTCTGTTTACGCTATACAAAGCTAGGCAAGTTTTGGTGCTGCGTATTAACCAATGATTGAAACGTTATAACTGTGGTATAAATGATACACCAGACCAAAGGCTGCGTAGACAAGAAAACACACTGCAAGCAACGAAAAACAAAAAACATATCGCAGCCATTTGGAGATTAACTGTGGAGTTTTAGGAATTGCAGTCTTATGACCAATGATTGAAATTTTATAACTGTTGTTTAAAAAGATTTAGTCAAGAAAACTCACTACAAGCAACAAAAGCAAGAACATATCACAGCCATTTGGAGATTAATAATAATAATAGCTAGTTCTTATATAGCGCTTTTCAGGACAAAAGGCCCTCTCAAAGCGCTTTACAGATATATATATATTATTACCCCGGTCATCGGATTCAGGCTTACCCGCACACAATGTATGCACATTCTCCACTCCCTAGGGAATCATTCCAGCCAGGCAACATTTTTACAAACGCACACTTGCTAATCTAAACACATTTTTAGCTTTCGCATCCTACCGGGTACCCATTTAACACACTTGGGTGGAGAGTGGCAAATGTAGATCAATGTTTTGCCATTAACAAAGAGTTTTAGGAGCAGCAGTCTTAGATACTGCGTATGAAACATGTCCTCACCAAGGATCTCTGTTCATGTTCCATACAGGCTTCTGGAGCAGACATTGTGTTACATCACCCATGTAGCTCACTGTATCCAGGACAACGCTGATCCAAACACGGCCAAGTTCTGGAGGGCTCTCCTGCACAAGGCCTATGATGTCCTCGACAAGGTACAGTTGACATGCGTCAGTCCATTCTAATTTCTTTTTTGTAATGGTTGTTGTTAAGAGGTTTTATTGAGAAACGTCCATAATCAAGGTCATACATGTATGACTGAATTTGACATGGATTATAATCATATTTATGATACATACATACATATTAAAGGCTTTGGAAGCTCTGGGATTTGTAGATGAATAAAAAAAAAAAATAGGGCATCATGATCTCTACAATTGATCAAAGTATTTGACATGGGAAGGTTCATTTTTTTTATTATAACAAAAAGAATGCAAAATTTAACTTTTATGCCAAGAGCCAGAGGGAAATTGAATTTATAGAATATCACCCTTCTATCCCTCAGCGGACAAAATGTGTGTTTGGAGGAGATCAGTTATGTGATACACTTTGATCATGAAGAAAGAGAAGGATATATCCTCTGTCTAGAGCCATAAGGACGCTGCCTCGTATACTTTACACTGCAGGCACACTTGCAGATGTTAGATTGTTCTATAGTCTTGATTTAAAAAATGATTTGGATAATTTTCAAAAATTCTCTATGCTACTGTGTGTCTTTTAAAAAATGATATGATGAGTCTATGAGAGAGATATATACATTTACATGTATATGGTTCTACTTTTATCATTAGTCTTACTTATTGTACTAGATAACATTGATGATATGCTTACTGGGATTCGGGCCTCCTTCCTTGTAATACAAGTTCTTAAATTATATTTATGTTCCTACGTATAAATTGTATTGTTTGAACAGATGTCAAATATGTTGCCAAATTGAATGGAAGAAATAAATGTTCATTCGTATGAATGATAATATTGATCATTGAATGAATGACTTTGTAATGTTTGTGTAACCAGGTCAACTACTTGCTACCTGCCAAGGTGTTCATTGGAGTGGTATCCGGTCTCATAGGTAACCGTCTCCCTACCGTCAGGAGGAAAGCCATGGAGTTGCTCAATAACAAGCTCATCCAAAACAAGGATGGCTTTGAAGAGGAAGAGGTAAAATTTTCATTTACTACTTCTCTTTCTTTTGTTATTCTCATTCCCTCCAAACTATACTGTTTATACTTATACGTGTGAAGTATTTTTTTACACAATCTTGTTTGTAAAAAATAAAGTGATATATTTATATGAAGAGAAGTGTGAAGAAGAGCATTGATTCATACACTTATTTTACACTTGTCCTTTTGCTATAAATCTGAGACAAATGTTATAATGAAAGCAGATTGCATCATAATATGTGTATGCAAATATCATATCCAAGCATCATCCTGTAGAATCAAGTTTTAAATAATATACTTTTGATAAAGACTGTTCATGATGTGTATACAAAGGTGTCATGTCAAAGGATAAATTCTTATTTGCATACAACTCTATGCAGTCTAAACCCATCTTGTGTTCATGTGTGATTTGTATATACATCGTTCATTCCAACAGACTACTATGCTCCTTGGTATGCTGGATACCCTGGTGGCCATAGCCAAATCATCCAGGGAGAACCAGGCCGAAGGAGACGAACTCGACATCAATCGACAGACCGCCCTCTACAGTCTGAAGTTACTCTGCAAGCTGTTTGGCAGTGAACATCGTAAGGAGTTCACCAAGGTGATGGATGTGGCTCTCGGTGTCGTCATGGAAACGCATGGCAATAACCAGGTAGGAATGCATCAGTCAGTTTGTGAGATGGCTTTAGCCATTTATTTCATTCCTGTTGAAATGTTCAAATAAAGTCTTCAGACAGCAAATAAGAAATGTGGTAGCTTGTTCAATAAAGCAGATATTTTTACTAGTTCATAATGATTTACTTTAGATATATATTCTCATAACCCAAACCAAGTTATCCTTGTAAGGTTTTAAGTAGCTATCATTCAAAAAGGAAAGAATGGTCAAATCTTGCTTGTGGGAAAAAGTAAAAACAATGTAGGCCACAGAATTACCTCTTGGATGTGGACTAAGTTCTTCATAACACAATCAAATATGAATCTGTAATCTCTAAAGTGGTTTCTGCAGTTAGTGAAAAATTATACCCTATTCCTTGTTATGTAAATATATTTTTTGCCAAAATGTTTAGTTTCACAGAAGTTGATAATCTATGGTAACAACTTTCATCCCCCCCCCCCCCCCCCCCCCCCGGTCTCCTTTATGATAGGTAATAGCAAGTGGCTTGCTCTGCCTAGCTGAAGCAGTGAGTAGTCTGAAGGCCCATGCTATCCCGTACCTGAGTCGATTCATGCCACCTCTACTGGATACCTTGGCAAGCAAGACCCATGTCACAAGGTTAGTTTGACTGCTCAAGAATACCTCCTCGGTGAAGTGATTTATGACATGTCCCTCATTAAATCCCCACTGCACCTCTTATAGCTACTTGCGCCCTCTATATAGCAAACAATGCCTAATCGGTGCCTGTTGGTCCCCCATGATCCCCTTTTTCTTATGTTAATTAAGAGCTGAGTTGATGCGATAACCAGCTGTCAGTGACCACGCTGGGTGGTCTAATCCCTCCTGGCCAAACTAGTACAGACAGGCTTTAAATCAAGAAATACTGGTAAAATTTGGATTGTCTGTGGTTGTTTCCCTCTTCCAGTTCTGACCTTCATCTCTTGAGCACAGTGACGGCCATTCAGAAGATCTTGGAGACACTCCCTCACTTCCTCAGCCCGTACCTTGGTCAACTGCTCCAACAGGTAATTACTGGGGGTGTTTCACAAAACCTTCTTTCAATGACAAATGACAGTTTTTGTTATAAGCTAGTGAAATCCTTGCTTCTGATTGGTTATCAGCAGATTTGTCACTGATTTTTGTCATTCGTCATTGTAAAAAGGCATTGTGAAACGGGTTACTGGTCTACGTGAAGCACTTTTTCCAATTACTAATGATATATGTAGATTCTTGCAAGGTAATTTGTAGCTTTATATAATTCTGTTGTGTGGTTCTGGCAAGCATCTTGTACACCCTGCTAGTGACACTGTTGTATATTATACTACATGCATTTGAAATCTGTTCAAATCGTTTTACTGCGCTACAAAAGCTCCTGATATGCTTAGATTTACAGTTAATTGAAAAGATGTGCTTTCAGTTTTGATTTAAAGATTTTTTTCAGATGGTGATTAAAGATGATTATTATATTACCCTGGTCATAGGAATGTATTATATTAATGCGCTTTCAGTGTATCCTCTGCATTATGTTGAGAGCATTCCAGGCAGTCCTAATTAACGGCCTTTGGCACTCCTCTTTTGGCCCTTCTTTGCCAGAACGCCATGTTACAATTCAGGTTTATAAGATAATCTATATTCCTGCAAGTTTTTATTTTTTGGGGAAGTGCAGATCATTATATAATATTGGATGATTTTGAGTGTGATACAAAAATATATTGCTCGAGCTATGACAATATTGGACAAGTCAAAGACGAGCCTAATATTGTCTTATCGAGAGCAATATATTCTTGTATCACATGAAAACAAAGCCATACAATATTATTATTATTATTATCTACCGGTGTATTTAGTCTGACTAGTGAAATAACAACATTTGACTTACCTCAGTAAATATGGCTTAATTTTCGTGTTTTATTTTAATATCGCCATGATATCGATATCGATAGTTGAAGTTCCCAGATGACTAAGCAATACGAAAACAATATTGGTCAGTCATCCAGCTACTGCGCTAAAGATATTGAATACACTGATTTATTGTAAAACTTGGAAGCCTGATTATAATGTCATTTCTTCAAACTATTTTTCCCAGGTGTGTCGTCTGTCTGGTTATCGTCAGGATGAAGAGAAGTCTCAGCTGACGCTACGTCTCAAGGCATGTCGTCACCAGCTCTCCTCAGCGCTGCCCCCTAGGGTTCTCATTCCTGCAGTCAGCGAATGCTACAAGACCAACGTGTCAACTAGCAAGGTAGGACTAAAGTCACTACCTTATAATGGAGTAATGAATAGATAAAGCACTTGAATGTGGTTTATTATTACTTTTTGTTTGTTTAACCTGACTGCTAATAAATCATGTGTATGCTTGTAAATGTAAGAAAGCAACCAGGGGACAAATCTCCTGATCAAACTGTATACACGTCTTATTTCACAAGAATATCAACAGACTGTAAGCCAACACGTATTAACACATCAACAACTTGAGGTTGGCGCGATAACTTGGTTGGTAGAGCAGTGGTCTCGTAATCCGTTGACCCGGGTTTGAAACCAAGTCGATGCGCTAGTGCCCTTTGGTAAGGCATTAATCCTCTTTACCAGGTCCCTCAGAGAGGACCTACAGCCGTTGGCTGCCTGGTTGCGTACTAACAAGCATTTATGTTTTCTTAGCAGCCACATTTGAGTTTTAAATCGCCTCTTAAAAAAATTTAAATTGTTGCTTTTGATTGATTTCAGACCAGCATCGGTCCTCTGATGTCCATCTTAAGTGACCATCTTGACCAGCTACCCAAGGAGGATCTCTTGAGCCACCATCATGCTATGGTCAGTCTCTTCCTACAAGCACTGGACTATCGGTCAAGCCACACAGAGGTAAGTATTGCCAGAGGTGCTCTTGAGCCTTATCTACTGATCCTTAACAGAGTCACACTGCAGGCATAGCATTCTGCACATTTGATTGAATCTGGTGTCGTTCAAACTGTATTACTTTTGAGAGATCAGCCTTACTTGTAACAGTACTTTCACTGAAAGGGATAGTCAGACATCATATTAACAAATAACAAGTATTTCTACTGTGCAATCTGATATAATATAATTCAACGTGCTACAATTAATATGATAATAATGCTTCAGTGTTATCTTAACAAAACACACAGAAAAAATAACAGACATGTGATATTAAGTTACCTACTAACTCGAGGTAAACAGAAGCTGCTTGATTCTCCTTTGAAATAAAGTAAGACAGTTGATAGTTCTGATGTCACTGGGAAGTCTGTTCTACATAACTGGTTCCACATTTCTAAATTCCTGATCGCCGTAGTGGGTGGTTCAGCTGGGAGGGACTACAAGCAAGTCTGTTTTAAAACAAAACACTTGCAGATCTATACATGTTGATGGTCAGTCCAAGATTTTGAGGCAGGATCGGGAATGAATAAGGTCAGCTTATGAAGCGATCCACGGCGAGACGGCCCGGTGGCCAAAACCGCCCCGCCTAGTACCGACTCAGAAAATGTTAAAGTATAGCTTTAGTTCTTGAAGTGTAGAAAACGAAGATAAATCAAAGTCACTGAAACAAATTCTTGATTGGAGTTGAAGATTTATTAAAATAAACGAAGAATTAATAAATCACGAAGTTCATGTTTTGGGGCTGGGCAACCCAATCGAAACAAATTAGCAACTCATGTCGATCGTAACGGAAAAGAGGTCCCGCTCTAGAGACGCAACTCGGTTTTTATACCCCCGAACTGACACGCCTCGCGCACCCAAAAATTGAGGCGTGTCACACAGACGCATTGCGTAATATCAATCCACCCATAATTAGTTTCCGTATTAACAGGTCCTATATTTCTTGGCGAATTTACCCCCAGGATATAAGGCGCTCCGGATGATCCGCATCTCTATTCCTCACATACTTCTTTCACGCACCCACCTGTGTCTCTTACATTCTAATCTCTCAAACAAGAGATGCAAATCACCCGGAGACCCAACAACCCTGGAATATAACAAGGGATAAATGTTGCTATGTCCGTCCACACTAGCGAGCCCACATGCTTCTGGCTATTACACACCTGTAATCCTCACTTCCCCTCTCATACTATTTCGATAGTGTGAACAGACCCGGCAACAAGGAAAAACCCTTCCAATTGTAATACAAATCTATTTCCCAAATTTGCCTGATTAAATTTAAGTCAACTGTGGCGACACGCCCAGCGACACCTAATCCAATCGGCCAAGCCGAAAAAGTAGAGCCAAAATTAAGAGCGCAACGTCTCGGAACAGGTGTTAAAAATAGCATACAAGGAATTTGCCTTGTATATGTACGTCAATGAACCTTTGAGGAAAACGTAAACACGAGAATATCCATATCATTACAAACTCCCCTACTGAAACGATCTGTCCCATAAGATCGCAACAAAAAAAATAGAAATTCTCGTCATATATACGTTCCCCTCCAAGTTACACACACGTACATGGCTGCCCAGCCCTAAAACATCTACAATAACTTCATATACATCATATAAAGCCAACATGGCTTCCAAATTACAATATATAAACACACATATCAAACTGGTAATCCAACTCACAAAAATACCCACTAGTTCAAACATACTTAGAAATATCACCTCCCATTAATGACACCCTTTGCATATTAAAACAGCATGTCAATATTTTGCAAGTAAATGCACAACCTTAACTCAATAGTCAATTAAACAAACCCTCAAACTCCAAAATTTTCCTTTTTTTTTCCTCCTCTCTTCATCCACATAATTAACCAATCATGTGGTCCTGCCTAAAGAGGCAATAACAAAATTAAAATTTTAATCCAAAAACCTATTATAAACTCCTCGAGTGTCCTATTCCTGCATGGTTAACAAAAACGTCCAAATTTCCCTACAGCAGACTATGAAACCTACTACTATCATGTCTCCAACTACTTGTAATTATAGCCTGAAACTGTTTGCGAAGCTTAGGGAAGTGTCACAACCCCGGCGGTCAGAGCCGGATACCCCAGACCTCCTCCAACCGGTTGTTGGGACTTCTCCTGCCACTTGTAAACATCCATATGTAATCAGAAATTACTTAAAAATTGAAATATACTAGTGATAATACATGCACATTCTCCGAACACTGGAATAGACAACGATACATGTAACTGGAAAAATATAAACAGCAAGATATAAAAATGTGTAATATGCAGACCTATGGAATATACAACCAATTTCAGCACACAATTAGGCAAAAATTACCATAACCATAAATGACCCCAAATAAAATCAGGACGGGTGCCCAGCCCTAAAACAGTAAAAGTTTGATAATTAAAATTATTAACTCTCCAATTTGATGTAAACGACTAATTACCGTGATAATTAACCGTCAATATTACGGTCCCTTCAATAAAAATACGAAATATCCAACTGTACATAGAATATCTCAAAATTTGTAGATAATCAGCGCAAAACTGATTTTGGTAAATTAAAAGGGTTAGAATGTCTACCCTTAGTTTGTCTTTGCGACCTTCTTGGGATGGCACCATCCTGATTCCCTGGAACATTAGCATTATCATCTCCGGCTCGCCCTGCTACATCCTCCCCTACTGGATCTATACCTACTTTATCAAAATTAGGAACCCTGCTACATCCTCCCTAGCTACTGGATCTATACCTACTTTATCAAAATTAGGAACCAACTTCAGTATTCATATTTGGCCAAAAGGCCCTAGATCTTATTAATTCATAGGTCTTATTTCTACCTTGATGTCCCCATTCATCATCACATCCTACCAACACATTCTTACGTAAACATTGAGGAAGTAAAACTTGGAATATCTCCCCAAATACAGGGTCTAGCCCTCTTCTTACTAACAAACCATCTTTTAATGAAAGGCGAGACCAATGAGTCAACCATGATTTAACATCATCAGGTTCTGAAGGATGTTTGAAGTATTCATCACCGGGTGCCCAATTCCGGGACCACCGCTCCCATACAAACTTCAGTTCGGGGTCTTCTTTCTGCATTTGGATTAACTGATCTTTTGTGTAAGATGGAAATATGCCAGAAGAGCTAGGCTCTGCAAACGACTGTTGGTCAGGATTGTCACTATGCACACGTACAGGGGAACTACAAGTATTTAATTGTACTTTAACAAATGAGGATTGATATGATTACGATCGTAAAAGGCCTGTTGCAGAGACTGTACAGTCTGTGTCTTACCAAAGTGGTTCTGCAAAATAGTAACTATTTGATTTGTATCTAGTGTTTCAAAATAACATCGTAACTCTTTACGTGCCGGCCCCTCCAAATGAGCCTCGATCACACTGACCTTTTGGGTCTCTGAAATTTGTGACTGTTCACAATATAGGTCAACCTCTTCTAACCAATCTTCTAATAACCTACCACCCTGCCCTGAAAATCTATCCAACCTAGCGGTTGTCCTACCAGTAGGTGTAATCCGGATACCCTGTAGGGCTTCGGTAAAACCCGTTACCAAATCTTTAACTAACTCTTCAGCCATAACTATTATTATCTATCGTACATATTATTAAGTAATTAGTCTAATATCAACACTGAAGGCATGTGCCGCCGACCATGAATGAAGTGACGATATCACCTCCCCGCTGACACAAGCAGCGAGCCCCTTCAAGATGACACCCACGCGGCCCTAAAGTACTACCGTTTTCCCAGCATAAAAGAATCACCAGCTACGCTTCCACCGTCGCTTCGTCGCGCTGTAGCTCTGCGGAAATAAGCTCCTGGGCCCCCTCGTCAGGAAACCACCAGCAGAAGAAAATTTCACCCTCAGAAATACTCCCTCCTAGATGATGTCTGAACACGCCTTAGATCGCCGTAGATACACAGTCTTGTAGTCCCTCTCGATGGCGATGATGTTGTGTCGCGTCGATGTAGTTGACTGCAAGATTTCACGTCTACGGAGATCACAGGACGAACCGTTAGGCTACGCAGAAAACCCGTAGACCAGCTACGAGACCAGCTGAACGTACCTAGTTTCCCGGCACCGCGGCCTTCTAATTCACCGGAACGATGCAAGCATGCAACACTGAAGGCATGTGCCGCCGACCATGAATGAAGTGACGATATCACCTCCCCGCTGACACAAGCAGCGAGCCCCTTCAAGATGACACCCACGCGACCCCATCCGTACTACCAATTGAAGCGATCCACGGCTAGACGGCCCGGTGGCCAAAACCGCCCCGCCTAGTACCGACTCAGAAAATGTTAAAGTATAGCTTTAGTTCTTGAAGTGTAGAAAACGAAGATAAATCAAAGTCACTGAAACAAATTCTTGATTGGAGTTGAAGATTTATTAAAATAAACGAAGAATTAATAAATCACGAAGTTCATGTTTTGGGGCTGGGCAACCCAATCGAAACAAATTAGCAACTCATGTCGATCGTAACGGAAAAGAGGTCCCGCTCTAGAGACGCAACTCGGTTTTTATACCCCCGAACTGACACGCCTCGCGCACCCAAAAATTGAGGCGTGTCACACAGACGCATTGCGTAATATCAATCCACCCATAATTAGTTTCCGTATTAACAGGTCCTATATTTCTTGGCGAATTTACCCCCAGGATATAAGGCGCTCCGGATGATCCGCATCTCTATTCCTCACATACTTCTTTCACGCACCCACCTGTGTCTCTTACATTCTAATCTCTCAAACAAGAGATGCAAATCACCCGGAGACCCAACAACCCTGGAATATAACAAGGGATAAATGTTGCTATGTCCGTCCACACTAGCGAGCCCACATGCTTCTGGCTATTACACACCTGTAATCCTCACTTCCCCTCTCATACTATTTCGATAGTGTGAACAGACCCGGCAACAAGGAAAAACCCTTCCAATTGTAATACAAATCTATTTCCCAAATTTGCCTGATTAAATTTAAGTCAACTGTGGCGACACGCCCAGCGACACCTAATCCAATCGGCCAAGCCGAAAAAGTAGAGCCAAAATTAAGAGCGCAACGTCTCGGAACAGGTGTTAAAAATAGCATACAAGGAATTTGCCTTGTATATGTACGTCAATGAACCTTTGAGGAAAACGTAAACACGAGAATATCCATATCATTACACTTATATCAATGGTCACTCATTATTCTTTTCCCCCTTGCAAGTTCTTTCAGACCAGGTTTACCAGTTCATGATTTATTCTTATCAAGTTTTCTATCAACTTACAATCTGTTGTTCATCTGATTTATCTTATTCAGAGTTCTCTGGACGAGGTATCAGCCATTGAAGGTCATGTGATTGATGCTGTCAATACCATGGTGATGAAACTCTCAGAGGCTACATTCAGACCTATGTTTCTCAAGGTGAGAATAGAAAGAAGAAAAAAAACATCATTTTTCGTATAATTTTATATTTGTGTTTTTGGGATGTTCACAAATAACAGTATTATTGATAATAATATTTGCTTCTTGCATTCTGCTAATAACCGCATGGTGCAATCATACTGTCCCACCATTACATCTCTCAGATCATTCAAGAAACTTCTTCCTACCAGGTTCACATTTGCTACACAGTACATCGAGAATAACTTTCGTCATGATATATGGATATGTCTGGTTATGTCTGACTACCCATTTTAAAGCAGGTCAAAAAAACGAAGTAGTCCTTTAAAGGAAAATGGCAAAACTTCAGTAAGAGGAAATTATTTCCAGGGGGCATCAGCAGGCTGCTACGACTTCAGAGGCATTTTTAATTGTCAGAAATGTTCAAGATAAGAAAATCTGATCGGTTGGTAGACTAAAATTGTGTAGAATTGGAATTTAGTCATTACCGGTACTTCTACATTTACTCTTTATTTCTGCAGGTATACGAGTGGGCTACGCGAGGCAGCAACCCTGACAGACAGCTGACCTTCTACCGTCTGTCCGATGGCATAGCTGAGAAGCTTAAGAGTCTCTTCTGTCTCTTCGCAGGTCACCTTGTAGCTAACATTGCAGGGATCCTGGATGCAAACAACGTCATTAAAACAGGTTGGTTTACAGTGGTGGTTATTTTACCTGACTGCTAAGAAAGCATAAATCCTAGTAAGTAAGCAACCAGACGGCCGACGGCTTTAGGTCCTTTTCCGAGGGACCTGGTAATGAGGATTAATGCCTTACCAAAGGGCACTAGCGCATCGACTTGATTTCAAACCCCGGTCACCGGATTACAAGACCACTGCTGTACCGACTGAACTATCGCGCCTCGTTTGAAGGGAGAACTCAAGATTTTTGTAATCCTGGGCCCCCCCGTCTTACAAAGAGTTGACATCAATCTCAACTTATTTGCGAAACTATGTACATAAGAGATAGGAGACTGCAGATTTGCGATTGATTGGAATACTTACGGTTGATTTGGAACGATCGTAACTCTTTGTAAGACGGGGCCATGGAATATATTCAGTATGTAGGTATGAGTTAAGGTATAGATATTTAGAAGAGACAACATTGCGCAAATATCTTTGAAGTTTCATTAGCTGCTTATTTTCATTAAAAGTAATCATGATTTCTGAAAAACAAGATATTTCAATGTAAATATTTACAAGAAAAGAGGTAAAGTCCTGTGAATATAAATTTTATGGACACAGTTACATTTTTTTTTTTTAAGGAATTATTTGAAAAGAACAGGTTTTATTAAGTGTTGCATGGGAATTCTTAATTGATACATTATCCCCCATCAATTTCGCCTCACACCCCCCCCCCCCCCTTTAATATATTCTTTAAACTCCTTAAATTAGGATGTCTTTTCAGATGTCAGATTGTGTGTCTGTGTGTTTTTTGTTTTTTATTGGCTCCAAAGTACATTGAAGAGGCATTTCTTATAATTACTTAATGATCTTCAAAGAGGATTTTCCCTGAATATTCCTTTTTCTTCCACTCGTTACCTCTTTCAGACAAGCCATTCTTTGAGGAGGACCCCCAGAGTAAAGAGAAGTCGGCCAGTCTGCTGGGGTACGCTCTAGATTGTCTACACAAGTGCTTTCATTATGACAAGGGAGACTTTGTGAGCAAGGAGAGATTTGAGAAGCTTATGCAGCCTCTTGTTGATCAGGTATTTACACAATTCCAGTAAACAACTAAATTATTCATACCCCTTGTAAATTCGATGCTTGTTGTGTTTTTCTTAACTCATGAATGAAAGGTGGACTGGTTGAATTAGGGCCTTTGTTGAATACTTTTAGATGTAAGCTTTTATACATCACATTCTCAAGAAACAAAAATTGAAACAAATCAATTTTTCACATACTTAATACATTACAAAACTTAGTAAGGATATGAATAATTTAGGTATTAACTGTTTGTGTATGTTTGATGAAAAAAATCATGAATGATGATTAAATGTGGTCTTATTTACCCAGAGTAGCCTTATCAGTATTGAAGATAAGGTTGAGTTTTGGTCATGCAGTAACACAAAATATTTTTATTTTATTTTATTTTATTTTACTTTATTTTATTTTATTTTATTAAGTTTATTTTCACATATGAATAAATAAACATTGTACAGGTATATTTCTCTCTGTGTAGGTTACATAATGATCAGAGAGGCGTAAATGTTTTATGTACGATTTACAGTTGAGTTCGACTTGGGATCTTTGTGAAACACGACCCCCCCCCCCCCCCCCCCCCCCCCCCCTGCTTTCACATTTCACGCAACTATTTTATTCTGTAGATTGAGAATACGCAAGGAGATGATATATATACGAGGCCCGCATGACCAATCACCTGACAACTTGCATATTTTTGCTTTTGAATATATTTTATTTTAAGGCTACAAATGGCTCTCCATTATGTTTTTAAGTCCAGCTTAGAGTTAAGTTTGACTTGGGATCTTTGTGAAACATCCCCCTGCTTTCACATTTCATGCAACTATTTTATTTTGTAGATTGAGAATACACAAGGAGGAGATGAAATATACGAGGCCCGCATAACAAGTCACCTGACACCTTGCATCGTTCAGTTCATGGTTGCTGCTAAAGACCCCTCGACCTGGCAACCACTCAACTACCAAATCCTTCTCAAGACGAGGAACTCCTCCCCAAAGGTGGGTGGCATGCATCGTTAGGCTTCTCAACCATCTACATGTACAGTCAAACCTGTCTATAGCGACCGCCCAAGGGAAACACAAAAAGTGGTCTTTGTAGACAGGTTCCTTTTAGTGCATGTTTCAATGAGAAATCATTTTCAAGGGAAACAACAAATTTGCTTGTTGTAGACAGGTGGTCACTAAAGCAGGTTTGGCTGTATCATCATTATGATAGGTTTCCAGCTATCTTTGAAATCAAGGAAAGCTTGGAAAGTCCATTTTTCTGTCAGTTCATGGAAAACTAAGGGAATTTCATTGTACTAAAAAGAAATTAGCTAGTCTGGTATGTTTTGTCGCGTGTACAATCAGCTTATCCACAAGAACATCAGACATCATGGCTTTTTTGGTGTGTGAAATGCCTCCTTAAATGATCCATTAGAAGAAGAAGAAAAAAAATCATTGTAAAATTAGAGAATTTTGATATCGTGAATGTTATAATCAGCATTGAAATCATGTGAGAAAAATGGGTACCTGGCAGGAATTTATTCCTTGAAATGCTGAAGAGCTGTAATGGCAGCCAGGCTAAAGCCGGGTAATATACATGCACCTCGGAAAAGAATTTCTAGATAGACGGCGCTATAGAAATGCCTATTATTATTATCCCTCTTATAGGTTCGCTATGCTGCCCTCACAGTCCTGCAGGCCGTTCATTCTCAGCTGGGTGAAGACTACCTATCCCTGCTTCCTGAAACTATTCCATTCTTAGCTGAACTCATGGAGGGTAAGTGAAGGAGAAACATTGATTACAGCAATAAATGTATTACAAAATATAAGAAAGGAAAAAAGGGAAAGCCTCCTTGGTAGTCCAGAGTGACTTGCCCTGGAGGATCTGCCATCTTGCCTATGACAAGCCCTGGGACCTGTTTCATAAAGCCTTTTTCAATGACAAATGACAAAAATCAGTGACAAATCTGCTTATAACCAATCAGAAGCAAGGATTTCAGTAGCTTATAACAAAAACTGTCATTTGTCACTGATGACAAGTTTTGTGAAACAGGGCCCTGGTATAGGGTTGCTGGCTTACTTCAATGACTGAATGTGGTAAAACAGAAAGAAAGAAAAAATGGAGCCTCCAGGGCTGTCCGGACTTTGAGAAGCCCTTGTACAGGGTTACAGTTAGGGGATGCAATTGGATTTTAGCTTGGGTTCAGAGTTAGCTTTAGGTTTGGTTGTGGTACCATCTTGGGCCCAGGGTTGACGTTTAGAAATCCATTTAGATATGAAATTTGGGGAGATGAGGATCAGCCGCAGTGTTGAAAGTATTATTTGATCCAGAGTGTTATATAGGAGAACCCAAGACAAACATGATTAATAGATATAAAGGGAAAAAGATAATGACAATCCTTAGGATGACGGTGTGGACTGGTCCTGTTAGCATACTTAAAGATAAAGTTGAGTTCTGGTCATGCGATTGCGTTGTGAAAGAAACGTTGTGGAATCGATCAAAAATGTTTGATTATCTAGCATATAAGTATTGGTGCATGTGTACTGCAAGGTTCTGAAATTTGGCCCAGTCTTGGTAAAATTACAAGCACTGTATACAGAAAGATGTATATGGGACTACACAAACATGTGGCATAAAAATTTGTCCTGATTTTTATGCTGTTACATGCAATATTTAGAATATTAAAGCATTTGAAGAGCCATGCTTTTCAGGGAACATTGTTTATCTGATGTTCTTCTACACTTGCATAATACAATGATAACGCTCACAAATTATTTGTCACCTCTTCCCAGAATTCAAACTTCTTTTTAAGAATGGGAAAAGGACAGTTAGATGATGGAAGATAGTGGTATAGGGAACTTTTTGTAGCAGTGCAAACCCACCTTGGTATTTCCTGGTAACTGATGCAATCTTTTCTATTTTTGTTTGTTTACAGATGAGTCTGAGGAAGTAGAACAGCATTGTCAGGATGTGGTCTCTGAGCTTGAGAAGACTTTGGAGAACCGCTTCAAAAATACTTCTAGGATCTCATCCCACGCCTTCGGTCCTACTCTAAACCCGAAATCTAGTTATGTTCTGAACTAGAGATGAAGCGATAGGGTCGTTGATTGCCCAGATTGCTTCTTGTGCTTTTGATAATCAGTCTACATGTATTTTATTGCCAATATATGTCCAAATGTTAGATTATGAATGAAATCCTGATATTAAACTGGGATTCCTTGGAATCCCAGTTTTTTTTATTCCAAATTTTTATTCCAAATTTGTGGAACAGTTTTATTACTCAATGATCTTGGCAACATTTTAACGTTCAGATGAGGTGTTTACATGTATATTTACTCGATTTATCGAAAATTAAATGAGGGTACTAATCTTTTTGGAGTAACATTTCTCAAAATATAAAAGAAAGTTTGAGGGCTGTTCCTGTATGACAATTGCTAAAATCTGACTTTGTGTGACTGATCATAATAACACTTCTGTGACGTAAATATCTAAGTAATGTACTGTACCAATCTCCAGTTCCCTTTTTTTCCCTAAATTAAACAAATATTCAGTGCTATCATTCTTATTTTTTTTCTCTCTCATAATATGCAGTATAATAATCTTGTCTACTACAGAGAACATATAAGAAATATGTTGAATACATTGTGAATTAGTTGCATTACTTTTTTCTGCTAAGGATTACAAAGAAAGGAAATATTAATCTCAACTCAAGGACCAAATAAAGTGAAATTTTGCACTAGTGATCAATATTAAATGATCTACTGTAAGAGGAATGTTAAAAATACCAAGAAGAAAAATTGATGTATTTTCAGTATGTGGGGGCCTTTTTAAAGAAAACATGTTGGTGATAACTTTTTCTCTGCGAATTCGCAAATCTGATGACCTTTTATTTCAGTCATGTTGTTGCCTTAAGAAAAACTAAATGCATCTGTGTAAAAGACTAACTTTTTCAGACTTCCAAAACCGTTTCCCCAAATGTTTGACTGGCGATTTTCATAAGGAATGAAAGGTGTTTTTTTGTCTTTCTTTTTATTTTATTTTTACTCAAATTTTCATGAGTGCCATTTAGAAATCCCATGTCATTTTGTTACCATGAATATTAGAGGTTTTTTAACATGATGGAAATGTTATAAAATTGTTGTTTAAAATACATATCATACATACTCATAATGACAACATAATTAATAAAGCTCAAAGAGAAAGAAAAATTGTTTTCTAGTTTTCTTTATTTTTCTTTTATATACTATTGTGAAATTGAGTTTGCTTATCTTACGTAACATAATTACTAAAAATCATGATATAGATTAATAATAAAAAGATAGTTACAGCTAGACAGAAAAATACACCCAGTACATAAATAGACATATATATATATAGGTTAAAACATGCATTTAATGTTGACAAAAATCGTTGTAGTTGATAAAATATGAGATTTTTCTTTAGATGGCAATCATGACACTTAATCATTTCTTTTTAACAGATAATTACATTTTCCATAATCTGATTTTAATATGGATATTAGATACACATTTTGTCAGACACTATATTTTATTTATGGGAAGAACAAATATATTCTTCTCAATCCTAATGACATGCAAATATAATAATGTTTCACATCATACAGGGTAGCATGCAGTAGAGAAAGAATATTTTACAGAAAGAAATATAACAAATAAACAGCTGTGTTGAAGTATTTGATGATATCAAGGTGAACTGTTGAATACTACTTTTTATCAAAAGTATGGTCATATCACTTTAGTGCCAGGAGGGTGTTAACTATGGGTGAGATGAGTTAATGCCTTCCTCTTTCTGACCCCAAACATATTAATTAGTTACTTTCATTATGGCAATCTTATAAAACAAATTTGATATAATCGAACTGAAGTGCACCTTCTAACAAAAGCAACAAAAACAGAATCAATCACTTAATAATAATAATTATTACTTTCAAATGGAAATTTCACTTTGACATGATTACTGTATCATACCTGCCAAATGTTCCTATATTGAAGGATTGATTCCTATCTTTGGTTACGTTAAAAAACACTCTCTTATTTTATTTATTACAAAAACAGATATTCATTTATTAAATATCTGTGTTAATCTAATAAATATTAATTTTAGAGATGAATGATATACTTGACACATGCCAATATATTTCCATAAATGTGAAATTTACTTTATATTGATGTGGGAAGAGTTGTAACTTCTAAAAAATCAAATACATGTACTATGATGTTATATTTACCCTTTTTGATGGTTAGGAAATAAATTAATGGAAGACATATCGATCAGCTCTTCGGAAATGTAATATTGCTTGGCGTCAAATTTGTGCAGAGCTAGCACTAAAATGTAAGGCACTTATTCAGTAGAGAGATTATATTCCACATACTAAGAATCTTGCTCTACGATTGGTCAAAAGTAAATCACGTGATGAAAGTTTGCCCATCATTGATGGGAGGAGAAAAGTTCGTTACACTGTGTAGATAGATCTGTACATTCGCCATTTACGTCACGGCGCCTTGTTTAGAGAAGGTATTCTGTGTTGAGCGCTATATAAACACAGATTATTATTATCATTATTATCATTATTATTTACAATTTTTTAGTCAGTCGATGATTGAATGTAACCTTTCAAAAATATTTTGATATAATAGGCAGGGGGGACTGGCCTTGGGGAGCTAGGGGAGTTATCCCCACAGAAGGCTCGATATTTGGACTCGACTGCCGGCCGACTTATCAAAAGCTTATACTTGAGTGGACCCGTCATAACGGAATTCCGGATCAATTGTCGGTCCCAATCCGCCCCTGTACCTGCAGATAAACTATTTCTCATATCCCTGGTTAAAGTTTGCGATTGCATAACAAACGGATCCACTCTGTCTTGCGCAGTTTGTGCGGGAGCTTGAGCTGTTGACTCGTAGCCGATGAATGATCCAGGATGTAATGACGGAGCTCGTCGATGGCGCCGGACTCCAGGAAGACGAGTCGTAGGGGAGCGATAGCGTTGATGTTACGGTAGTGGTTGTAGCGATGGGCCTTGAGACAGAGGTTGGCTTCCAACGCGCCCGCGAACTGTGGATACGAGAAAATCACAAGGAAAAAAATGGATGAATGATATGTTCATAACTGCAGGATAACGTTATTAAACACGATCCCAGAGACTCGAGAAAAATCTGCCCAAGTCGTGTCATTATATAGCCAACTAACAAATTGGAACTTTCGGTCTGCCCCTACAGTGACGCATTATAAAGTAATAAACCCGAACATAACTATATGGAATATACAAAAGGGTATTGAAATTACCTTTGAGGCGATGTTTGCAATCGTATTTGTTGAGAAAAAGAGTTATTATTATAACAAGATGATAATATGATACTCCGAATAAATAAGGAAATTACAAACTAGTTTTATGTAGCTTGTTCATTATATTTTTTCCTCCAGCTATAAATCATGCAATATTGTTTTATCATCATCAAATCAAAATACATAATTCCTATAGAGACAGACTTCTACAATATCGAACTCCCGCCAATGATTATACATGTATTTTGTTTGTTTGAGACCTTTCCATGACCTTTAAAAAACTTTACCATTTCCACAGACACTACTGGCACTGCGTTTTTTCATCACCATCGTAACGTTCATCTACTCGTTATTTTTTTCCTCATGAATTCATTCATGCTCGTATACTCCATTTCATAGACACATTTATGACTTGCATGCATTCCCCCCAAAAAAATGTTTGTTTACTACAGTACACGGATCCTGCTAATCCTTGATTATCAGTTCACATATTCCGAACATAACGTCATTTTTATAAAGCAAATGTATTCAGGGCGCAATCGCTTACCTTTTCTCTTTGTTTGAGGTCTTTCCCGAACGTCGCGAATGGTTCGACGAGTTCAACGAAAATCAAGTAGTATCCACACGGACTCCAGTCTTTGATACCTAAAGATCGAAATTCAATGATAACAAATGATAAAAAATTCAATGATAAAAAATGATCAAAATTCAATGCAAAATAGGATGAAATAGATATACCAAATTGAGTCTTGATGATTATGAGGAACATATCGATCTGAATACTGTAATAGGCAATTCTTTATAAATCTTACTGAACATGAATTTGTGGGAGATTATGTCGCAATCTACAGCTGAGTAGAGATCTAAAGAAGATGTCGAATTAGTTATAATTATTACGGAAATCCATAACAACAACAAAAAGTGCTGTGGAGGAATAGTGTGTTTCTATATTTATTTTTAACCGTTCAGTGATAAACCAGAAGCTCACACGGTTCTCGATTTAAGTCAATTGTTATAACAAGAATTGGGAACTAAACAAATATATTTGTAATTGTAGGTATATAAACAAGGCACAGTTCAACATTGTTTATTTTTCAGATGATAGTTTCGACCGATTAGAATTTCAAGTGCATACAAACTCTGAACTTGCTTGAGCAACACACTAAATCATTCACTATATACCTTCTGAGATTACAACCCCAAATTGGCAAACAAACTATATAAAAATATATCAAGAAAAAACCTACCCATTGCTTCTTCGTACAAAGGGCTTTCTGTAGCCGTGAAATCCACCAAGCTGAGCGTCAATCCTTTCCATTCTTCCATGGTAGCCGTAATGGCGCCGGCTACCGAGGCTTCGGGTGTCTTTTCTGATCTCACATTCAATACCTCTCCCGTCCTAAATATTAAGATACGATATATAAACAGTTTTTGTGTTGCCGTATTATATTTTCCAGTTTCATTTTTTACCATCACAACCTTTTCATTGATTTTATTGATTTGACGTCAATTATTGGTAATTATTGGTAATTTTCACATACTGCTTTTGGAATGGTAGCCAAATCGGATTCACAAGAGCCCAAAGTAAAAGTATATACTGCAGTCTATGAGATCTTCAAAACCAGCATCAAGGGACGTCGCAAGATCGCTTTGAATAAAACTATTCGAGGCTTTTAGTGAAAAGGTTACCGATTTCATTTCAAACAAGCGTTTTGAAAAAATGCCGACAGAAAGAAATCTTTAAATTTCTAGCGACACACCTTTTTTGCGCCATGATTCCATGATTTTTGTGACAGAGATTCAAGAATATTCCCCCCCCCCCCACATCTCAAACCCCACCCTTATACGTCCAGTTTGATTTTTTAAAAAAAATCTGTTATCAATAACAAGGTACATTAACTATTAAAAGCTTCTAAGATCCCTGTGTTTGATTGGCTGTGAAAATATTAATTATGTGGTATAATCATTAAGCGCTTGTTGGTAATAAGAAAGTTTTATTGAACAAATCTCCGGGCCTTTGTCTGTTTGTTTCTACAACACTACCAACCTGTATTGGAACTCGAGCAGCGGCGTCTTATTGTGGAAGCCAGCGATTTTCACGACGTCGCCCATTCGATATCGGTAGAGCGCGTCGACGGTTGTGAGGGCGAGTTCGTAGCACTGTCCGGCTTTCACCTCCTCGGCTAACAAGGTTTGTGGCTGGTCTTCATGACTGTATAGGAATTAGAGGAAAGTTGTTTCATTTTGAAATGTTAATACTAGTGGCGTAGGTTAAGAGGGCACGAGGGAAACGTGCCCCCCCCCCCTCCCCTATCGAGTGGTGAGAATGAGGGAAAAGTGAAAATGGAGAGAAGGGAAAAGACGCCTAGACGACTTCTCGAACCCTCCCCTGATCAGTATAGCCATGTAAATGCGTTTGGCATTTTCTGAGTTAGACTGACTGGTGCCTCCCCCGCCCCCCCCCCCCCCAAAAAAGAATCGTTTTAAAACATCTATGATACACATAAATAACGAAAAACCTTTGCACTGATGTTTTGGGATAAATGTTCGGTATGTCCAATCTGATATCTTTGCAAATTGAGCAATTTGGGTCTACGGGAAAATGGCCAGGGGTGAGTTTGAGTAGGAGCGGTTCTAAAAGAATAATTTTTTATTTTATTTTTTTACTGGTGGCGGTGTCTTAGGAATTCTTGTATTTCTACTTGTGCCTCTCTCGAATTCATTAATAATCAAGAATTTGATGGGGAAGGGCTAGAGTCCATAAACCCCTTTATAACCACTTGTGAGTTTGGGTCATAAAAGTGGATTACAAAAAAGGGTTATTGTTCGCTTTTGTTAGCTTATTAGGGGAAATAAACATCAACAACCGCTATGACAACAAACATCAGGTCATTAAAATATTATCAAATTAGGTCAGCTTTGATCAGTTGAGTTACATCTGTAATATCAACCCGCCAGACACAATTGTATCTGATAAGAGGAGTATGGGTTTTCTTTTTAGAAGACCTTTAGATCCTAACATGGTAATACAATGTTTGATTTTGACCACACTGTTGTATGTCTCAAACAAATGCTACTTGATTGACAACAAACACGCAAGAAGAATTGGGCACAATGAAAAGCCAACACAACGGAGGGGAGATCTAAACATTGGGTCGAAATATTGAATACTCCTTTGTTTAAATATAGTGAGACTATTATGCAATGGCCATCAGGTGAAGAAGTACCATTTTTTTTTCTTCTCCAAAAATAGGTTCCGAAAATGCTTTTCCTTAAAGATGGTTGCAAGAATCTATATACACGGTCAATGTATTACGTTGTTTTTATCATACGGTTGTGGAAAGGGGTGTGTTATAGAGGCAGGCATTTGACTCCATGTTTTTAATATGGTTTTTCAAGCAAAGTCTACTCTCTTTTACTCCCTTGAAATTCACTGACCTACGTGTTATAAGACAGAGAAATGCATGTGACGCGTAGAACACTCGACGTTATTATTGAGGGGGAAATGCCTTAGAGAATAACAATAAAATTATGGAGAGGTAGATTTACCTATTTTCTATGGGGATGAATTCACAGAATACTTCTGATGGTAGCATGATGTATTTCGAGTCTAGTCCTTTGACATCATGTAGCATAGCCACTGTGCCTTCAGTTGAGCTGTATACACTTGATATAATCGGTAGACCTGTTTGGAAACAAGTAATTGAAACGTGTTGAAATGATTTTTATAATATAATATATATTATTATATATAAATATATTTTACTAAAGGCGTCATTAGAGGGACATTTGGAGTGAAAAATAAGTCATTAAGTAGACATTGTCATTAGAAGGACAATATGGTGTCTTTTAACGTTTTTTACGCTTTATTTCTCATAGAAGGCCAAATTTGTTTATATATCTCTCTATAAATATGTAATTCCACTAAAGGTGTCATTGGAGTGACATTTTAAGTGAAAAATGAGTCATTAAGTAGACATTAGGGCTAGTGTAAGGATTAGGGTTAGGGTTAGGGTTAGGGTTAGGTTTAGGTTTAAGGTTAGGTTTTAGGGTTAGGGTTAGGGTTAGGATTTTTATGATGTCCGCTTAATGTACCATGTAGGGTTATACATATATATATATATATATATATATATATATATATATATATATATATATATATATATATATATATATATATATATAAATCCGGAGGCGGACAGCGGTCCGGAGTTTGAGAAGCCCTGCTATATACCATCTTCATCAACATTAATATTTAGTATAAGCTTTGTCAAACTTTTCTGTATATAAGTAACAGCTAGACTTGAACTTAAGAATTGAGACCGAGAATCGCATTAATCATGACTGATATAAACTAAAAATAGTCGTCATTCCTCAAAATGATTCTACATGCAAAGTTTACAAAAACAAAAAAGGCACACAGTAAAAGAAAACGTTAATATTGATAACGCGAAGATTGAAATTCGTATCGTTGCCAATGACTATGAAGATGACAAATACCACTGCTAAACCAAGTCGGCTCCCTTTCCCCATCATATCATTAAAACCGTGGTCCTATTTTGTTTAAGTATTTCCATTGATCATTGCAAATATTATTCTTGTGACGTTCGTGGCGATATTGAAACGATAACATTTACATAAAAATTATTTGTACACGATTTTATGATTTGAAGACAATAGAAAGTTAGTGAATCAATCTTACCTTTGGTGTACTTATCTTTGAGTCTTCGAGCATAGACTACCATTGCTCCAGATGAGACAGCAAATATCGCTTGAAGATGTGGCCAAAGACGACGGGCAATGCAATCGAAACCTTTCAAGAACTCCTTCTCCACCTCATCCGCTCTCTCCGGCTCGGGTTGGAGCTCTGCTTCTAACGCTGCTCGGACACTGTCCTCCAACTGAATGTGCTTGGCGATTTGTCCGTGTCGGAGGTCATTGACCAGGCTGGGCCAATCATTTTCGAGCAGCTGGAAGAACGTGAACATTGTGGAGCAAAATATGGTGCCGAGGTTACCAAGGCAACGGTCCCTAAGTCCAAAGAGGGCATGTATGTAGAGCGCGCATCGTTCGTTCGTCAGTCGCATCCCTGCCGGTGGAGTACTGAACTGAATCCGATGAAGAATGTCAGGAAGGGAAAGCATAGATGTTGGGCAGATAGAAAGTCCTCCGGGAGATTTTAGAGGGTCAGTATGGACATAGAGCAAGCATTTCTTCTGTAACGGTGTCAACGCTGGCGTATATTGCACTTTAACGAAATGAAAGACCATGGGCATGATCTTGAAGAGAAAAGCAACGTTCCTTTCCTTTGAAATGGCTATCAGTTTAGGTTTTCCAGTCGTACCGGAAGTAATACCTAACCTTGATGGGAAACCAGGTATGACAATGTCGGATTCCCCTGCAGCAACCCGGTCCATGTACTTGGCGTAATGCGAGTATCTTGTCAAAGGATGCCTCTCTCTGAACTCTGCCACTGATTTGATTGTTCCGAAGTCGAAGTCCCTCCCGTACTGAGAATGGGATCGAATCCTCAACTGGTTCATGAGGAAGTTCTCCTGGCTTTGCTGACATCTAGCGCTGTCGCGTCCCAGTTTCCTAAGGAAGTAGGTCCCGATGAGAGTTTGTATTTGGAAGAAGATGTACTGGATGATCATGATGTGTGCGGGAGTGCAGTGTGGCGCCAGATAGAGTGAGATGTGAGTTGAAATGGCTACTCCGAGAGCCGCACCGATCAGGACTGAAACTGTTAGTGTGAAAATACGTCAAAATAATGTCAATAACAACAAAATAGAGTAGGGCTGGAGATGCCATAAGATGACATGCAAGGTCCACAAAGAGCAATTGCGACCGAGAAATTTACAGCAACACAATGTTATCAGTATGGAACAGAGGTCGGAACCAATGGCTACTATATATTTCTCAATAAATCATCCTTGTGCTTGCTGATGCCATAATATAAAACTTTGGGAACTTAGAAGGAATTTTTCCTAAGGTTTTTACACCCTCCAAAAATTGTCATGAATTATCAAATTGATCATGTTCTCCTGTGGAGTATTGGGTTGGAGCCATTGTACCCTTTCCCATCAATATTCAAGATAATAAAAAAAACATGAATTTATTTGAGATCATACACAATTTATCCTTCATAATAAAGACACTGCATGTTTGCCTCCCTCGCCCCTCCCCCCCCCCCCCCCCCCACTCCGTAATAGTATTCTATACACTGTTGGTCATAAAGGTGGAATAATTATTTTTACCCCAATTTATGGAATGATTTTGACAATGAATTATTGATAATTTATTGCATTTTCTTTGTTATTTTGTGGGGCAGCCCCGTATTCTAGCTAAGTGGCTAAGCAGTGGCTAAGCAGTGGCCTTGTTACTGTGCGAGCTCCAATGATCAAAACATGATGTGCTAGATTAGTGCCCTTTTGTGAGGCATTAATCCTCATTACTGTCCATTATGACTTAAGGACGTAGATCCCCTAGTTGATTAGCATAATAGCACACACATGCTTTAGCATTCACGCAAAACAAACACTCACAAATTATTATTCAATAAAATCTGAGAATGTATACTATTATCTAGATCTATTAGGAGTAATTTATTGTCAAAATCATTCCATAAATTGGGGTAAAACTAATTATTCAACCATTATGACCAACAGTGTATAATGTTTAATTTAATGGGATTTTATATAACAATCAAAGTCTTACCTCGGCAGAAGTATAACAGATATGTTGGTGTGATTCCAAACAAGAGCTGCCATGCTAGATAGGTGAAGATCCCAAGACATGTCACTCCAAACAACTGAACTTTGTTCTTTTCGGACAGTCGCCATTTCATCAAATCTGAAAGGGAAATTTGAGATACGAAAAAATTAATCACAGCGAAAATGGTGTAAATTGGTTGACGTACGAATGGTCAGTCAATATAACTATTAATATACGGGTTTTCATTGCAACCTTCAAAAAGACTTTTGAATATCAATCTGAGACAATTTCAATATCCATGTCCATCCCTTATTGATGTGCGAATATTACAATGGCATATTACATAACTATTCCAAATGTGATTATTATGGTAAAATATAAAAGGGTATTAAAATTGCGGTAGGTTGATTTTTCACAAATCTTTGCGATCATGTTCGATATTAGTAATGTACATTCAAACCTGTATATTAAGGTCATCCAAGGGGTGACCTCCCAAGACAGTTTCTACAACACATCTTTCTTTCTGGAGGGAGACAAGATACATGGCTACTATATACGGGTGGCCTTTATGGAGAGGTGGCCACTTGACTGTAGTATGGAACATTCATTATTGATGAGTCGAGCACGCCTCGATATTACTAAATTATGTTGGCCAAATATAATTGCACATTCATTGCCATATAGGGTATGGAATGTTCATTTGAGAAGAAAAAATGTAAACCAGTTGTGTATGATTGTTTGTCCTATACGTTAAATAAGATAAACATTTCAGTATACATCAACATGATAAATCTATCAAGCTGATCGATAATTTTTGCCAATCTGTGTTCATAATCCCATGATACAATTAAATAATGGGCCCTTATAGTTGGTAACGTATTGGAAATACATTGGGCTTATCCGTATTTTGTCTCATCGCGAGATAAGGTAATTCAAAGCAAAGATATATTCCCACGTAAACTCCTAAAGGGTTACGTAATGTCTAGATGTACCTCCATTGCCCCCCACAAAGGGTACAATAATAGGAAACCGGGCCAACTTTTGTCCCGGGGCCTTGGCAAGCATTCGTTTACAGACTTTTTTTTTAAAGACGATTCATCGCCACAAAGGATTCTTTGCATCCAACTGTTTGCAGTCTCAGGGCCCATGACAAATCGAAATACAAGTGTATTCCTGTTGGTGTGCAGTCCTGCATACATCTCATATTCTGATATACTTTGTTTGATAGATTTTGAAATATTTTTTTGAAATATTTGCTTTTCAAACTTGCTACGCTCCACCCCAAAAACCTTCAGATCTCATTCCCCTTGTGACATCATCTGTCAGTCATCAATGAGCTAACTTGAGAAAGTGGCATGTTACTTTGCCAAAGTTGACCACCTGTTACAATACCACAAACAATAGCAACATATTACATGTATAAGTTTGCTATGTCAGATATGTCAGACAAAACTAATATTCTAGAATGGACAATATGTAATTTGCCCCAGCTTAGCACACGTTCATAATAGAGTTGCATGCTTCATGTACAATACATCATCATTGCCTTTGTCTTCTTGGTGATGCTACAGCATGTCTGACATAGCAACTTGTATGTTGCTATTACGTATTGTAGCAGGTCGGACTTCGACAAAGATACATATATACCACTTTCTCAAGTTAGCTCATTGATGACTGACAGATGATGTCACAAGGGGAATGAGATCTGGAGGTTTTTGAGGTGGAGCTTAGCAAGTTTGAAAAACAAATATTTCAAAAATATTAAAATCTATGAAACAAATTCAGAAGTTTACATTTCAAAATATGAGATGTATGCAGGACTGCACACCAACATGAATACACTTGTATTTCGATGTCATGGGCCCTTTAAGTCAACCTATCAAATAGATGTGATCATACCTTCTGGGAAATGAATCTAATGGACATGGGGGGGGGCAGTAACGTGGGGAAGTCGTGAAGAATTTGCTTTTCGAATGCTTGAAGCCGGGGGGGGGGGGACTTTACCTGAAAGAAGACCCGGGGCAGTCGAAGCATGTGCATGGACCTACTGCAGGTAGATCTGGGTAGATCCACGGTCGAAAACTAAAATTGGCGTGTAGTAGGTTCATGGTATAAGACGTCAATGTATTAATGTAATGCAGATACAGCTGGCAATAATTCTGTTCATGATCATAATTTAAGATGTCTTAATTGGCCTTTCCTGTAGGTACACGGCCCCTATACATTTAAGGACAAATCTTTTGACATTTCGATTAAAGTGCGGCTCTATCTATGCTCATCATACTCAGTGCTGACGCTCTTATTAAAGAATATTCCCTAATGTTGGTTGATTGTCTAAGATTGTAAGATGATAATATCAAATTAAAGTTGAAACCATGATGACTAAGCAACTTCGCAATGTACATAGCTGCGGTGACCCTGGCTTAACTAGAAATGTAAAACTTAAAGGAAAACAAAACACCTTGCGCAAACATTCTTTATATACGTTAGCGATCTAGCGCGATCTCTTCGACACTATATATTCTACAATTTAAAAAAGAGATGCAGTTAGAAATGTTTGTTTAACGTCTTACATTTTTGTCCTAGCCAATCCCCTTCCCACACTCTACCGTGTTTGGGAGTAAACAGTGCGCAGGTAATGTAGAAACTAGAAACCATATAATAATGCATACTTAAAGGTAATACAATTTAGAAAATGTTGAAAATTTGGTGGATAGTGATTCTTTACAATTTTGATATATAACGATGACTGTGGATGTGTTATATGCACTAGAAAATTTAGCCCCTAAAACACTTCTGCTTTCGAGAAAAATTGAATATAAAAATTTACCGATGCTCCTGGTAAACTTGTTTAAAATCCTAATACCTTCTACGGCAATACAATGGTATAGCTGCGACCAAAAAACCCTAGAATATGTAGTTGTGACATATAATTTCCAAACGGGAATAGCAAATCGGTCGATTTTAGTTTGGTTTATAGCTTAATTAATATCTTGACCATAAAGAGTTTATTATTTACAATTTCGTCAAATTAGACTCGATTTCAAACGCGACAACGATCACTCATTGTAGGATCTCATTTGCTTCCATTATGTTCATTTGAACAAAATTCATGATGACCTTATACCAAATCTTTGTATCATACCTTTACTGTTGTGCCTTTCGGTAAAGAGGAGAGGGGAAAGTCAGCTTACAAGTCGATATATATCTTATGGTTAATATGGTTTATGATGTTGTTCGTTCAAAACAGGATCGGTGTATACAGTAGGCTTGCGGTTGCATCATGTGAGAGAGAGAGAGAGGGGGGGGGGATTGTGGAGACCGGGAAAGGACCGTCGGTAATCTTTCTTATATATAGCACAGGTTGGAGAGGATGGGTAGTAGGAGTGGTTCGACGTTTCGAACAGTTGACTATATATCCGTCGTCATGATCGAACTAGTAGAATATTATAATTGGAAGTATCTCAGTAACCAGACAGATTTATCTACATCAGTATTCCTCCAATTTGTGTTTAGAGAATTTATTCATTACTGAATATATATTATTAAAACGCTCCGTACTGCTTCCCGTAATCAAATTAAAATCACTTCGAATGGAAACTGCATGACTTGTGACCAAACATGGGGCAATCATGTTAATCGAAATGTTTAACAGGAGAAAGTGTAACACGGCTTAATTTTGCAGACTCATTCTGCGACAATGGAACGACAAACTAGCGATGGGCTATTAATATGTAATGGTTCACCGTCTTTTAACTGTTCAAGGGTGCAGTTAATGCAGCTCCAATTCATCACCACCATCGTCATCATCATCATCGCTTAAAATAGAATCAAGCACAATATAATGGACACTCTCTTGAAGTCTGGTTATTGTGAGCATATGCGCACACCGGTTGTACACTCTGGTGGTGCAGGGTCGGATATGACGTCAATTTGGGCTGATCCTTTCCGCAAACTTTGAAAACAAAAAAAAGTTCGATCTGTATATATCACACTCTACGTGCATGCACATTTTGAGGCGGCACATTGGCTATCACGTGGACATCTGAGAAACCAACCAATAGGAGTGAATTAAGTCCATTTCTCTTCTAGCTGTCCTATTTCCTTTTCTTCTTTTTCTCCTTAATCCTTTTTGTCTTTCTTCTTCTCCCTTTCTTTTTTTTTTTGTTTCTTTTTGTTTCTTATAAAATTTAATGGGGGGGGGGGGGGAGGAAATAAAATCGTTTTTGAGATAAACCAGCCATTAATAAGAACGTTACGAAATAATGAAAAGTTGGAAGAACCTGCGGCTGTGGGGAACCGTTCATTTGCAATAGGCCATTTTCGTAATGTAACCGAATTCACTTTAATATGATGCACAAATCTTTGTTAGGTGCTTCGTAACAAATGATTTCATTCACCTGTAACGAATATTAATTTCATTTCAATAGTCAGAATATTAATTGCATTTATTACGTGATGTTAGGTAGGGCAAGCTATAATGTTTTTGCCCTACCTAGCAAAAAGTTATGTATGCAATTTAATTTCTGACTAATGAGGTACATATTTTATTCGTAACAGGTGAATGAAATTTGGGCACTTCAAAATGACGTATACAAAATTATGCATTGAATTTGGAAACACAACGAAAATGGTCTAATCAGATCCGATGTGTGATATCATAACTCCCGAACTCCCAAACAGGAGCTTCTGAACTCGCCGATCCCGTATTTCTCCTGGAAGAAGACGGTCAAATCCACCGTCACAGAGCATAGACATGAAAAGACAGCATCTGCTACATCCACCAAATCGACTCTCAACATTATGGCCAGCCTACACCCTTCAGAGACACCACACCTACTTCCCAGGAAAACCCCGTTTCCACACCTTAGACAAGTCATCCCATCAAATGCCAATTACTTTGCGGCATGTACCGAACCAACCAACGATTGGCTACCTTGTCAAATGGCTCACAGAGTCCAGCATGTCCCTGCCTGACTGCGGATGAAACAGTCAATCATCTAATAGGGGCATATCCCCTATATAATGATGAAAGGGAAAACTTCATCATGAGCCTATCAACTTTCACTCAACACCTATTACAATTAGTTCCTTCTCATCTCGTGGCCGTCGTCACCACAAATCTCATCCTCCTTGGAGTCAACCGATGACCCACCCATAACTGCCCAGGCCCTGGATTACCATGCTGCATCCCTAACATTCATCTTAGATATGCACTTGAAACATTCTGTTGTGAACAAAGCAGCTCCTGCATAAGTTGTCATCTGCACATCTTGTGATCTTTGATATTATACCCAGTTTTGTATTGTCTGTCTATTATCTATTTACTCGATCTGCGAAAGGATACACTCCGCAGTTCTCCAAACCTGGAGGAAACCAAGAAGAAGAAGAAGAAGATTCGTACCTAGCTAAGGCCAAAATCGTTCATTGTAAACAATATTTTAAAAAACTCAACAAAACATCAGTTATTATAATACCAAGTTTCAGGCAATTACAAATCCAACATGGACAATGTTTGTTAAAACCAAAGGTGATCGTTTTGGGGCAAAATATTATCTACGTATAGAGCACATAGGTGTCCACAAGTTTTGCGGGCCATTTTGTCTATGAATTTGAATATACTAGTAAACCGGTCTATATTTGTTAGAAACCAATGGCTTCTATTGGTAAATCAATAATGATCAATCAAAATCGATTTTAGCAACTGTCCACCAAAAAAAAGTTTATTCTAATCTCAATTGCATTAACTCCAGGGGAAAACACCCGTTGTGCATCCATAGAAATTCATTTCGGATTACGTAACATATACCGTGCGTCATCCATTGTAATGTTCGATGGGACGTTTCAATAAGCCAGTTTACGGTTGCAGTCTGAGCATGAGCAGATAAGGTCATTTATACCAAAAAGGTAAAACCCACAGAGATGCACACTGGTTATGCGCTCATGAAAGTTATGTAGCATTATTCATTTATGCACCAACGGTACATTCTAAGATACGCAGGTGGAAGTATTCTTTTCAAGAGGGCAAACAAAAGGTATTCATGAAGCACATCTAGGACTTTGGCAGTTATTATTCTAAGATGCTCAAAGTGGAAATTCTTTATGTGTAAAAGATCTGTGGATATTTGGGGCGTTTGTACCATGTGCTATCTGTAAACTCCCTTAATAGGCGATGGGCAACGCAAGTGCACATTATTTCGTGTTATTATAAATGATAGAAATATTCAAAAAGTAATATTAGCGTCCATTTAAACATTCTGTCGATTCTTGCGGAAGTAAAAAGAGGGTATGTAAAATAACAATAATAAAATATCTCTGTGATTATTTCTTGTTTAAATCATGGACATAATATGCGAAGGATATATTATACGAAAAGGCCTCGGATACGCAAGAACCTTCGGGAAGCCCGTCATTATATTCGATCATCTATACGTCATCATCATCATCATCATCATCATCATCATCATCATCATCATCAACATCGTCAATGAATCAATAATGCCCAACAAAATTGAACAATAATAATGATAATAATAACAATACGAAACATTTGTATAGCGCCTTTTCATAGAGCAGCTGCAAAGCGCTAACGAAAACATTAACATGGCAAATTACAAGAGATTTGATTGACCGAATATAGAACATGTAATATAGCAAGAAACACAATATGAAAGAATACAAGAACAATTTATTATTCATGTATTTATTCATAAACAAAACTTAAAGAAGAAAATGTTTACGGTTACACCAACAAGTAGTCCTTAAGAAAAATGTTTTGGAATTCTTTCTTGGAAAGAAGAAACAAAATATGAGAGATTACAAGAACAATTTAAATATTATTCATAAACTATTCATAAACAAAACTTTAAGAAGAAAAGTTTTACGGTTACACCAAAAAGTAGTCCTAAACAGTGTTTTGGAATTCTTTCTTGGAAAGAAAACTTCTTACAAGAATTGCAGTACTTTGGATGCATGCCATAGAAGAATTAATAGTAATTATATTCATCATGTGAAATTAATTATCGTCCAAAACCAAAAAGGGAAAATCTAATTAGATATTTAGAGCATTGTTTTAAGATCTTACTTCAAATAAATATAACATCCTTCAACTTTACAGTTTGGAAACCTAAGATTGAAGCAATTTTTTTTATCAACGATCAAAAGTGTCAAATTTCTACTTCTTTTTCTTCCTGGAGGGGTAAATTAAACAAATGTAAGAATGAATTATGAAGCAAAACGACTGCTAGCGTTTGCACCAACTAAAATTTATAACTCGTATCCTAATCAAATTTTCAGATTGTAAGTTGGAGAATGTTAAATTTAATTGGAATAAGGGGTAATGTAATAAGAATGAATGATGAAGCAAAACGACTGCTAGCGTTAACTATAGTTAACTTACTTTGACGAGTGATTCCTCGGGATGCCATGGATGAGGACTGTCCCATCCCTGGTTGTCTCCCGTTCAAAATGTACGAGACATCGAGGGTAGTCATGGTCTTGGTCGACATCGTCAATGACCACGGATCAAGGACGCAATGAGATGGAGAACGCTCAAAACGGGATTGGAGAAGAACTCGAAGAAGACCCGTTCCAGTGGATGATCGACCGGCACGGGGAGACTGCCACAGACTGCCACGAATTGACGAAGAGACAGTCAAGAGTGGGATGATGCGTGAAACGAATTTTCTTAGGGTTATGTAATGAACTTCTCAGCAAACTTCTTCACGGTAGAGTGAATCTTGTCTCGAGAGTTAGTCTGATGTCAAGGCGAAGACGTCTTATTCTAAACACGACTCGCAAAGACTTCTAAAAATCAACTCAAGGTCAATTTCAATTGTCTAGCTCAAATCCAATACCATATCGTTCTGGATCTCAAAGAAAAATAATGTTCGGATTACGTCATTATTTTGTAATGTTCACAAATTTCAAAGGGTGATGGAAAGGCTTGTAATAGACCGGTAATATATATATTTTTTAATTTGTATTGTTTCACATTCCGCAAAATAACAGTTTACATTATTATCAATAGTCAGCAAGATAAAGCATAATGACAAAAAACAATGATGGCAGTAAATTATAATCTGTTACGTGAAATATGAGGAACCTATTAAAAAGCAATGCTTGTATAATACAGGTTCCCATATACCAATGACTGTATCAACAATTCCAATTCAATGAAGAGAGACGAATCCGGGACATATAATTGATACACAATTCATACAGGTGAAAAAAGAAAGAAAACAGACATAGATAAATTTAAAAAATAACGATAATGTGCTTTATGCGTATGATTCCAAGAGGAAGTTTGAGTTTACGCTTGAATGAATACAGCGAGGGTGATTGAATTATCGCAGTGCCCAAACTGTTCCAAAATGAACTATTTCAGGGATGTTTCTTTCGTGGGGACCTAATTACGAGGTATTCCATTACCTGTTATCAATGAATAAATGAACTACATTTATAGGAAAACAGTATGCATACATTATTTGTTGCAACGCCAGGCAAGCCTCGGGCAAAAACTGTGCATTAAAAATATGAATATGACAGTGAACCGGTTGACTGGCTAAGGCTGATTTTTGGAAATGACTTCTTTAATAATGCTAATAAAAAATTATGAATCATTTCATTCACCAGTTTCATTAACGGAATACAAACTGGCATGGTTGGATACCTTGCCTTACCTTGTAACGCTGATACATACAATAAGCATTTTCACTACAGAAATATAACTTGTAATAGCTAAATACATCTAAACGAACCCTTCCTCGAAATACTATCATCTTGTCTGCTCAATATTTTACTGATCTCTCTTAAGTCTTAAGGCCCACTGCTCTACTGGTAGCTACTTGCGCCCTCTTTATAACAAACAATGCCTAATCGGTGACCATTGGTCCCCCATGATCCTCTTTTTCTTATGTTAACTGAGAGCTGAGTTGATGAGATAACCACCTGTCCAGTGACCTTGCAAAGCGGTCTAATCCCTCCTGTAAACTACGGCAGATAAGCTTTAACCATCATCTCACATCTCTCTTGTTTTAAAGAACTCTTCTCACTCTTTGATTCAGACTATAAATAAAACCGTGTTCATTTATAGGTCGGAAATAAAAGTACCCAAGCTTAGATGAAAGGCTACATCCATGGGGTATTCCGAAGATGTATGGGCGTGGCATGATCTCAGGGGTACTATGATGTCATGGAAGAGGTGTAGCACTCGTTCATGTCGTGATGAACATAGTTTGTCTCGAGCAAATAACGTGAAGGTCTTATTTCAATAAAAAGAATTACAGATGTGTTTGAAGTATGTCTACAAGCGTAACAACGTCTTTAAGGGGAGGGGGGCAATTCTATGGGTTTTTTAAGTCTTCTTTCTTTCCGCTATGACGTAAGAAAAAAGATTTAGCATTCCAGAGAGGGTTTGTGATGTCACATTCATCATGTAGCCCCGGCAACAAAATATACGAGATAATATAGACAACCTTTCGTGTGTATACCAACAATGACTGGTCAAATAAACGAATTAAATTCTTACATTCTGAACAAAATTAATTACTTGTATACACTTTATGGCTGAATGTTAAAAAGGTTTGATGCTACATCTGGGCCCCATTGCATAAAACTTACCATTGATGGTAACTTTGCCATCAATGGCAACTACCATGGTAACAGGGCTCAACAGCCAATCAAAATCAAGATTTCCATGGTAGTTACCATTGATGGCAAAGATACCATCAATGGTACATTGTATTCAACGGGGCCCTTATCTTTAAAATTTATAACAGCAGCATCGAAATGTGGTGGCGTGGAAGCCTGAAAGGGCACAGCTTTGTACATTTCCCAAGAGTTTGCTACATTTAAAATATTTCTAGACCGACAGGCAACGAGACTGACACATTTCTATCTTCCCCTTACATTTATTAGCTCTGCCGGTCTCATGGGCTGCCGATCTCGTAGACTGTCGGTCTCGAGGGCCGTCGATGAAGCGGAGCTTGGAACACTCTTCTCATTTATATTTTCATGCTCTTATGCCATGTCTGCCTACTGGAATGGCCCCGAGCAGAACCGCTCTCTGTTTCTGCTTTTCAGTTGCTCTCCCTCCCTCTCTCTCTCTCTCTCTCTCTCCCTCTCTCTCTCTCTCTCTCTCTCTCTCTCTCTCTCCAGGGTCTGTCCCCTTCCCCTTTTTCTATATTTCTCCATTACTGGGCATTACTCCCTTTCATCCTATCTAGAACCACGATTTCTGGGTAAGAGGACATATTTTTTTTTTTCTTACTCCCAAAAATTTCGCTACGACTAACCCATATCTGGCAAAAACTTATGTATGTTGTTCTCATTCGGACTATTGAACTACAATAATACATTTATTAACAATAATAATAGGGGGGTTAGAGGACACTTTTTTTTTTTGGTCTCAAAATTTGAAAAATTGACATTTTGCTCCGTTGGGGGGGGGGGTAAGGTCACCTTTCTTAGGTCAGCCATGGGGGTGATTTTTTTTTTTTTTTTTTTTTTTTTAAATAATTAAAAAATAAAAATAAAAAAAACCAAAGGGGGGGGGGGGATTTTAGGGATTTTTATGGGGGTTTACACACATACAAATAACAAAGGGGGGGAGGGGGTTTAACCCCCCAAACACCCCCCCCCCCCCCTCCTGCGTACGCGCCTGACTGGAACACTTTTCATTAAAATATAGTGTTTGAATGATGCCATTTATGATAACGTTTCTTCACCATGAATTTTGGCAGTAGGCGATTAGTCGTCATTTTGATTTTAGAATGTAGATGAATGTAATTGTAAGTATATTTGTTATCTTCATAATGGTATACGTGCACGCTGAGTGTTTGAATGATTTGACGTTATTAACCATTTTATATCACACTGAAACAACAAGTACAAGAATATAAAACAAAAGGTATTTGTAGCGGAATTGTACTGACGTGAATTTTTTTTAAATAGATATATATAAACTTTATAAATGACCTACACGATTTACATGATGATGACTGTAAATAATTATATCTGGTTCTGGATCTATAATGGTAAAGGATTGATAAATATCTTGTAAACCGCTTGCAGAGATAACAAATGTTTTGATTTTTATTCTTTATGGCGTTCCAAAATGAACACACGTTGCAAATCGAAGTGCTTTAGCTTTCTTAAAACAACTTGGTTTTTAGTGTAACAAAAGAATTTGAGACTACGTAATGGTAACTATACATTGCTGTTTTGAGGCCATGCAAAATTGACAAAACTGTATAGAGTGTCAATTCACGATGTAACTATGGGCAACGCGATGAAGTTTACTAACACAAACAACCAGCAAATCTCTCTCTCTCTCTCTCTCTCTCTTCCTCTTCCCCCTCCAACCTCACTTTCTTCTCGATCCCTCCTCAATTCCCACCTCTCTCCCCCTCTCTTGCTCGCTCGCTCCCTCTTCCTCTCAATCTTCACTTTCGTTTCCCTCCTCCATTCCCTATATCGATCTCTTCACCCCTCTCTCCTTATTCTTGCCCATCCTTCCATGGCTCTCTCTCTCTCTCTCTCTCTCTCTCTCTCTCTCTCTCTCTCTTTCTTCTTCCCCTCTAAGTTCGGGACTCTTTCCTCTCTACTCCGTGATCCTTATACGTCCTCTCCCCTCTATCCTCCTCCTCCTCCACCTTCTCTCTCTCCCTCCCCATCTCTCTCTTTCATCTTCGTCATGTGTCTCTTGCATGCTCATTCCAATCCGATAATTTTGTCACATGATCTAAAGGACTTGATAATAAAAGCCAATATACAGACAGGCAGGTCTCTAAATACACATGATGCAAAAGTTGTTAAAACGAAGGATTGACTAATATACGTCACATCTGCGCGCCGTTGGTTTCATCTTTCCGGAATTAAAGTAAGTCGATCAAATTATCAAGAAAGTAAAAGTATCTCTCTCCCTCTCTCTCTCTCTTTCATCTTCATCATCAAATCATGCAATACTTTTATCACAAGATTCTAAAGGACTTGTTTTTAAGTTCAGTGATAACAAAGCAAATATACAGACAGGCAGGTCTCAAAATACACATGATTGAACGAAGGATTTACTACGTCACGTCCGCGCGCTCCTGATTTGATTCTTTCCCGAATTAAAGTCGATCAAATTATCAAGAAAGTAAAAGTATCTCCCTCAATTTTCTCTCTCCTTCTCTTTCATCTTAATCAGGGGCGGATCTAGCTTTTTGTCGGGGGGGGGGGGGGGGGGGGGGAGGTTGACCCAGTGGCGGATCCAGGATTTTCCAAAAATCGCGCCGTTTTACTGTTTTACTTCTTTGTTTTCACTTGGCCGCCCAAGGGGGGGGGGGGGGTTAAACCGCCGAAACACCCCTAGATCTTGTTTTCAAGCTGTGATCATGATAAAGCAAATATACAGACAATAGGTCTCAAAATAGACATGATGTAAAAGTTGTTTGAACGAAGGATTGACTACGTCACGTCCGCACCCCCTGGATTCATCTTTTCAAGTAAGTCGATCGAATTATCAAGAATGTAAAAGTATCTCTCTCCCCCTCTCTCTCTCTTTTATCTTCATCATATGTCTCTTGCATGATGCTCATTCCAATCCGGTACTTTTATGACATGATCTAAAGGACTTGTTTTTAAGCTCAGTGATAATAAAAGCAAATATACAGACAACTATAGGTCTCAAAATACACATGATGTAAAAGATGTTTGAACGAAGGATTGACTACGTCACGTCCGTAAGTTGATCAAATAATCAAGAAAGTAAAAGTATTTCCCATGTTCTTCAAAATATAGACTAAGAACAAACAGCATGCAAACAGATGATTGCGTTAAACCGTTTCGTTCCACTATAAATTTATGCCGAGCCCGTTATGTCCCAGTCCCCCTCCCCCCCCCCCCCCCCCCCTCAACACACACACACACGACTTTCAACTTCTGCGTCTTTTATACTCTATGTAATCATATGAAGTTTAATAATAGTAGAATATTCGCTTTCAAATTGTACTTTCCATTTTATTGAGAGAGAGAGACAGAGAGAGAGAGAGACAGAGAGAGAGAGACACACAGAGAGAGCGATGTGTGTACGTGTGTGTGTAGAGAGAGAGGGAGAGAGAGAGAGAGATAGACAGAGCGAGAGAAATATGAAAAGAGAGAGAGAATTGAGAGAAAGGAGATAGAGTTGAGATGTTACATGAAAGTATCATAAACTTTGATTGCACAATGGATCACGTCAATCGTGGAAATATACCATTCTCATAATGTAACCAAATCTAATGCATATGACTTTGTGAAGTGCCTTGCCACAAATTATTTAATTAATCTGTTACAAAATACATGTAATTGAATTTCACTAGTCAGAATGCAAACAGCATACATAAGTTTTTGCCAGATATGGTTTACCCTCTAGTAGCCTCTACCTCAACAACATGTTTTAAATTTGGTTACTATTACGAAAATGGTCTATATTGACAAAGCCATGTCAGACAAAGCACGATCTACATTTCTTTAATAGCTTACACAGCTCCACGGGGGCCTACACTTTGACTCAATGTATCTACAATCTAAAGGACAAGAGAAAGGAGTAAACAATAAAATAATGTTTAATTTGTTTCATCGTGATTGTTTCATATTTATTTTCATTTAAAACAATGGTTAGAAAAATACATGTATATAGAAATGTGCAGATAACCTGAGTGACAATATTTTCTACAAATGTTGAAATAAAAAATACAAATACATTTGTAATACACGATTTTAATTTGACATTTCTACCTTTCCTGAGTGAAAGTGATGAGGAATTTTGGACAGGTCAAATAGATCCTTGTTATCATATCAATGTCTGTATGACTGAAATCTGTTATATTGGGAAGAATGCCAATTGGTGAAGATTTTCATAATCAATAATAAAGTTCATGATTGGATTACAATAGTCAGTACCTGAAAAATATTGTCCAAGTATGTGCCCCTAAAACATTCTCACACTTCAAATGTTAATTACATTATCACAATTCATTTCTGAATAAAATGAAAGAAATTATTTTTAACCATGTTCTTACATAATCTCCCCCCCCCCCCCCCCCAATACGGCAAATCTCTATTCACTTGTTAATAATTAATTCATGAATGAAAAGATGTTGATTTCATAGCACAATGAAATCAACATCTTTTCATTCATGAATAAATTATTAACAACACAAATGCTACAAGTCTTAGTAATAACAGGAAAATACAGGCTATTCTTTAATCTCTAAGTATAATGGCTGAATTACATTCACACACAACTTTTGCACACAAAATTTGAGTTACAACTTTTTCAACTACATGTATGTACATCTATCTGTGTGCTTCCTACAAGTTCTGATGAAGAACAGGGACATTGTAATCATCACCATCACCATCATCATCGTCTTCATCGTCATCACCACCATCATCATAAGCATCATCATCGCCACTTCATCATCATCATCATCATCATCATCACCATCATCATCATCATCATTATCATCACTTCATCATCATCATCATCATCACCAGCACCAGCACCAGCACCACCACCACCACCACTACCACCATCTTCATCATCATCATCATCATCAACATCATCATCAACATCACCATCATCATCATCATCATCATCATCATCATCATCATTATCATCACCACCACCATCATCTTAAATTGTTCAGCATCTGCTTTTCCCACACTTTTTTTGAGTTGGACATTTCATTTTGTTTTTGGCCCTTCTTCAAGTCTTCCGGTCTTTAGCATCCATCTGGGTGGTGCCAGATGCTCTTATATCTTCTTCCAGTGTCTTCTTGCTTTAACTTTATTTACATCTATACAAAAATAAATATAAAAAAACCAAAAAAATCATTCTTTTAACATGAATTGAAAAAAAGTTACAAGCACCACTAGGCCGAACAAAAAAAAAAAGATGTTGTGTTGCCCTTTAGGTGCTAAAACATGGGTCGGTCGGTCGGAGATCTTTTTTTTTCTAAATTTGTTTTCTTCTTTTTTTCTCCCTCTTTGGGCTAATATTTTTCAGTTTTGAATGCTTTACCAGTAATACAATATTTTTCTAAACGGTCGAAAAACAAAACCTTTTTTTAAAAGCCGACTGTAGATTTCAAGATTTTTGGGTCGGTCGCAAAGGACAATACAACATCTTTTTTGTTAGGCCTTAGGGTAAAACATATACATCATGAAATCATGATTCATACTTAATAACCTTGTACTTAAATAAAACTATGCCCGCATGAGGAAATTAAATTACATTCATTATTACATTAAAAATAATTGTATGCTCAGTCTGTTTGGCAGAGACAAACGAATAATATACACGATAGGAAAAATACTGTGTAGGCAATAACACTTTTAAGTATCACATTTTCTTTACAATTAATAACAACAATAAAAATTTGAGTTAAAAGAAACTGTCATATATCCATCCAAGGAGATACATATAAGGTGCCATCGAACTACTACTACTAATAATTTGCAGTGTGATGCCTGGGTAAACGAATCATGGTTTTTAAAAATACAACAGAAATACAACAAATACAACAAATACAACAAAAATACAACAAAATATAACAAGTACAACAAAAATGCAACAAAACTACAACTAATACAACAAAAATACAATAAATACAACAACAAAAGTACAACAAAATACAACGAAATACAACAAAAAACACAAAAAATATAACAACAAAACAACATACAACATATAACTTGGTTAACAATTTTATCCACTTGAAGCCCCTCTAAAATGTTGGGAGCCCCAGATTCGTAAAATATTTGATGGCAAAATTTCACTTAAATTGTATCATAGTGTGAAAGAGGATCATGTCACTTCTGCAAAGATTTCCCCTGAAAAAAAGTGTTTGAAGACAAATATTGATGAATTTGGGTTCTGATGTACGCAGAAAACTTAAATTTTGTATTCTGTCATCAATTTTTGACTTCAAACACACTAGTTTTGAAAATCCTTGCAGAAATGTGTCTTAGATGACATCCTTTTTCACATTATGATACAATTTAAGTGAAATATTGCCATCAAACTTTTGGGGCTCCCGGCCAACACTATAGAGTGGCTTAACTCACACACGAATGTAAATGTTACACAATGTACATATAAAATTGATTAAAATGGTTGGAAATTGATTGTCTTCCTCGTGCAGCTATAACATTACCTATCTGTTAAAATTTTATTTACATCAATTGAAGTGATACTGAACTGGTGAACTTTCTGCCCTAGCATACTATTTATTGCACAGCGCCATCTCATGGTCAACTTGCCAACTATCCAGTTTCATCTCAGAACTAGTGAGTTGCACCGTTCAATGTATTCAAACTGTAATCTATGACATGACCCGGTTGATATATTCCCGGGTCAATGTACCAAAACAAAGCCAATTGCCAATCAGATCATTCCTTCGATATTGGGTTGATGAATATTAAACTATCAATAGGTCAGCCAGACTGTTCTTGTACGTAGCTATTGGATGTCCGAAAACTTTTTTTTTGGAACATTTATTGTACTCAAATCTAGATGGACAACAATTCATGTGGACAACAATTTTTTCGAGTTAAAAATTAATTTAGGAGCTAAATGAGCAAGCTATCTAATTAGGTCAATTAGGTCAAACTGAATATTTCATTAGTTGCTATTTTTCACAATAACATAGAGTGTGATATTGCAGCCAAAGTGGATATATGAAGACGTAAAGAGTGAGAAAAAATTGTAGCCCCTGATTCCTCTTGGTCCAGCCGAACTAACCCATTCCTTCCACTGACTACCCCATACAACATACTTCAGTCTCTTTATCGAGGTGGCCGGAGCCAGATGTAGTCTCAGCGGAACAACCGTCGATATCATAGACTGAAGCTTTCGGTCTAGCCTTCCTCTAGCTGCCCCCCCCCCCCCCACCCATGCCTCTGACTAATAGGGTTGACCTTGAGAAGATTTTTTGGACTGCCATAAGGGAAAAGTCAAGAGTCTTCTTTTTCTTTCTTAAAATACCTTGATGTCTTTTCTTCTTTCTTTGTAAAATAACTGTCTAGTTTCCTTTGCTTGGGGGCATTCTCATCTTCAATTTCCGATTTCTTAGATTTCTTTCCAGACTTCTGTTGATAAAAAAAGACAAAGAAGAAAGAAATCGTTCAAAGTATAGAGGATTAGAAAATAGAATAAAACTGATAAATTTTGGTCTTTGAAATAATGATAACCATTTTATATAATGGCTGTGATAATTTGTGACAATATTTGCTTGGCTTGGTAATCTTGCTACACTATGACATAAAAAAAACAAAAACAAACAAAGATTCTGTATGATACAACCTTCTGTATTCTTCACAAGTCTTTCTGTATTTCTGGGAGGAATTACAAAAAACTGCCTAAATTCACAAAAGATATTTATTTTAACCTTTGGTTTTAATTTCAAAGCTTAGTATGGGCATACACATATGTACCCTGCTTCAGGATTATTTTAGTCCACGGTTGAAGTTTAAATCATGATTTAGACCTAGGATGAAATTAAATGTCTTCCTTGAGTTTAAGCAAATAACTTCAAGTTGGTAGCACACTATAATCTCCAAAGGCTCCGAGGAGATAATAAGGCTCCTGCCTTTTATAAGCTGTCTTCTCATTCAAGCATTGTTATTTTATGATCTGTTCCATAAAACCTGTTTTTCATATAAATGAATGGACCAAATGTCAACTTGAACTTAAAGCCCCAATGCACTGCACTACTTATAGCTCCTTGTGCCCTCTATATAGCAAACAATGCCTAATTGGTGCCTGTTGGTCCCCCATGATCGCCTTTTTCTTATCTTAATTGAGAGCTGATTTGATGAGATAACCACCTGTTAGTGACTTTGCAGGGAAGTCTAATCCCCCTGGCCAAACTAGTGCAGACGGGCTTTAAACTATTAGATTTGTAGCTTCAAGATATACCATTACCTTTTTAATTGTCTTGCCATTATATGCATCAAAAGCTTTCCTCATACCAGCAGACACTGCCTGACCCTCGAAAGCACTTCGTGAAACCCACTGATGATGGGGAATGTCTTCTGATTCTTGAGACTTATCGGATACATCCTCCTCCTCCTCCTCCTCCACCTTCATTGTCTCTAGCTCATAGGTTTGGTGGATGTGGGAGAACATGTGAACAAACTGACAATGAGAGAGAGAGAGAAAAGGGAAACGGTTATCTCCAGCGGTGTCACTAGAGCCCTGTTGCATAAACCTTACTATTAATGGTAACTTTGCCATCAATCGCAACTACCATGGTAACAGGGCTCAACAGCCAATCAAAATCAAGGGCCCTGTTTCATAAAACTTGTTATCAATAACAAATGCTAAATTTCTATGACAATTTTGCTCTCAGCCAATCAAATGCCACGATTTCAGTAGCTTATAACAGTTGTTATACCTTGTTACTGTAACCAGTTTAATGAAACAGGGTCCTGGGTCCAGCCACTGATAGGACAATGGTATCATTGGGGAACATCAGTTAGGAAAAGGTTACTTACAAACACTATTGGTTATCACTGTATCCAAAGCTAGTTACATTTAATTTTAATGCATAATTTTAACATAGTCAAAAAATGATAATGCCATTTTGTGTTGAAATAGGAGCTTATAATTGTTCACCATAAAGATTCATAGTTGGTAATTAAGATATGTTTCAACAATGATGGCTTTTTAAAGAATGTTTATAGAGGAATTAAGAAAGAAAGAAAAAAGGTGAGAAAAATAATGGGAAAGTGTGGATCCAAACCAAAAGTGAAAGGAAAATCAATCCTACAATGTTTTACTACACAAGGGGGTGTTTCCACAAAGAGACTTAACTCTAAGTTGGACTTAAACATTATGGAGAGCTATTTGTAGCCTTAAAATAAAATATATTCAAAAGCAAAAATTCAAGACTTTTAGACTTTTCATGAATTCCACATCAAGAACACGAAATCTCCTTGATAATAGAAAATATGAATGATTTGAATCAAAATTTTATGCCTTTACAATAACTTTTATGAAATATTTTCAAAGATGCTTCAGGTCCAACTTGGAGTTAATATCGACTTAGGATCTTTGCGAAACACCCCCCCCCCCCCCAAGATCATCGACCTACCTGTATAATGTGCTTCCTGTCCTTGACATTCTTCAAGGTCATATTCAAGGTGTCCTTCAGGTAGGAATCCATCTTGTTTCTGCTCTTCTGCCGAGAGGTTTCTTCTGCAATCTCAATACTTGGAAACTCCCACATTCCAGCCAGGAGACCTACATAGAACCCACAGTTTAAAAACAATAATGGTTAGAGGTTGATAATTGTTTACAGTAAAAAAAATTATTAAAAAAAAAAAAAAAAAAAAAAAAAAAAGGCAATCAATACGAGCTGGGGCAATATTCTGAAAACTATGTTATATTTTATGATAAGGAAAATCATGTTTATGGTTACAATCTGAAGTTGGACTGATCTAACGCTTCTTACTGGCGTTTGCACATATATGTCTCTGTTAAGTAAAGGTGCACACAACAAGTTTTGCACAGACGATAACTTATGACTTGTTAAGTCCTACGATGGAATACCAGATGTATTTCACCATCATGCTGCATAGTTCTAAGTATTACAGTTAACTAAAAATGTGCATAATAGTCAGACAAGGGCAGCACACAAGATAAACTTGGATTCACAAAAATCAGCCAGAAAATTGGTGTTATTTCTGATTTCCCTTTTTTTTTCTGAGTATTTTCATTTTCAATTAGTGGCATCTCTTTTTTATTTCGCAAATTTACAACCAAAAGATAATAGGGCATATATAGCAATATTTAGGTAAAAGGAAAAAGGAAAGTTAGTATGTAGATGTATAATTCATATGAAGATAAACAAATTGATAGATAAAATACACATAATACAAAAATATGTTTATGGAGATGGATAGAAAACAGGAAAATGGAGTGAGGTGAAAAAGAAAAAGTACCTGTGTCTGGTCGTTGTACTATGAGATATTCCTCTTCATCGTTAGTCTCTCTCTCCACAATACATACAGCAATCTGTAACAATCAAATAAATGCAAAATTAAAGCTACAAGGATTCCAGTCCACCTTTTAGTTTCAGCATTGTCAACCAATCACATAGAGGAGAATTAATTGAAGCAAATAAAAAAGACCTTACATCACAGTGAAGATCTAGTTTTTAAAACAAACTGAGAATTATTTGAATATTATTTTTACGTTTCCTTTGATAGATTGATTTATTGAGACACACACACACAGAAAAACGTTAAGCATACTAATTTAGCAACCTGACAAACATGTCAAGTCAATGCATTGTCATCTAATGGGACCAAATGTCCTCAAATCTTTTGGGCAAATTACAACTGCAATATACACTGCTTATATTACTCAGAATTATAATAATAGGCATTTTTATAGCGCCGTCTATCTAGAAATTCTATTCCTAGGCGCACTTATTATTACCCTGGCTTTAGCCTAGCTGCCATTACAGCGCTCCAGCATTTCAAGGAATTAATTCTGCCAGGTACTATACCAATATGTGCAACTGCCATTCATGTCCAGCAGAAACTTTGTTGCCTGGGTGAAATATAAAGCACATGCATTTAACTGACAAAAAACTTACAACTTGCTGTTTCAACGGCTTTTTCTTTGGTTTCCTAGGGTAATTCATCACACCTAAATTAGCATCCACTGGTCCATCCATGCAAAGTGAACAACCATCAGCAGCTACATGTTTATACACAATCATGTGGAAAAAAAGAAGAAAACTACAAATAACACATCTTGTACATTCATACAAAATAAATGTATTTTCCAGAAATTATATTATACCAGTTATATAGGTTGTGTAGGCCACAACACCACTACCAATGCAATTTTGAAACAGCGTACATCATTGACCAAATTCACTTGAAACCCATCCAAAAATTAAATTTGCAGATTCTAAAATTAAACTTGTTTAATACTTACAGTAGATTTCATACAGTAATTTACAATTTAAATCTAGTTTCTGAAATAGAGGGCTGTCTAGCAAGCACTGGAATAAAAAATAAAATAATAAAAAGAAGAGGATACAGATCTCTTATTTCCTTACCACATTCAATGTCTACAATATCCTTCTCTTCTGGTAAGGACTGACCATTGCTCTTGGTCAGTTTGGTGGCCAAGTCTCTGGTCAGCTGGTCCATCTGCTGTATAGCCCTGCAGTGGGATTGGACGGGGCAGGAGGGACACTGGGGGCTCTTAGGGTGGCAGACTGTCGCCCCTAGCTCCATCATGGACTGGTTGAAGTCTCCGGGTCGGTCTGGATCGACGATGGCATTGGCAAGGTCCCTGGGTGGAGAAGGATTGGAATCTAACAGTGACTTTACGAAACATATCAGAATATACCAGACAAGGGTAATATCAAGGACAATTATATCACCTTAAGTAATGTGCTTGTAAATATTATCAGTATTATATATAAACTTTAAACTGTCAATAGGCATGAACATCGAGGGCTTACTAGATGTTTAAAGAGGGGGTAAAAGCTTGATAATAGCTCTATTTACTACACCATAGATACATGTATAAGGTCCTAGTCAAATCTGAACTGGTATTTCCTAAGAGAAATAATTCAAATATAATTTAGATACAAAACGCAAACTGCAACATCTTCCGTAAATGTCAAGTTAGTCAACAGGAGGGGCTGTATCATTAAAACATTAGTTATCAATAACCATAGTACATAGAAAAACAAAAAATAACACAAGTGTATGTATTTTCAATAATTTGATAACTGAAATATCAGTGATGGTATCAACAACCATAGTACATAGAAAAACAGAAAATAACACAAGTGTTTGTATCTTCAAAATTTTGATAACTGAAGGACTAGGTTTATAAATAATGCAGATCTATTTTAAAATATTGCATCCATGATACAGATTTATACAGATCACCATTAGGGCATTACCATATTGCTGTCATGACATTCTGAGTGGTGAAATCAGCCCCAATCATCCTCAAACGAGAGAGAACTCTGATCACGTTGCCATCAACAACGCCAGTAGCCTGAGGGACACCAGAAAAAGAGATTGTCTGCTTGTGTTAGAGTCACATGTTTCAGTAATTATGAAATTTAATAGCGCTTCTACATACATGTTTCATTATTTTTCATTACTTTCATTGTGATGTGAACTGTCTACAGTGGTTTATAACACACAGTGCCTTCATGAATTCTGACCAAAGCATGCTGTCTTAGCTCTGTGATAAAATATAAACATGTATTCCATTTTGTAGGAAAAGTAGAGAATAGTCATAGAATGAAATGTATTTTTCCAAACTATTGCGTCATCTCCAATCCAATCCAAACGATATTTGATAAAGCCCCGTTTCCTTGCAGTTACAAAGCACTGCACACCTCTCCACAATGTTTGGGCCGCTTAAAAACAAAAGTTAGACACTTCTCAGAGATCAGTCAAGTAAATTATGTTGGCTGGTAATAAGTAATTTCTAGCATTGTGTCAATATAACAAACAACAACTTGATACATAGATCTGATGCAGTCCACTGGCTCATAAACATTAGATCTACATTTTAACAGGGAACAAATAGCAGTTTTAATGTTCAAAGCTTTAGATAAGGCACATTTTGACTTTGTATGTTTCAAGATTCAAGATTCAAGCTTTATTTATTTTCTTTCCACTTGCATAAAAAAACATTTCATTCAGGAACAGTAGCAAAAAGTTCATCGTCCACTAGCATAAATACATTAACAATGAAACAGTTATAAAGACTTTAACAAATGTGGAAAAGAGTCTGTTCACAAACCTCGCTGAAGGATATTGAAGCTATCGCACCTGCAGTGTAACGGCCGACACCTGGTAGCTCCTTCCGCAGTTGTTCTGCTGTTCCTGGAATTTGACCGTCTAGTTCATTCTGAACCTTGCAGGCTCCCTCAAAGAGACGTTGTCCTCTAGAGTAATACCCAAGACCTGCCCAGACCTCTCGTACTTCCTATCAATCAAAATAAATTCATTGATATTACATATGACATATTACGTTATTATTGAACAAAATACATGTCCAAAGTCCAAACACATATTATATCCACGTTTATTATCATCAATTTATAATATACTGCTTTATTTATAGACACACATACCCTAAGAAATTCTGATGCTGTATAAACTCATTATGAAATATTGTACTCATGAGATTACTTAAGTTACTTTATGATTTTTTATTAATTTGATTGTAGCACATAGTTAAGTATGAGACTTGACAGTTTCTTTGACTTTTTGTACATTATTTCTACCATTTTTATATGTATCTGTTTGTATTTTTATTTTTATTTGAAATCCAACCTGAAGTTTTAGTTGCAATAAAGAAATAATAATAACAAATACAAAAAAGTTGTTTGCAGTAAGTCAGTACACAACAAAAACAAAACACCCAGTTGAATATTCTATCAAACTAGAAATGTATACAACTCTCCACCCCAGTGGTATTATCTGCGTTCATACAGCAAGCACTAAAGCACTTAATACTGTTAACATGACACTGCATGCCAAAGGCCCCAGTCAATCTTACATTATTCTTCTGTCTTTTATTGTACAGACTTATCAATCATCTTTTGTGCTGGATAGTGACAATTATTGCAAATATTATCAGGTTATCATCTAAACATAGACTACATAAAATATCACTATTAGTGACAACAATGATACAATTTCAACACAAATATACTCGCAAAAACTTGGTTTGAGTCCCGTCTATGCCCTTTTTTTACCTATATTAAACTGTTTGTAATAAAACTGGTCTCACCTCTAGAGATGCTTTTGAAAGAGATTCAAGAGTTGGCCATTTCTGAAGAAAAAAAAGTGAATTCAATAGAAATGGCATCATTTGGAATATACATGTATCTTGATCATAGGATGCATTGCTATTTATATATGTATTTTCTATGATATTTCACTCTTTTCATTCCATTCCTTGAACAGACAATTATTTTAAGAAGACCACAGATTCATCCATATATTATCTATGAATTAAGAAAGTATATATGTTCAATCTTCATCGACAAACAGTCTAGATCTGTAGGCCTACATAGACCAATACACTATCACAATTTACAGGTATAATTTAATTCAATGTCTTTCATACTTATTTTAGGAGGTGGGGGGGGGGGGGGGGGGGGGAGAGAAAAATGTACTTACTTTCATCCATTTGTTGTAATAATCTATAACCGTGGCAACCTGTGTTTGTTGACACATAATCTCTGAAACCCAGACAGCGTAGGCTTTATGATTTGTATCTTCTCCTTTTATCTGAAATGAAAGAAAACAAAAATAATAAAATAATTAATGTAATGTGAAATATAGAATGATTTGACAAACATGTCTATCAGTTTGCAGTTTAGGATGTGAAATAACTACATTCAGATCGACTACAGCCAGTTCTACTGGTCATCAAAATTATAATCAATCCTCCTCCTCCGATCCTCCACCTCTTTCTTCTTGTTGTTCTTCTTCTTCTTCTCCTCCTCCCCCTTCTCCTTCTCAAAAAGTACAATCCACAATGGATTGATCTGTCCTACTATTTGGCATTTCAGGTGCGGAGTATAAATTGAATACAGGGGCGGATCTAGCTTTTTGCTAAGGGGGGAGTTGACCAATAGCCGATTTTTTTAGGGGTGTTTATTTGAACCCTGTAAGTGATGTTTACCTGGCATCTATTAACACAATGGAGACCATAAAAAGCAGTGCATGATAACGTCTTTTTAAATCAAGTAACAGTTAAATACACAGTTATATCCAGAGTTATCATGTGTTTGGTTAAGTTACCAGATGAGTTGAATATCTTCTCACAATATTTGCACTTGAAAGGATTTCTCTCCAGCGTGCGTTCTTTTTTCTTTCTCTTTTTTTCTTTTTTTCCTTCTTTTTTTTCCCCTTTTTTGTTTGTTTGTTTTTTGGGCCGTCCAAGGGGGGGGGGGGGGTTTAAACCCCCTAAACCCCCCCCCCCGTAGATCCGCGCCTGCTCCTAATATTGTAGTATTACAACACGTCCGTATTACACCCCCATGTATGGTAATTTACCCTGTATGCCAACTTTTTGCATGATTCAAACATACCTTCCAGTAAAAAAAGATGCGAGACTGGATTGCCGCAACTTCTTTGCCCTGTTTGCTTCCATATTGCTTGTCACTACACTCAGACCAGACTGATAAAAAAGTGAGCAACTTGAACAAGTAATCCAGGAAATGAGCAGCCCAGCTCAGCGTGCGTTGCCAGGTTAAATCTTCACCAAATCCCCACCCAAACGACACTTAAAATATCCCCAAAGTTGCCAAATTTTGACAGAAAATCCCCAAATTCGTTTTTCATAAAACTCAATATTATTTTCATTCCCAAATATTTATTTTTCATCCCCAAAGACTTCAACAATCCCCCAATTTTTTTTTTTTTTTTAATGTGGGGATTTTGGGGATGAGAATCGGCAACGCTGGCCTAGCTTGTCACTTTGGCGGTGGCCCGTGTCCTCAAAAAAGCTGATGGGGGGGGGGGGGGGGCAAGGGACTCTGTGACATTTGTTCGCCCAACCCCCCCCCCCCCCCCTCCCCCAAAAAGAAATAATAATAATAATAATAATAATAATAATAATAATAATAATAATAATAATAATAATAATAATAATAATAATAATAATAATAATAATAATAATAATAATAATAATAATAATAATAATAATAATAATAATAATAATAATAATAATAATAATAATAATAATAATAATAATAATAATAATAATAATAATAATAATAATAATAATAATAATAATAATAATATAAATGAAATAAATACATAGAAATAGAATGAAATAAATTACAAGTTTAAAAAAAAAGATAAGATTTAAAAAAATGGTCCCCGGATTTTTTTTTTGGGGGGTTGCAACCCCCCCAACCCCCCCTCTAGATCCGCTTCTGGAATAACTTACATTTCTCCATGGCAGATCCCTCTTGTTTACATCATACCACTGTAATAATTTCCTCCGCAATGACTCGATTTCAGTCTGTGAGAAGCTGTGTATAGCACCCCGTATTTGTGTATCTGAATGGAAAAATGATGAAAGAGAAAAAAATATTTTATTTTCCAGTATATACTGAGCTGAGCTGAGCTGAGCGATTTAGAATTTAATACTGTCGAGTATTAAAATTTAAATAGCTCGGCTCAGTGTATATAATATTCAGATTTCAGCATCATGCAATGCACATCTAGAAAACCTACCAATATTATTGTTGTTTTTCGATGCCTTCTTCATCATGGAAAGAAGTCGGGGATGTAGCCTGAAGGTTGCTATTGTTGATGGGCGATGAATCCTCAGGTATTTCCAAATTCTGTCTCCTGGTCTCACACCAGTCCAAGCGACATAATTAATACTCGATTAAGGTCTCCTCAAAAAGTCAGTGCATGCACGCACCTGTATTTTCCGATGTGTAACTCTTGCGAGAGCATGTATCTTTCGTTATGAAACATTTGAGTCGACGCGCGCTTTGTTGAAAGGGAAAATCCCGGCAGAGTCCACTCTATCAAGAGGGTCCCATTAAAAAAGCTATTGAAAATTTACAAATAATTCTTTGTTTCTTATCTTTATTCCTTTGACTTTAAGCCTGTTTCATATGTAATGTAATTAATAAAAAACTACCTTTTTGAGATATGATACATTGATTTTGATTTAGATTTATATTCTATTTTGTATATCCATTGTCATGAATAAGATCTACCCTTGAATCTGGATTGTTGCATTTCTCAAACGTTGGCAAGTAAACTGGGCATGCGATCCAAATTCACATCAAGATGTCATTAAATGTACCCATTATCGATGTTCATCGGGAGAATTTCAAAGATTTCTGGCCAGCCATCAATTTAGCGATCCAGACGGCATCATATATTGCTATTGACACAGAGCTCAGTGGTCTAGGCAATAGGCGAAAACTTATGGCAAAGTATGATTATTTTTTTTGCTTGATCCCACCTGTTTAAGTTCATGTTCCTTTTCAGTTTAATGAATTGCATTTAAACTTAAAAGTTAAAGACACGTTTATATGTTTCATTATACATTATGCTTGATGATGATTGATGGTGTTTGAGGTTGTAGAATATATTCAGAATTCATAAATCAAATTTCAACTTGTAAAACATATGCGTAGCGTGGATTGGTTTGCTTGTTTTCATGAACAAAACTTTTAACATTATTTCATAGCCCTGACCTATTTGAGTATTTCTTATCTCTTTTTTGTCAGTTGAGTTTTTATAACAATATTCAATGAGGGGCAAATCATTAGGAAATTATTACAATTACACAATTATTGTTATCTTTTTCTCCAAACCATTTTTGCAATTTTGTCAAGTAAGGAATTTCAATTAGATAGCTTCTCAAAATTTGCATTAAAAGTAAATTCATTTAGACTCTAGTAACAGTATTGCCTAATATTCTTTCTCGTGATGATTATACCTGTTTTTTTATATAATGTATATTCTTAATATGAACAAATTTTCACTACTATTTAAGTGTTTTGTTTGCTTCTTCCTTTCAACAGATCCATTGAGGATAGATACAAGTCTATCGCCGAGGTTGCCAAGACACGGTCCATCCTGTCTCTAGGACTATCCTGTTTCAAGATCCAGGATGAGGAGGAGGACCACAACAGTCCAGCAGGCGAGACGTCACCAGGCCCAGGTCCTAGCAGTCAGAAGTTCCTGGCCCAGACCTTCAACATCCTGACCCTGTGTAATGAGGACTATATGGTAGAGCCAGGAGCTCTGCAGTTCTTGGTGGGCCATGGCTTTGACTTCAACAAGCAGTACTCCTGCGGTGTTCCATACTGCAGGGGACCAGACAGGGTGAGTCATCTTCATGGAGTGGACTTATTTCTTGAGATGATTTTGGGATGATCTTGGGATGATCTTGGGATGATCTTGGGAAGATCTTCTGCAGAAATTGTTGGAAGAGGGAGGAGTGAAAGATCTGGGAGTGGTTCTAAGTAGAGAAGGCTAGGAACCAAGGGTTGTTGAACAGCATGATTGCCAAAGTCAATCGATATGGCACTTAGAGAGAGAGAGAGAGACGATCTATTGTTGTGTTATACTTTTTTTCAGGTAGATTGGTAAGGGATAGGGAGAGGTGTGCCCCCTCATTCTTTTAAATAATAACCTTTTACAAAATTATTTTATCCATTAAAATTAAAAAAGTCGGTAATACGATGGTGCTGTAAAAAAGCTTACCCATTGATATAAGTCCTTTCATTATAAGTTTTCTGGCTATACACGGTTGAGATGAAATTTAGTTTCCTTGAAATGTAAAAGTGATAATATAAAACCTTTTTTTCTCTTTCTCTCATTTTCTTGCATACATGTATATCAATACCAGAAAGAGGACAAATCATGGCCGACACTGCGGCTTCTTTTTAACAACATTTTGGCTTCAAAGAAGCCACTGACCCTCCACAATGGTCTCGTAGACCTTGTGTTCCTGTACCAGAATCTTTACACAGACCTCCCGCCCTCTAGCGCCCAGTTCATTGCAGACCTCTACGAGATGTACTCTGGTGGAATCATAGACACCAAGTATGTGGCAGAGTATGAAGCTAGGATGCCGTCGTCTTACCTGGAATATGTCTTTAGGAAAAGGTATGATCCCTTAGATATTAGTACCGTAATTAACGGTGTATAAACCGCACCTTTTTGCCGCCGAAAAAAATTCAAAGTCAGGGGTGCGGTTTATACACTGTACACCAAAACAAAAAAGTTTTGATTTATGGCGCTATGCCTGGCAACGTCTCCCAGCTCAGTAATCGGTGTGTTGACTCACCACTCGGAAACCAAAACAAAACTCAAATTTGTCTGTCATCTTGGTTTGAAATTAATCTTTCTGATAGATCTTAATATGTAGTTTATAATAATAATTCCTCCAATTTTTCTTCTATTACATGGTGTACCACAAGGTCCTATCCTAGGTCCTCTACTGTTTTTTTAATTTACGTTACTGGTAATGATCTTACACATTCAGCTGCACCTCGCAGTTAAATGAAAGGCCTTCCCGGGTGGGTTTTTTTAACACGGACCCGGCAAAAAAAGTTGACAAATTTTTTTTTTTTTTTTTAAAAGGGCGAAAAAGAGGGGTGCGGTTAATACACGAGGGCGGTTTATACAACGTTAATTACGGTAAGCAATACACTTTGGTAAACAGGCCTGATAATTACCCAATTTAAATCTGTTTCCCTTTTTTTTTTGGGGGGGAGGGTTTTCCCCCGATTTTCCCCCGATTTTCCCCTATTTTCCCTACTTTCCCCAGTTTCCCCAATTTTCTTCCAATTTTCTTACTCAAAATGGGGAGAATGTTGTTAGATCTTAGAATTTATAGTCATGATATTGTAGGGCCTTTACATGTGCTGTGTGATAATAACATTGTTATTTTCACATGATTTATATAGTACAAAATTACATATTGACTACAATTTTATAGAATACATCACATTTTTGCTTCACATGCAATACCTGCAATCGTGATTGATAGCTCCTCCCCTCCCTCCCCTCTTCAAAATATTGAAATATAAAACAAAAAGAATATTGATTTAATTGGTAACTTGATAATCATCAATCTGAGACTTTGGGAAGTAATGTTAAAGACTTAATATTGGAATTTAAGGTGAAATCCTTGAGAGTGCGTTTTATATGCCCTGTCAATTTTTTATGAAATTTATACAGAGTAGATTAATTTCTTTGCATCTTCTTATTTCAGTCAAAGAGACAATGCCATAAGAAAGACTAAAGGGCTCCACCATGCATCAGTAGTCTTCTGCCAGTACTCTCCTGAGATGAATGCTGTAGAATACCAGAGCTACCTGCTACCACCGGACTTCGCAGATAGGCAAAACGGAGGAACTCCTGGAAACAAGTCTACGGATATTTGTGAAATTTATGCGGTATGTGGTCGATTGTCAGTATAAGTATCTGTTGTATCAATGTTAAGTACAAGGCATATTTTAAGCACTGTTTTTTAGGTGGTTCCCTTTTGTCAGGGAGTAGGGCAGAAAAGCCAGACTAAAGTGGCCTAAGTTTTTGTCCTTTGATTAGGATATTATGGGCATTGGATAGAGGTTCACTGTAGTATTATATGTGGCTTCAGAGTCGTTCAAACCTTTTCTGTTTCCTTCTTTTCATGAAAGTAATAAGTTTAACAAAATTATGATCATTATGAAAATCTTGGCAAAGTTGCCAAAGGCCTCCCATTAAATGCTGTATTACTTGAAAAGTGTTATCACTGTTATATTTTATTCTTTATTTTTCTCTCATGTTTCAAGATCAGATCTGAGTAATTTGTAATAATGTTGAATTATATCTTTAAAATATCATCATATGGGAAAATGTTCTCATTATTTAAGCCTGTACACTGTTCTATTAACAGTTCAGATTATACTTTCTTGTTTTCATTTTCATATGATCCATCAGGCCCATGGATGTTGTGGCAAAGGGATCCACTGTCCAAAGTCACATGACCCTAACGCAATCTTAGACGCTGAGGAGATCATCGTTGAGGACAAGCGTAAGCGTAAGAGGAGAAGGAGAAATCGCAAGAACAGAAACCAAGAAGTGGATGCCGTGGAGGGAGAGACTGATGAGAAAAAGATGAAAGATGGAGAGGGTGAGGGAGAAGAGAAGCAAAAAGAGGAAAACATGAACGGAGCCGGCGCTGCACCTGAAGGAAACGAAGCAGTAGGAGAAGAAAGTGTTCCAGTGGCGGATGGTGATAAACCTGATGATCTTAACAAGGCAAATGATACTGAAGGCGCAACTGAGTCGGGTCCTCTACCAAACGGTGCCGATGGGCCTAAGAGGACAGAGCCAAAGGGTATTGTACCAAAGAAAAGCGGGAGTCATCGGGCCGGGTTTGATGCCTTCATGACTGGTTTTGCTACGGCAGCCTTCATTGCAAGATTCGGGTCAACAGAGACACCAGAGGGCGCTACTAAACTGCAGAGTACAGCAGCCAGACAGAAGCAAGGTGGACAGCTCACCAGTAGGGTAGGACAGCTGGACCAGGAAGAGTCTTGTATGGAGCGATGCGGCATCGGTCATTTGACCAATAAGCTGTACCTGAGCGGTAAGGACTATCCTTTAGCTGTGGCCAAGAGTTCCTTCACCAAGACGTCCACACTGCATAAGGACAAGATGGATATGATTATAAAGTTGATGGCAAGATGAGGATATAGATGGGTGACAAGAACTACCTACAAAGTAGAAGTGTTGGGGTCTAGTGGATATATCACCAGACTGTGGATCATATAGTTAGCCGTTCGAGAGGCCGTCGCGTCAACAATGCCCCATGGCAAGACATTTATCTACATTTGCCACTCTCCACCCAGGTGAAGTAAAAGGGTACCCAATAGGAAAGAATTCCTTGAATGCTTTAGCACCTTATCATGGCGGCTCAGCTACAACCGGGGTAATGATATATGTATGAAGCACAGTGGAGTATATTCATATACAATGTATTAGCTGCACTATATAAATGGACCCATTTTTACTATTACTACCTCTGGCCTAATTTTTTTTTTTATCCAAGCTGTCAAAGATATAAAATGAATTCTCACAGAATCAAACAGAACTTAATTTGTTCAAGATTGCAAATAAATGTCATTTGCCAAACAATTTTGGTAGAATATGTATACTGGCTGAGAAATGAGCATAGAAAGATTAGGAAATCAAGGTTAGTAGCTCCGACACTATTTGTGTAGTCCCATATACATCTTTCTGTGTACAGTGCTTGTTACTTTACCAAGACTGGGCAAAATTTATTATGGTTTTCATGACTGCAGAACTTTGCAGTACACACCAATAATTACATGCTACTTGATCAACTTTTTCTGATCCATTCCACACCTTTTCTTTCACAAAGCAATCAGATGACCCGAACTCACCTTTATCTTTAAAATATACTGTTGTGCCTAACCTGAAGGAGCTGGACCATGTAGTTATACCCACTGAATAATAAGTTCTACAGTATTCCATGTGTTTTAACATCTTTTTGGTGAAATGACAACCAGTTTGTTTGAGGTATTTTGGCTAGAGTCTATGAAAGATGTGTTCACCAAAATCATATTTAACATCTTCACAATTTAACAGTTTAATTTCTATTGATTAAACCATTGGATATGATTTTATTTCAGTGTAACATGATTTTCTGTAGACTCTAGCCCGAGTTTCCTAGGGTGTTCCGTAATATTGAGGAGTTGAGCCTGGAAGAAAATACTGTTGTGACGTCAGTTTGGGATAGCAAATAATAGTAATTGTCTATTGTCTTCAAACATATTGTAACATATCTTGTGAGATCCTTCCAATTCACTCTGTATTTAAAAAAAGTTTAGAAAAATATTTTTTTCCTTAAGTTCCAGTCATACACACCCCCTAAATATAATTATTGCAAATATGTCAACCCCTGTATTAAACAAATCTATTCCATTATCAATAACTAAGAAAATCAAATTTTCTATACAGAGCATATTCGAGAGGGCCTCACGAGGTATGATACATTGTTGCTAATTTGTGTTTGATAGAATACAATTACAGGAATTCATAACTCTTGTGTTCTTTATCGGATTTCGCTCAAACTTTTACTGATCTGTTTCTCTCATTTGTCTGCTTTTATTTAAAACAAATTTAATATCAGGCTGGACTTCCCCTTAAACCATTTGGAGGTACTGTAATATACTCCTTTTTGAGGAAGGGGGGGGGGGTCTGGGGGGGGTCTCCACTGGCGTACCTATGGGGGGGGCAGGGGGGGCAGAGTGCCCCCCCCCCCCCTGACGGGCTCCAGGGGAAAAAAAGAAAAAGGGGAAAGAAAGGAAAGGAAAGAAAAGGAAAAAAAGAAAAGGGAAGAAAAAAGGAAAGAAAGAGAAAAAAGGAAAAAAAGGAAAAGGAAAGAAAAAAGGAAGAAGAAGAGAAAAGGAAGAAAAAGGGAAAAGAAAAGGAAAGGAAAAAAATGGGGAAATTTAAAAAAAAAAGACCATGGCCGTACGCATCAGGGGGGGGGGGCAGTTGACCCCAGATATTTTGAAAACGTACAGTTTTTTTCCTGAAAATGTAGTGTTGGCCTATACCAAATCCTTCAATTCTACTTTTGAAAATGCAAAAGTACCCTCATGACCAGTTCGGTCGCTCGAACTCCCTTCACTCCTTTTGCTTTTGAGATTCTTCGAAAACTTTAACGCATCTTTCCCCCTCCCCCACCAGAAAAATATTCCGCATACGGCCCTGAAAAATTAAGACAAATGAAAATAGGAAAATATAAGTGATATAACCAATTCCAAAAATCTTCGCTGGCGCGAACTGCTTGCTAGCCTATTTTGTATTAAATGTTTTCACTTGCTCGTCCCCCTGAAAAAAGAAAAGGATTAGCATTGCCTAGAATACAATTGTGCCTGCCCCGACGGGCCCCGACCTGCAACCTGGCAACAATAACACACAGTGTACGTACCAAATGTTACTAAAAGAGAGTAATTCATTTTTCTCGCTCGCTACACTTGCTCGCGAATAAAATGAATAGATATTGCTTTGGAAACAATTGTGCCCACCCTTGACCTGCAACAATATCATTAAAAATGGAAGAGTTTTTTTCGCCCTCTCGCCAAAAAGGAATTGAATCGCGTTAAACGCGATTGCGTCCATCCTGACCTGCACCAATAAAAACTAGTTTATTTATTAATTTCTATTAAAGAGAATTTTTGTTTTGCTTGCTCGCTATGCTCGCTCGCCAAAATGGAATTGACACCGCTAACGTGCCCGCCCCAACCTGCAACAACCAGTTAATAATTATGTACCAAACGTTATTCAAAAAAGTTCTGGTGTGCTCGTGCTCGCCAAAACGGAATTAACATCACCTTAGACATGATTGTGTAAGCCCTGCCCTGCAACAAAAAAATCTGAAATTTATGAACCAATTATCATTACAAAAATTTTGCTAGCTCGCTACGCTCGCTCGCCAAAATAGAAATAACACCGCTTTTAATAATCACGTCCCTGACATGGAACGATGAACCCAAGTTTATATACCATATTTTCCCTATAAAAGAGAAGTGATTTTTTTTGCTCGCTCGCTACGCTCGCTCGCCAAAATAGAAATAACACCGCTTTTAATAATCACGTCCCTGACATGGAACAATGAACCCAAGTTTTATGTACCATATTTTCCCTATAAAAGAGAAGTGATTTTTTTCGCTCGCTCGCTAGCTCGTGGAATTATGTGCCCACCACTAACCTGCTACAATATCATTAAAAAGAGAAATGTAGGGGGTTGCCTGCCCGCCAAAATGGGATTGACATTGCCTTAAACACGATTGTGCCCGCCCCCTACCTGCAACAATGAAACAAATTTTATATAGCAATTCATTGAGAGAAAGATGTATTTTGGCTCGCTAGCTAAAATGGGTATGAAATCACCCTAAACACAATATTGTTCCCGCGCCCTGCATGGGACAATTGAACCAAGTTTAAGTGGCAATTATTAAAAAAGAAGTGATATTTTTCTTGCTCGCTACGCTCGTTTGCAAAAAAATGAAATTAACGTCGCTAACAAGTGAATGTTCCCACTCCCAACTTGCAACAATACCAGTTTATATACCAAACGTTACTTAAAGATTTTTTTTTGCTCGCTCGCTCGCCAGAACTGAAAATTAGCATCGCCTTTTTTGTTTGTTTCGGTCGCTTGCCCCCCCTGACGGAGTACCCCAGGTACGCCACTGTTGGTCTCCTTGGAAATATTTACATTGATGAACAATGATGATATACAACAAAGTGTAATACATTCCACTTCTGAATGGTTAATTTGAATGCACAGCTACAAACTTACTTTGATTTATTTTCAAAGTTTCATGTTGAAGATAAGAACTTCCTATTTTATTTGAAGCAAAATATAGGAATAAAATAAAGTTTTTATTTTATTTTGTGCTAGTTCCATTTCCGTTGTACCTAACACTACAAAAAATAAATACGTCTCCTGATATTTTCCATACTGATGGTAAATATGAACTTGATTCAACTATATTTGAAGAGCAGCATTTGTATTTAATTTGTTACTAAACTTATTCATTATATAAAGCTGTCCATGTCCTCATTTTTGTATTCACTAGATGAAATTAGTTCTTTCTGAACATAGTCAAAGTATGAATTGTACAAGTTGGGCGTAATTTGTTAGGAGTGGAAGAGAAATAAAGAGACAGAAGGGGAGGGACCTAGAGGTAGGTAGGTAGGTAGGTAGAGAGAGAAAGAAAAAGAGAAAGATAGGGTTGGAAGGATGAAAGACGAGTTATGAATATGGAGGAGAATTGTAACGGTATATTCAAAGTTGAGATGATACAGATGAATCATATTTCATTAGAGGGAGAGGAAGAGAGAATGAAATAAAAGGAGTGAGATCGAGACAAGGGTAAGAAATGGAGAAAGGGTAAGAAAACGAGGGTATACAAGAAAGGTTTATAATAAAAATCTTTTAACTAGCCATCATTAATTTTTCTCATTCTTCACTCATTCAACATCAAACAGCATCTGTCCTCTTTACCTTTTCAATCTTTACTTGTTCCCATTTATTTATTGAATTTACCAACTTTTGCCAACCTTGAGCAGCTTTTAAATCAACGCTCATAATACCACTCGACTTTTAAAGGTAGCTGATTGAAATGTTGTGGCATGCAAAATGTTTACCATAATTTTTGAAAATTATTGTTTGATGGCATAGAAATATAACCAAATCTTTATAGAACAGTGCTGGTAAAATACCTCTATAACACTGATCAGACTAAATTACAAAAACTGTCATTTAGATATGCCAACTTCAAACATAAGATCCGAGTCACCATTGCTCACCAATACCACAATTTTTACATTCAAGATGTGCCTTTCCACGCCACTACATTTCGCTACCTTTCCTACAGTAACTTCCCATCACCACCTAGAATAAAAACTATTACCGGTAAACAAGTTCTCACCCACAATGCACTTCTCTCAAGAATTGATCGCAGCCAGCACCACATCCATAAATTAAACTACGCTGCAAAATTTTCAGATCACAGACAGTATGAAAACTTACACACAAAGGAGGAATTTAACAAACAAAAAGAATGGCAAAAATTTGCTGTACATTATCATTTTATTTCCAACATAGAAAATGACATTCACAAAGACCGCATCAAGACATATCTTCTAGCCTCCTTGGCTTGCGCAACAAAAATCACATGTCACTGCGACAAAATCATCATGAAACATTTCTCCTGAATACATAATTTTTCCACTTGAAAAATGAATAGATGCCACAAACATCATTTAGGAAAATATTATTGATAATTTTTTTCATTCTTTGTTTTTGTAAAGCATTTTATGGCATTAATCTTCAAATGCCTAAAATCTGTCAACCAATCAGACTAAATTAGTTCAAAATTTTCTTTTGTATACAAGATCTAGTGTACCTATTTCAAAACATTTAAACTTGACATTTGAAATGTGCCTCAATTTTATGCATTATCATTTTTTTTTAATGTAAAGGTGAAAATGCTGCTTTCAGTGACTTGGCATATTTATAGATATGGAAACGCAATGAACAAAGACGTATACAAGAACATAAAACTATACAAAATGTACAAAATAATTTACAGGATTTTTTTTCTTCTTCTCTTAACCTACTATCTGCAACTACAAAATGTGGCTTTGCAAATTGAAGATATGTCAAGAAAAGAGAAGTATGTATGTTCTAAAAGCAAAAAATAAATGGTTTCTCCACTCAGCTAATTTAGTTCTTTGCCACTTCCAGCATTAGAACTGTGCAACAGAAACAATTTCATTGTAAACACTCTTTTGTGTGTGTGGAAACTACTACCGCTCTTCAATGCATTTTACTTCTTTCAAAATATTAAAGGATTCTCCTTCCTATCCTTACAAAATTCAAGATTTATCAGAGAACTGATAACCTGCACATTTTTTTCTGTAACTGATATCAAACCAATAATCACATTGATTCTGTATTTGAAACATTAAACTTAGCATCAAATATTGAAGATTTTACACTACATAAAAACAAAATCCACTGCCCATGCAGTAAGAAATTAAGTCATATATTCATGATCGTTGTTCAAGTTTTTCTCTGAAACAAAAAAAAATTGAGGAATGTTTGATGTTCAACTCATGACAGGGAATCTCTTGGTCTTCCCGCATCCTCAAGCTGTTTCCATAGCAGCAGGGGCCGCTCCATCTGATACTAACTTCTTGGTTTTGATTTCCTGGAGAAATTAATAAAATATAGAAGATTGGGAGATTTATCAAAAAATTTAAGCAAAGTTTAAAGAAATTTACAATCTGTAATGACTGTAAATTTCTTCCAATTAATAATGGAAATAACAACTTCATGTTTATTTTGTTTTTTCAATTCTCGAGTTGGAGGAATAAACAATGATGTACATTATGTATGCTATATAGTGGGGGAGGGAGGGGGAAGGGAAATAAGAACTTCATATTTATTTTTTCAATTCTCGAGGGAGGAGGGGTAGATAGATTTGACATGGCCAACTCCATCAAGGCAACAAGTGTCTAAAGGTTGAACTTTCTTACCCACTGACCCAACAGCCTAATCAAAATGATAAGAAAAAAAAACCTGGGTCACTTAGGGATTCTAATGAAACATATATAGATTTGAGTTATTTTCATAACGGGAAACAATTGTATAACAATACTGGTAGTTAAACGAACTGCATCACATGAAAACTTACAGAGCTGCTTATTATCCAGTATTCAATATCTTTCAATAGTGTAGTCCCACCCATTGCAAGCCATGTTAGTTAGCCAGTCATCCCTTATTTTCAATTGCTAATTAACACTCACTGATGGTTTCTCTGGCGAGTGCTTGCTGTCTCCGTTCGTATCCCCATTCATCACGCCATTGGCCATGTGACCATTGCCATTGACAACCTTGGAGTCTCCAGAGCCATTGACGGCAGGCTTCTCACCATTTTCCTCCTGGCGACTTCTCTTGGAATCGGCTGCGGCGGCATCGGACTCTTCTGGTTTTCTCTGTGATGGTGGTGGTTTGGGACAATTCTGTCAGGTTTATCGTGGATTAACATAACAAAGAACGAGACAAGATGGCAGAACAAACATATAACATACCATGCATTAGTAAGAAGAGTAAGGATGGATTAAATACATGAATAGCAAAATGATTAGCATAAATCATATAAGTGGCAGTTTAAAAAAAAAAAAATCACAAAAATTTTATTACCAGAAGTTTTTCAGATGGTATGGATAGACTAACTAGATTAATGATATACAGTAGGCTTGTGGGTGCACCATGTGAGAGAGGGGGAGGATTGGGAGTCCTGACTCTGTAATCTTTCTTTCTTGAGTGTGTTATCTATATTAGCTTATAGTTCTAAGGAGTACTATAGCGCCGGTTGGAGAGGATGGGTGGTAGGACAGGTTGACTATCCGTCGTCAGAATTAATGATGCAAATGATAGATGAACCAATTAGTTGTAAATAAATAACATAAATGATATGATAGATTAACTAAATGGAAAGAATGAAGGATTTAGAATATTGATATCATGAATGAACTGAACTGAATAATATAATGATTATATAGATGGGATAACAAAATGAATTATGGATAGAAGGAACAGGCCATTTCTTGCACTCAAGCTCAAAACATACAGAAACATACTCTAGCTCAACCAAACTCATTTCAAACAAAGCAATGCCAAAAATATGCAAACAACATGCCAAAAGCAATTAACACATCATAATATGAATATATGACACAAATCTTTAGAGCATGCATAGACAAATACAGTCAAACCTGTCTATAGCGACCACCCAAGGGAAACACAAAAAAGGTCTTTGTAGACAGGTTCCTTTAGTACATGTTTCAATGAGAAACAATTTTCAAGGGAAACAAAAAATGTGGTCCCGGTAGACAGATGGTCTTTGTGGACAGGTGGTCACTAACGCAGGTTTGACTGTAGTTAAAAAGATTATATAGAAGTATATGGTGAGGTACACTCTACAACAACTTCTAGCCTTGACTGCTTTGTTCAGATCTATGCCCAACACCTGTGCCCTTTGAACACTCTCTTGACTAAAACATAGGTAAATTGCTCCCTGAACAAATTCCTTGAACAATCTGTGTGTAGGTATTGGCTGCCCAGCTCAGTTTTTCCATTTTGCACCTTGATATGTAATGCCCATATTCAGGCTAGCTATATTAAACTATTTCCCCACTCTTCCTAAGCATTTGACCCGTATGTCTGGTATCCAATGTTTAATGGTTCAACGATTTATCCATACCTGCCAACCTTTCAGCAAAAATTCGCAATATATCAAATTTTGTATTTTGTATACTTTTCACACAGAATAATTTTTTTTAAAAGAGGAATCTAGGGTTCAAAACAATCGCTTGAGGGCCAAAAAATTAGGAATCATTTCTCCAAAATAGGAATGCTTGGCAGCTATGTTTATGACTATGATTATCCCTTCTAAGGATCACAAATTTCTGTCCAGTTATTAGGGTTGTCCATCTACATGTATACTAACCTTTTTCCTGACCAGATGTGAGATGTCCAAGACTTGTGCACCGTCGGCTTTCTTGACTGCGATCTGAAAGGATAGAAATTACGTAGCTTTAAAATTTATCATAATACATGCATTACTAGTAAAACTACTCTCCAAATTTAAACTACTGCACTTAATACAAAGTACCATATTTTATAATTACCTCCAACACTAATGCATAACAAAAATTCAATAACGGGTGCACATTCACCTCATGCATGAAAAATAAAAATTGATGTCTTGCCAAAGGACACAAGACTGCCATGGCAGGAATTCAAACTCCTTCATGACCCATCCAGCAGAGCACAACACGTTTAAATATCCAGGGGGTGTTTCACAAAGACTAAGATTGAATTTAGGTTGGGACTAATATATGGCAGGCTGTTAATGCCACTAGTTTATCTAATCATTCCTGGCATTGGTTTCTCAAGGGACGTACAGATCATGGCCCAAAATCTACAGAATTTTTCATTTTTTGATAGTTCATTATTGAAGGAAAAAATATTTTCTAAAGATCATAATTGAGAGACCAATAGTGAGAGCAACCAGTAGCATGAATGGCCTGTCATAGTTAAGTCCAACTTAAAGTCAATCTTCACCCCCCCAGGACATATTAATCCAAGGGGACTTTTTACAAAAGTACCGTGCTTCAATCACCCTGGCTTCAGCCCAGTTGCCCTAAGAAGCTTGGAAACAGGACTTGCATATGAATTTTTGTTTAGGTTGCATCAAAATTAATTCTACAAGCTTTCCAATGGGAAATCAAAATATCAGAACTTGAAATTGGAGGTCTGTTTAATCTGAAATAATATTTTCATCACTATGGGATGACAATCTTTAAAAAATTTAAGAATTGTAATAGCCTACGCAAAAGGAACAAATCTTTGTTCAGTGACATGGCATTTGTTCCTGCGACATTTGCTATAGGTTTATTACATGAGAGATAAACTAGAATCCGAGTTTTTTTTTTACTATTGGGTTTTAGCTTAGGGTTAGATATAGTGTTTGAAGTATCGAAGTTCAGAATTTGCTTAGGGTGTCCTAAAACCCTTCCAACGCACTCCACTACCCATAGAAAATGGTCTTCATCATGTAACCTACAGAGGTAGGTGTTTTTTCCCCTTAAAATGTGGAAACATTTTGTGGAATATAAGGGGAAAATCTGAAAAATCAGGAAAATGGTGGTAAAATCAGGAAGAAAAAAAAATTGGTAAAAGAAAAACGTTTTTAAAAAAAAAGGGGAAAAAAATAATTAGGAAACCGATTGAAATCGGGTAATTATCAGGCCTGAACCTACCTGCTGGATTGGTTCTGTTGATGATGATGGGGCAAAGGCAGAAGACGGTGAATCAAAACCAGACGATGATGATGGGGCGAAGGCAGAGGATGACAATGATGAGCTAGGTCCTGCTCCGTCTGATGGTACGGCCTGAAGCTTCATCTCCTTGGCATCCTCCAGCTATTAAACAAAAATTAAATTGAATAATAATAATAATAATAATACATCTGACTTTATATAGCGCTAAATATGGAATACTGTCTCCAAAGACTTTACAGATATCATTATTACCCTGGTCATCGGATTCATTCACACACAGTGTGCACCAGCTTCACTCCCTGGGGAGTATCCCTACCATGTGGTAACCATAAGGGCATATGTCGATTTTTATCCAAAAGGCCTTCGTCATCCTACCCATTTCTCTTCTGGGTATGGAGTGGCAAATGTAGATTGGTGTCTTGCCAAAAGCCATGTCGAGGATTGAACCCAAGACCTTTGCATTTCCTGTCAAGTGCTTTAACCACTAGACTACGACATCTCTATTTGATTTTAAAAGAATAAGGAATGGTAACAAACATGAAGAGCAGTGGTGTAAAGCATTAGGCACTTGAGTATCATATCTTTTATAATTACAGAATTTCTTGTATGAACTACGGTCAAACCTGCTTTAGTTACCACCTGTACAGAAAGACCACCTGTCTACAAAGACCACATTTTTGTTTCCCTTGAAAACAGTTTCTCATTGAAACATGTACTAAATGGAACCTGTAAATAAAGACCACCTACCCAAAAGACCACTTTTTTTGTCTCCCTTGGATGGTCTTTATAGACAAGTCTTACTGTACTCACTTTGCTAACAATGTCTGGAAGTAGATCTGTGAGGTCATCAATCTCCTTCTGGGCACAGACTATGGGGTCTTTCTCATCGGCTTTTTCTGTGGAAATAAAACAAATGAATTAAATTTTTGCTCCTTTATTATTAACTAATCAAATACAAAATGTCTTTCCAAATAAATTGTAGGATTTCACAATGATACAAATCAAACTTTCTCCTCTTTTTGTAATGCTGTATATAATTTTTTTTTTTTTTTGGGGGGGGGGGGGAGGGTTGCTTTGATCCTGCCAAAGTAGATTTTATTATTTGTTGTTTTAACATAATCACATCTTTCCATACAAAAACATATTCAAACAAAGTAAACAACAACATTCTGAATTTCACTTGTTTATAAGAAAGTTAAAAGGAAAACATCTAAAATGATACTTCTATCTTTCTTTTGCTCACTCTGAATCCAAACATTAGTATAGTAAGCATGCTCGACTCTAAAGGAAATTTACATTTATGACCTTTACCCTCACCACCACTGCTGTTTCCTCCTTTTTTTCCTCCTTGCTTCAAGTAAATAAAATAAGATATTCATACCTTTTCCTTTTCCTTCTGTTTCTGAAACTTTCTTTTCCAGGCTAGCTAGTCTCTTTTCAATGAGCTGTTTGGATTCTCTGTAATGCTGTATGAAGAAGAAGAAAAAAGAAGTGAGGAGTGACTAATTTTCCCCAAATCTAATAATAATGATAACAGTCACATTTGTATTATAGCACTAATAATAATGGATATTTTTATACCAAACATATCCATCATGCAAGGTGCTCAAGGTGCTCCAACGTTAGCAGCTGCTAGATTTTATATACAGTATACCTGTATAATGCAAAATCTACAATATGTAAATATCTAGCCACTTACCTTATAACATTTACAATATTGGTTTCATAGATGTACAGGGAAAAACTAAAAATTATATTTATTTTCACTGGTAGTTTTTTTTAAAGGTTAAATTTCATTGAGTATGTGCATTTAAAACTTTTATTGGAATAATAAAAAAGAAATTAACTCACCTCAATAGATTCATCAAACTTCTGGTCAAAGGTGCAAGCAAGGCCCAGGTTGTAATGTCTGTCACGCTTGGTCAAGGATTATTGGTTTGTTAAATTTTAAATAGACAAGTTTATGATTACAATTCAAGCGTAATTCTTCCAAAAGCCCTTAGTAACAACTTTTTTATTTCATTTTTTTTTGTAAGAGGGCATCTCTGCAGATGGAAGCCATTCAAAATTTGTTGCTTTTTACTACCTCGGATAAGCATTAGTTGAATATTATTACATGCTCTGAAGTTTGATAAAACAAAATAAAAAACTGTTACACTCAGATTTGTCCTGATTGCTATTATACTCCAGCCAAGCCACAGGCCGAGAATAAATTGGAAGCGAGTACATGCTAAATACATGCTCAGTGGAACATCTCGCTTTTTTCCACATTACCCCAGTTCTGAAAAGTCTTCAATGGCTGCCATTATCCAAAAGAACAGAGCTCAAAATCTTACTCCATACATGGAAGTAATGTATGGTCAGGCTCCACAATACTTGCGAAATCTCATCACGGAATATGTCCCATGCAGACATCTCCGCTCTTCTGGTACTAAACAGTTAACAGTCCAAAGAACCATGTCTACTCTTGGAGAAAAGGTTTATTTCTGCAGCGCCATCTCTTTGGGATGATCTTCCACTGAGGATCCGATAACTAGAATCCTCAGTAACATTAAAAAGAATCTGAAGTCATATATGTTTCAAAAGATACGTTCCTGCGATGAGTCTGCTCTCTGGGTCCAGGTACTTCTTCTGGATCTCAAGGCAGGCCTTGAAGTCTACAATGCTCTGTGTGTACTGTTCTGTTTCTAGTCCTAGCTCTCCTAGCTTGAGATGGATCTGAGATACTTTCATCTGACTCTCCTCATCCTCTTTCCTGGAGAAAATCAAACAAAAACTACAATTTAATTTCTCCTTAATGTATCATGTCTAGGTGCACTGGGTAATAGTATACCATGTTTAAAATAAAATATGGATAAAGACACTTCTACACTGCAAATGTCCGTTTGCTCAAAAATGTTTCAAAAGACATGAATTCTCTACCAATTGAATTGAATTGAATTGAATTGAATTTATTGACCATATATGCATATAAAAGCAAAACATACCATAGAAAATAAAATACATAAAACATACAAAATACAAAACAAATATACGATCAGGACCACAAAGAAGCAAATTGCTTATAAATAGGGCCCCTACAAAAAAAAAAAATTAAGTTCAATATAATTCAGTCACCAATGGCGACAAGGGGCTTGATCTGGATTGCTTTTGTAAAACACCTAGGTATATTCATATTTTGCACAGATTTTACTTAAAGATGGATACAGTTCAGTTTTTTAATTTTTTTTAGAAAATTCACATTCCCTGTATTAGACTCAAATTTCACACAAAAATATGCTCTACTTGGAATGTAATACAAAAGAGGTAATGAATAGAAAGATCCAGTGGTTTAATTTCTAAAGATAGAAAGAACCTACTTGCTGATGATTACTCTGGAAAGCTCCAACATCTCCCAGGCCAGCTGGAAATTTGAGATGTCATCCCCATCTTCTTTCTAGAAAACAAACGAACAAAGAATAATATTCAAAAATGAAAACATAATTTCTGACTGTTGGGAAAAACTTTCATTTATAAAATACCTTTGCTCTACGAGAAGCAGTAATAAATAGATGTGTTTCGCAAGGTGATAACGCAGACCTTGCATATAAGTGTAACTGTGACAAACTTCACTATTGCAATTATCTTCATAATAGCAGGGAGATTAAACTCTCATTTCCCTGATAATAGGCTGCATAGCCCTTTGAAGATTACTAGATGAAGAAGCATATTGTCACATTGATATTATTTATGTTAGACATGAAAGAGTGTAGTAGTTTCAAATTTTGTTTAGTCTCTATCTCAGTTCGGTCTTTATTTTCACTCTCAATAAAAGAAAACATACATACAATATTTACACAACAGAGTATCATCAATAGAAAACAATACAATGTAATTAGACAAAAACACATTATGAGAACTAGGGGTCCACCAGAAGTAGCAAATGGCCTTATAGTACTGTACATGTACATTGAGGTAACCTGCATTGAGTTTCTATACGATTCCACAGATTTACTGGAAGGATAAAAATACAGAAAGCAGAAAATACTCACCTGGTCACCTTCTGCAGACGGCCCAGCTTCATCATCATCATCATCATCATCGTCTGTACAACGAGTAATAAAAATAGTCAATTCCATTAGAAAATACTTATATGTATGTAGTTAAAATCTGTCCTAACAGGCAATGCATGAAATACATGAAATGTTAAGCACATAAGCAGTGGAAAGCTCCGATAAGCTCTTAAAACTTATAAATTCAACCATTACCCCAAGTGAAGAAGTAGCTTTAAGAGCATGGCTTGCTACAATCTTTGAAATGCCATTTTGTAGTTATCGATGTATAATGAAAAATAACACAATGTCTGTTCTATTAAACAATATTCTTTAAAAAATCCAGCTATTTAAATTCAAACACTTAAAGGTAGCACATTTTTAACCACCTAAATTCTACAAAAATAAAAGTATGGATGTCAAACAGATCAAGGAAAAAGAGCTACCAAGGTAGTCAAATATTAAAGAGGAAATTAAACATCAACATGGCACAGACTCAACAAAAAACAACTGGTTCATAAATTGCAATATTTGAAAACAAAGCAGCAATTAAAAAAAAAATACATTTCATTTGGTTTGAGACCATATTATCACTGATTACTAATATCTATATTTTGGGGGTAAAAATACTAACATACAAATTCATGGATGACTTTGAACACAGGAGGGGGTGTGAAAAACTCACACCATCTTCAGTGTCATACTGAAAAAACCTAATGTGACTTCATGCTGCTCAATCAATATGATTTTGGTTATTCCCTCATTTTTCAGGGGGGTGGGGTAGTGCATAGAGCAAAGAGGATAGTACATGCAGATGCATGGCATGATTGGCATCAATCCTATATAAATTAATCTTCACAACACCCATGTAAATTTGAATTCAATGTCATATTTCAAATGAAAGTGTGTTAGTTTGTAGTACATACACTATTGTAGTTAGTAATGAGTAATTTTTGTTCTTTAAGAATTAGAAACAACATATGAAACACTGGTAACTAAATGAGAACAGTTGAAACTTGAAACAAAATTAACAAATAAAATTCTATTAATATTGATCATGTCAACAACAACACAAAGCGGGACTATTTCACGCAGGTGGTGGGGGGATGTCAGGATAACAAAAATACGACCAGAAAAATATATGTATAAACATGCACATTTGAGAAATTGAACAAAATATTAAATAAAATCATAAGATGTAACTTCTTAACTGTACTGTGACACATCACTGTTTGGAAGTGTAGAACAACAAAAATTACAAACGCCCAAATAATAACAGAAAATCACCAGATAAGATAAGTATGTGAATTAGAAGTTAGAAGGATATCTCAATGTCCACAAGCAATTCACAGATTCACACATATAACCTTTGAAGTTTTTCCATTGTCACATAGTTTGCTTGACATAGCAACAATAGTGTGGAATCTGCATTCTTTTGAATCACTATTGTATTGCTAATTAATTAATTCCCTAACCTAATTCATTTAATTTATTTTTCACAAGCATTCTCGACAGAAAATTCAAAGAATTCTTTTTTAAACTTGATTAAATTCATTTTGTTAACTTGTTTATCATGGTGAAATATTACATAACTCATTCTTTGGGGTCTAAATTATGCAAAGTAGCAACAAATTTGGAAACTGTATCGTAGCAAGGGGTCGATGAGTCAAGGTCAAGCTATGATTTTCGAGTGTGACCCTACACTATACTTCACAGGCAGACAATTTCATGCAAATGAAGTCAATTCACAAGTTCACAGCTTACACAATTAAAAACAGACATCAAACATATAAAATACAATTGTGACAAGGATCAATAGCTTTCATGAATTAATTGCATTGCTCTTGAGGTTAAAAATATAGGTGCATTACAGAAATTTGGCACATCGATATTTCATTATCTAATAAAAGTGCATTGATACCTTTCTTTTCAGTTTTGCCTTCCTCTTCTTTCTTATCAGTCTTCACAGTATCATCTTTATCTACTTTCTCAGTGTCTTTCTTGTCGGCCTCCTTTTCATTAGATTTTTCTTTTTCCTTCTTTGCATCCTTTTCTTCAACCACCTTCTCTTCATCTTTCTTCTCCTCTTCCTTTATCTCTTCTTTCTTCACATCCTTCTTTTCATCTTCTCCCTTCTTTGCAGCTTCTGCATCTTTATTATCCCCACCCTCCTCCATCTTCTCATCTTCTTTCTCATCTTCTTCCTCATCTTCTCCCCCTTCCCCATCTTTTCCCTTATCTTCCTTTTCGGATTCTTCACTTTCACAGTTAGCCTCAAGGGCATCCTTAACTTGCTGGGCCACCTCTTCTCTCTCTTTGGCTGAAAGAGAGAGAGAATAGTAAATTTGGAAGGACAAAATAGAGAGGTTGTTATAGTGAAAAGAGCCTCTACAATCTTGTGCTCAAGGCAGTTCTCATAATATTTTAGTTGATATTAAATCAAACCTTCTCATATAAAAGCAGATTAAATAATAACATGTGGCTATATGCAGAAATCTGAGTTTGATGGTATTGCAAAATCCAGTGTCAAAATCAAGGATAACTGACAATTGAGCAATTGTGTCTTACTCTTTGCTCAATGCAATCACTTATGCTGCCTGTAGGTATATATGCAAGTATGGTAGTCTATGATCAACATTGAGCTATGGTAATGATCAATGAATTCAGTACATGTATACAGAAATAATGTTATCTTGCCAATACAAACTCTCTAGGAGTGGAGAAAAAAACTGAGGAAAGAAGAGATTTGACCCACATGCAAATATATAAAATAAAAAGTAATATCGATTTCTACAAAACAATGAGTACATCAGAAGTATTACTAATGGTATGTTCTACAGGAGCAAACATCAATAAATTACATTCAGAACTTAAGTCTTGGAAAAAGAACAATTCATTCATCATGCTCAGAAAACAATGTGACTAGACCTAGAGATTAGATAAAAGATTGTTGTAATGCATTCCAACAATGAAAAGGAATGTTCCACGGAAGAAAATAACAACAAGAAGCCTATGCACACATTCCCATAGTTAGTTGGCAAGACTCTAGTATCACTTCAAAGAAAGGATAAGGGTCACACAAACTGCAGATCTCATTGTTATTAAAGAACACATGGCTATGTTGTATTCCGGCATTCAATTCATACAAAAGTATGCCAAACATGTGATTACATTCTCAAGCTTATGTTCACTGCAATAGTATTAGTAAGCCTCATACAAAGGATCTTGATTGGTTTAATCTCAATAAGAAAGAGGGAGCAAATGAATGCTTGTCCCAAATGTTCAAAGAAACTACAGGGTTTTCACTGTTAATGTCACATCCAAGTTAATGACACACCCAAAAAGCATTGTAAGCAACTGATAGTTACTGCTTTGCAATCTTTCACAGTAGACAATTTGGTACTGGCAACACAAAGCTATTTTATCTTGACAAAAGAAATTCAATTACCTGATACAGCTAATCATCACAACCATCAATTACCAGGGAATTCTAAAAAACCAACCTCCCATTAATTCTACACATCCTTGACTCAGATAAATGTGTCGACTTTCTTTCTCTCACGTTTTTCTTTATTCTTATCTTTATAGTTTGATGATCATAGCTTTTCCTTTGGGTAAAATGACAAAATCAGTTCCATATTTGTTTAAATGAGCTGTTTGCTACTTCACAAAAAGCTGATGTTGGCACCCACTTTAACTCATCCCCTTAGAAAAATCACATCCATCTTTATAGCCCCGAATTGGGAGTTTCCCTCTCTCGCAGAAGTTCCATGTTGAAGGGTTAACTTTACCTTCTAACTTGTCTGCACTTTCCACATTGCTTCCACTGGGTTTCTGTTCTCCCTCTTCGTCGTCCGAGTCAGCGGAGTCTGCGGATTCGTCCGGGACCCCCTGCAGGGCGTTGCCAAGGACACCATTCTCCATGCTAGCCAGCTCAAGAAGCGAGCATCCGTACTGGTAGTAAGCATCACCACACTCCTCAGCAGTCTCACCATATTTGGAGGCTCTGCAATGTACAAGGTTGTAAGGGTACAATGTTGAATGTACCTGATTAGTGATCTACTGCAATCATCATGGTGCTTATAAAACTGGTGAACTTCACTTTCATAAATTTCTTGATTTTGGGATACTCCAAATAAGTTTTTTTTAAAGACCTGTCATAATAAATGCATGTTTACCTAGGGGATTCAATTACAATTAAATCAATTTACTTCTCCTACATTTCCATATTTGACCAAAATTAATCTGTATTTAGGTCAATCTACTCATTTCTCAATTTTCCTTCTTTTTCCGAAAAGTCTTATTTTACTGACATTAATTTAATATATATGGTCTATGGAAGATTGTTCAACTTTAGACATTATTCAGAATTTGTCAAGGACCTGTCGGTAGTAAAAAAAAAAAAAAAGTCTACTGAAAATGTGATCGTACAGCAATTCACAGGCTTCTTGAAAACACTGGACTGCAGCTGGAGGGTCACCGACCACTAGATTCCTCTTGCCCTGACCCATCAATTCCAAGGCTTCGGCATCAACGTCTTCTTCTGGCCTGTAATAAAAGAGAAAAAGTGTCAAAAAGCAAAAGTCACTGGATTATTAAAAAAAAAATTTGTTGAGAGAAATCTCACTTGAAATATATTTCAAAGTTACCATCAAACTTTCAAAGGCATCCCTTTTTTTTTGGTCCTGGACCTGGAGCATTAGTGTGTGTAGTCTAGACCCTAGTTGTCAAAGTTTAGACTGTATAAATTGTAATCAACAAAAAGAAATGGACATGAGCCGAGACAGCAAGCAATAAGAACTAATTAACAAGCACAGTGCGCACCCGCTCATCCTCCTCACTTGGTTCCTTACGGAACGTTGAGGAGTATCCCCGAAAAAGAAAAAGGAGAAGAAGAAGAAGAAGAAGAAGAAGAAGCAACCAATCAGTTTTTAATTTTATTCTTTTTTTTTAATCAACATCGTTTCCACTTTCCTAATCCTGGGCTGTAAAGTGTAAACCTGCTTATTTTTCACTGCTGGTGTTTAGAAAGTTTAGTGATCCTCATCATTTGACTAGATTATAGAGACTTGGAGCAAGAAATCAAAATTGCTTACCCGCTGTCTTCTTCTAAATCTGCCATGTCGGCGGCTGAACTCGATCCGGGTTTGTCTTCTTCCGTTCCGAACATGTTTTTGTAAAGCTCTGTGCGTGCGTGTGAGTGAAATGAGCAGGATGAACCTGTCTAGACTAAATGAGACTTGGATGTATTTTAAAGCCTAAAATCGTGCGTGTAATGACTCTTGATGCTTTCACTCGCACTTGTGGAAGTCAACGACGATTCTGAGCTGAATCAATGAGGACAGTGAAGTTCAGCTGAAATAAAACTCAATCCGGTTTAGTAATTCATGAATTGAATGAGGGAAGCTGAAGCTGAAGCCGGTCTCTGACCCTGTGTCTAACCTCTAGTGTCTCACTCCGTTTTAATCCTCAATATCGAGTAGAGTGTTCCTTTTCTATTTACTTCTAATCAAAAAATTGTGAAAAGAGATAACATTCCGACCTCAGTATTCAGTACAATGTCAATGGTAACCCCGGCTTAAATGGAGAGGAGAGGTATCAATGCAAGAATAAATTCAATGAAGCCTCACGAGAAAATTTGAATGTTATGCACACTACTTGTACACGTTTGAATCGTCTAGATGTATAACAAAGGATTCGCCCCCAGATAACTCTGCAAAAGATCAAAAACTCGTACCTCAATAGTGAGATTGATTTCTTCAGCTTCTAGTTCCACAGAGCCCACATTGAGTGTGTGTGCGTGGTGGGGGGGGGGGGGGGGGAGCAGACCGGCTTGACCCTCCACTCATAATGGTGTGGTTTTGTTGACTAAATTAACTTATTAATGACATAATGTCTCATATTTGCCAGCGGCTGCAGACCCAACTTTTGAAAAAGGTGGCCCATGAAGATCCTGACCAGAACTTGCAAAATTCCTGGAAAAAATCTGTTAAACAATGATGGGAAAGCTTGCTCTTGCTTCCACCCCCATCGAGGGCTCGGAGAATCAGCCAAATTCCCGCAAGAATATAACATGCATGATGCATTGGGAAAAAATACTTCGCTTGATCCCATCTACTATTTTTATCATTTTGTTTGTTAAAGAGACGGGGCTATTTATGGATACCCCCCGACGCGTACGCAGGATTTTTTTGAGGAGGGGGGGAGGGGTTTTAAAATTTGAAAATCACGCTGAAAATTTCGCAAAGACTCAGCCAGTCACATTTTGTTTTTTGTGTGTCCCAAAATTTGAAAATTTGGCCGATCCATATTTCGTTTCATGGGGGGGGGGGGGGGTAAGGTCTGATTTTTTAGGGCACCAATTTTATTTTTTTTATATAAAAAAAAGGGGGGGTTTTCCCACAAAACACACACATAAAAAAGTCAAAGGGGGGGTTTAACCCCAACCCCTAACCCCTAACCCCCTGCGTACGCGCCTGGATACCCAACTATCTTTTTGTTGGTTTTAAGAAAAACAAAATATCTCATTAATACCAATTGCTAAGGAAGAATGATAAAGTTATTCCGATATAATATCTAAATATAGATGCAGAGAAAAGCGGTAATATTAACTCGATGGAAGGGAACGATTCTGTTTGGATTCTGCTATTCGGGCGAGTCGCGTAGTTGGTGATTTTGACAGACGGGATCTCGGGATCAGCTGCTTATATATTTCGCGCGTTACTTTGTATTTGTGGCGCGCCAGCTCTTCCATTAAGAAAACTTACAGCTTTCAAGTCACCCATGAACACTTATACTCCTACAATGTGACGGAAAACTGTCAGCTATGTTGAAAAAATGATTTTCATTGGGAATTTTCACTGCTCAGTGATATTTTACTGAGCTGTAGAAGTAATCAAATGACTTTCTCTTTACTATATGAATTTCTACTTCCGGGAAGGAATATCACAAAGTCTGAATATTATATGAATATTCATCTGATAAATATTCATAGGACTCTTTCTAGAACCTTAAATTCAAAAGAAGAATTTTATTTCTATTTTAATTCAATAACGCACAAATTTTATTAAATAAATATATTTAATATGTAAAAATATTAATTTACTTCAAATTTTTATTTTTAACTGTAAGTATTTTAGTAAATTATTTGTAAAAATGTAGAATTTAGATTGATAAATAGTTAAAGTCTCGTGACGTCACATTCTACCATTTTGGATTTGCACGAAGCCTCGTGGTCACATACCGGTAAGTGGTATATTTTTGTTAATGTCTAGTTTTCAATCTTTGTTGTTATTTTGCTAACACTAACATTATCATGTTTTAATATTTATCTTGAGTGCAACTTGTACGTTATGTCAAAGTTTTAATTGAGCAATTCTAAAGTACTGAAACTTACTACTTTACCTGGGTGTGTATGTGAATAAGTGTGCATTTGTGTGCACGTGAAGCTACACTCGAGTGGGTTTGTGACCGTGGTGGTCCGCCGTAGCTCCCGGCATGTTCTCAGTGCGTAGATAGCAGGGCCAATATCAGTTATGGTAGTCGTGCCGCGCCATCGCGCCATGCCATATCAGCATGCGCATGATAGCGGATGCCCATGATTCTGGCTAGTGTACTTTCGTATCCATTTTTACCCGTTAACTCCGGCGTGGAGATATATCTAAAAATCAAATTAATCTCCATGATCAATTGAATCGTTCAGATTATGCCTTGGCCATGATTAAAGTTGTTTTTGCTGTATTTTTCCTTGAATAGTCTAGACTAAACGAAGACATTTTAAAATGCACTTTCTCACAGGTCACAGCAACCATAACTTCACGCACACTTGCCATTACTATTAGGGGCGCTGGTCCTCATAAACGTGGACAAAATGCGTCCTCCAATTATTTAAGGATTGTCTGCATTTTTGCAGACGTCTTTTTTTATTGGCGCTCTGCGGGTTTCGGGTTACATAACCCAGAGACGCCAAGTTCAAAGATCGGCAATGCGTGACATTTTCATGATTTGGCGTGGGAGGGTATAACACACGTATAAGGTATAACGTTTTTCAAAATCTAGCATGCGCGTCGTGCATAAGAGCATTTTCAGACCCTCGAAATGCGTGATGTCACGCCTAATGCGTGATACTTGGTAGCTCTGCATAACCGCCCGCTAGCGATGCCAAAAATGGATTCCCCGGGGGAAAATAACCCTATTTCTCCATCTACTTTCATGGGTTGTCAGTCTTCCCAACTCCCAAGGATTTATTGCTCATAATGTGAAGATCTCTGTACAAAAACAATGTAAAATGCGTCAAGAAAATCATTACGAAATCCATTTTTTGCATCGCCAATGTGCCAATCAAAAATGTTTGAAACGTCTGCGAAAATGCAGACTATCATTTTTTTAGAACGCATCAGTCCGCGTTTAAATGAAGACGATCCTTATTCTCGGACCAGCACACCTGGTTACAGTATGCAATTGTATTGTAAATGTGCAGCGGTTTGCAATAATTGTTGTAGCAGAAGGAATATGATGCCCACACAAGTGAGTGACAAGACCGACGACGATAAAACCTGAGTCACTAAAATCCTTCTCATTCGAAAGAGGTAGATCTTAGAAATATGGGATCTAACTACAGTCTAAGAACTTTTTGATAGTGATTAACAAAAAATGCCACTTGAAAATATAAACAAAAAAGATGTCTTTTTAAATACAGATTTTTACGAAATGGACATTAAAATATAGATAAGATAGAAGTAGGGTGTCTGAACGATTTTTCAATTTTCAATTTGGGATCGTTTTTCACCATTTTTGTTTGATATTTGAATTAAAAATGTAATCAGAATAATACATTTCAAATTTCAAGTCTCGCCGATGTTTCTATCAAAAGATACAGCCCCTTCAAAATGCTGAAATATTCATAGCATTTTGCTCAGAATCGACGAAAAAGACGTACACGCAGAGTTATGTTGTTTTGCTAAATTTAGCCAAACAGCTGTATCGCGCGATATGCAAGCGTATGCATATCGTACGCAAGTTGCTCAGCCAATGCGCGACTTGCAAGCTTGAGCCACGCTGTCTCCGCGATATGTGCCATTGACTAGTATGGGTGGCCGTTCCCGCTATAGAACCCGGAAGTGAATACACGTTGTAGTCAATGGCAATATCGCGGAGACAATCTCCGCGATATTGCCATTGACTACAACGTGTATTCACTTCCGGGTTCTATGGCGAGAATCGGCCACCCATACTTTCATTCACTATAAGCGCACATGTTACGATGTAACCATGGTTTGGACTGAGCGGAGCTCACGCCTCCCTAATTAGCTGATTCCAAAAATGTGGGAAGGGTATTTTCAAACTGTTATAACAAATGATCCCTTGGGGCTAGCGAAAAAAAAAGCATCTGGATATTATCCTTACGTCTAGCCCTGCTTAAGCCGCGGGGCGGCAGCTCAGGAAAGTGGCAAATTTTGGAGCTAGGATGCAAACAACATTTCAATCGCTGTTTTGACCAAGATATTTTTAGAATTCTGGGGGTGGCCCCCGATGGGGAATATGGAGAAAAACCTGCTCTTTCATATGACACCTCATTTATTGAGTTTCACCTTCAGGATCATTTGTTATAAAGGTTTGAATTTCAAATTTTTTCATAAAATCATTGACCAATTTTGGATGGTCGCGCAATGCACGTAGACCACATAGGGAAGCGTACAATCTCTATGGGAAGGGTTTTAGCACACAACATTGGGTGCGCGATCAGACACCCTAATAGAAGACAATTTTTGTGTCAATCTTAATTTGGTTTGAGCCTGATAGCTACAGTTACTCAAAGTGAGAGGGAAAACTGAAAGAGAACACCATTTCTATCAAAACCATGGTGAAAAATGTTTAAAATCCAGAGTTTACCTGGTTAAATAAATATTTTCTGAAGATGGCTTCAATCCTGAGACAGTGTCATAATTATACCCACCACCCCTCCCCCTCCCTCCCCCCTCCCCCCTCCCTCCCCCTCCCTCCCCATTATATGCACATGTACCAACTTATACATGTACTTGTTTTCTGAGTGATTTGTAATTACTGTTACTGTTATCCCGCTAAATATTATTTGTATTCCTCCAAATTATTACCAGGATTTTCATATTTCTGTCCTCCAATGTATTGTACAGGTCAGATATTAGGAGTCAGCTGTTAGCACCTCATCACATTAGCCAAGATGAATCCCGATAAGTTACAAAAGCTCCAGAAGCAAGTCAGAATAGGTGGTAAAGGTACTATCAGGAGAAAAAGGAAGGTCCTCCACAAAACCGCAACCACAGACGACAAGAAATTACAGACATCGTTAAAAAAATTAGCTGTAAATAATATACCAGGTATTGAAGAGGTAAGCGGTGTCTTCTTTTCCGACTTCATAATTAAAAGATGAGCAAGTGATTTATCTTTTAGGAAGAACGTACTCTGCAAAGTTTTTTTTTCTCTTCATGAGAAGTAATTATGTTTGAAACTGGGGTATGACTATAGGCAGTATTCTGTGACTTGGTATGCAAACTGTTTGACATTTTATTTATAGTTTGAAACATGTTCCTTGGATATATCAGGCCTGATGAAAACCTGATTTAAATCGGTTTCCCGATTTTTGTCTCGCCTTCGTAGCAAAAAGCGAGACATATGCGCCGCTTTT